ATAAACGGATAAAACGATAGGGGAGCTGCGCAGGACTACAACACTATCTCTTTCCGACTATCTTCAAGAATCAAGCCTGTTCAGGTAATTCATTTCCCTTTCCATTCTTGCTCAAGTTTTCTGAATTCATATTTTCATATTAAACACATTGTGGATAACACTACTTTTTCGAGCCTGTTGCAGTTCTCTCTGTTTCCATACTGGGTTTTCTACCGGAATTTACCTCTTCATGCAGATGACTTATATTGATTAAATATGCAGTTAGTTGTACACCCTTCCATGCAAATATTTAGCCTCGCTCCGTTTTAGTTGTTCTTCGGGCCACTCTTGTGGGCGGGGATTGACTGAAGGAGACAAGTAGTTGATTAGTTTCTTGCACTTGGTTTACATTTTTATAATTTTTAGGGATAATCTGGGTGATATACACTGACTTCCTTTTCTTAGCATATTGAGTGGAGCTTTTTGGAGGGAACATGAAGTGATTCTGGAATTTTGTTTTTGTTTTTGTTTTGTTAGAAAACCCACACAAATGGGATCTCAAGCAATCCGTGAGTGGGCAGGAATCAATACATTTGCTCCTGCTACGCAGACAAAGTTGCTTGAACTGCTGGGAAAAATCAAACAAGAGGTTTTTAATTTTTGCCTCAAATTCATGTCCTCGTCAAGACAATCACTCAAGCATACACATTATATATGTTTCAAGAATGCACTTTTATCCGCAATTGTTTGGTTATGCTTTATAAGCTCTTTTGTTAGTAACAAGTTTCTTTGGTTTATTTGAACTTCCTTCGTGATTTGTTGTAGAATGTGAACACTCTGACTATACTTGTGATGGGCAAAGGTGGTGTTGGAAAATCTTCAATTGTGAACTCCATCATTGGCGAAAAAGTCGTTTCTATCAGTCCTTTTCAGGTATAGATTAGCTAGTTTTCTCTCATGTTGCACTCAGTCTTTGTAGCTTCTTGTCATAGTAAAATGTGTCATTCTTGACAAGTCGGAAGGACCGAGACCTGTGATGGTATCTCGAACAAGAGCAGGATTTACGTTAAACATTATTGACACTCCTGGTCTCATAGAAGGAGGATACATCAATGTTATGGCACTGGACATTATAAAAAGGTATGTCAGAGGCGGAGCATGCTCTCATCACTTCACTTGTAAAGTACGTTTATGGTTTAATTTGAATTATACATGATCCTTTCTCCTCACTCGCTTCATTTTCTTTACATGGGATCTGGGTTTGTGTGAGTAGTTTCCTTTTGAACAAGACCATAGATGTGCTGCTTTATGTGGACCGTTTAGATGCGTATAGAGTGGATAACCTGGATAAGTTGGTTTCCAAGGCCATCACAGATAGTTTTGGTAAAGGAATATGGAAGAAAGCAATAATAGCACTCACACATGGTCAGTTTTCACCGCCAGATGAATTGCTTTATGATGAATTTTCATCCAGAAGATCAGAGGCTCTATTGAAAATTGTTAAATCGGGCGCCCGCTTAAAGAAAGATGCCTCTCAGGTACATTGCTACATTTTAGTGATTGAGTTCCGATACCTGGCCCTATGAACGTGTATCCATACTGTTGTACAATTTTAATTGGTTTAATAATGACGTCAGAAGCTAATATATCTGACTTCATTGAAACTGAGCTTTGAATGGCAAGGACAAACATCGGCCTTTCTTTTAGTTGATTTTATATTATTCAAAGGCTTCCCTTCATCTAGAAACCAGTTTACATGGGTTCTGTTGATAGACACTGGGACAAGTTGTGTAGACAAACCTTCACATTTTGGAGCAGTTTCAAGTTTAAAGGAAAAGTTTTCATGTAATTGCGCTATATATACTGTCTTGGTGTATTTGGTTGGTGCAAAGTATTTGGAGTTTGCCTTGCTTGCGCTTATTTGTTTATTAAGAAATTCACCTTTGGAATTTTCCTTTTCTACCTTGAAGGATTTTACCATTCCTGTTGCTTTGGTTGAGAACAGCGGGAGATGCAAGAAGAATGAGAGCGATGAAAAGGTTAGACATTTATCTCATGATACTTCCTTATATCCTCTTCCAGCTCATTGACCCAAACAGGGGTTGCAGTTGATCTCTGTGTGCGCTTTTCTTGGTGACAGGTTCTTCCAAATGGAACCGCCTGGATTCCTCAGTTAGTCCAAACAATCACAGAAGTAGCATTGAACGGAAGTGAGTCTATTCATGTAGACAAGAAGTTGATTGATGGGCCAAATCCAAATCAAAGAGGAAAGTTGTGGATTCCTCTCATCTTTGTGCTTCAAGTAAGCATTTTGGATTTGGGTGGTTTTTATAGTTTTCTCTGCATATTGAATATTGACAGATAGATTGATAATCCCTTGTTTTCGTATGCCTGTGATCAGTATATCTTCATCATGAAACCCATAGAAGCATTTATCAAGAAGGATATTGCAAACGAGACTAGGCCATCGTGGGAGATAGATGAGTAACGCGGATTTTCTCGCAAAGATCTATTTTTCGTTCTGTTCCTTTGCCTTCATGAAGTTTAGGTTTTCTTTTTTGCCTTCCCCTTTTTGGGCTCTCGTGAGTTTTAGTTTATGCATAGTTTCTGCTTCTCGGTACTCAGAATTTATTGATTGACCGTCTTTTTCATGTTTATGGAATCAATTTCCTGGTGTCTTGTTAGATTCTGATTTCTTTGTAATGCGCCTCAGTCCATCAGTCGACTGACATTGACCACTGTTAAGCTTTCGCATTCTCAAGCTCTTTTCCCGAGGAAGGGTTTTGGTCCCAATAATTTGGCACAAAAACACCATTTAATTCGTCTTATTTCGTCAATTTTGCTTCATACGAAAATTAAATTGTACCAGAAAAACATTTCTTATAATAAATACGTAATCAGACTTGCACATTATTAATGTCATTGAAATTTAAAAATTGAAATTACATAATTAACCACGGAATCAATAATTTTATGGCATAATTTCATTTTTTGGTAGATAAATAAGTTATCAACAAATTCTAATACACATAATATAACATGCGAAGATTTCATTCAAAAATAAACAACAAACCTACATGACAATGCCACATTAATAGGAAGCACTTCTAAGAAATGGCAAAAATTAAGTGCTCATCCAAGTATAAATAAGTGCACTTGTATTATTCTAATAAGTTTGACAAACAAGGCAAATTGGTACTTGGCTGTAGAGCTGTCAAAACGGGCCAAATCCATCAGGCCAGTCCTTTTAAGTCTTTTTAAGTGGTTTAAAAGGAAATTGAGCTTAAAAGGACTAACTCTATATGGCTCAAAAATAAAAGGGCCAACCTTTTAGGGTCAAGGGCTAGCCCTTTTAAACCCGCCTTTTTTTATTATTATTATCAATATATTTATAAAATTATAGATTAGTCTTTTATGAATAAGTTTAAATTAGAAAAATACTTAGAAGAATCAATATTCAAGCTAGATAATTGCAAAGAATTAAATGTCTTGAACTTATGGAAGAATAATTAAAATCAATTTTCAATTCTTTCAAAAATGATAGCTGATATTCTTAACATTTTAATCACCATAATAGCTAGTTCATTTACCATTGGTTTACATATCTTGACAAAGTGTAAAACTTTTCTTATTTGAACAAATGTTCAGACTCTTATTTGTACTTATAACTACTCATAGTTTTATTTTGGACAAGGTAAATGAAGACAAAAATCTTAATATTTTTATCACTGAAGAAGAGCTCACTTGTAGTAAAAAACAATCAAATATTACTGATATTGATGATACTGATAAAGATGAAGATAAAGATAATAATGATGTTGATATTGTTAATCTTTAACTGCTAGGTTTTTATCTTTCTGTTTTTTGTGTTTTGTTAGATTTTGATTTTTTTTATTTTGGACAATAGTTTATTGCATTTATTTTTTTTTCTATACACCACTAATTTATTTTACTTATATTTATAATTTGAATACAAAATCTTTGAAGTTTTGTTGTTTTATTTTTTATTTTAAAATAATTAAAAAGAATTAAAATTTTAAAAAATAACATAAAAGAGCTAGCTCTTTTAAGCCCTGGGCCTGCATATTTAAAGGCCGAGCTTTAATAATTAAATAATTTTAAGGTATTTGAGTTTTAAAAGGCCGGTCTTTTTAGACCCTGACTCTTCAAGAGCTAGCCCTTTAAGGTCAGGCTGGTCTTTATTGACAGTTCTACTTGGCTGCCCACAACATCGCCTGACCACATTGGAAGGCATGTAGCATATTGTACTACCTGCACTTGTATTGGTGAAAACCAATTCCAGCTCTTCGATAACCTTGTACTTTTACGGTATCATCATTAATTCAACTTTCTACTGCATATTGATCCAATGTTAATTAATGTTGGTGATTCAATACTTTGTTTGGATAGGAAAGAAAACAGGGAGAAGAGAAACTTAAGGGTATGTTTGGCTCAATGAGAGGAAGGGGAGGGGAGGGATTTTAATGGAAGGAAGAGGAGGGGAGGGGAGTGGAAGGATTTTAATATTATCTTGTTTGGATTTATAAAAAAAGAGAGGAGGGGAGGGAAAAATATTTTAATATGGACAATTTTGCTCTTATTTTATTTAAGGCGTGGGCATAATAGTCACAACATGACAAAATATAGACACAATAGTCACAACATGACAAAATATGAGCATAATGGTCATAATATGACAAAATATTACCCTTTCCCTCCAAATCCTCCCAATTTTGGAGGGGAGGTTGAGGAGGGGAGGGGAGGGGAAATTTTAAAAAATTTTCCCTCCCCTCCTAAAATTTGTGTGTTGCCAAACAAGGGGAAATGATTAAAATCCCTCCCCTTCCCTCCCATCCCTCCCAAATCCCTCGTACCAAACACACCCTAACGGTATCTCCACACCCCCCCCCCCACCCAAAAAAAAAAAAAAACCACTTTCCCCTTATTTCTCCCTGAAGAAGGGGGAAAAGGAAAAATTTACCCCTCAGGAAGGAAAAACGTCGTCGTCTTCCGATTTTCTATCCTTACTATTTTTCTTCTTATCCAAACAAAAAGTAAAATTCAATGAAATATCAATGTCAACGTTGCAACAAGATACAAATTTGTAATTTTGTATCACAATCCACTAATCCGCTAATGTATACAGGCAAGTTAAGGCTGGACCCAAATGAAACACCTCCAAGGACGGGGCTGGGGTATACCAAAATGTAGGTCAGAGCACTAGGAATTATTATCGTTTTCTCTCAAATCGCCACTTGTACACCGGTCTTGATGTTGGACAGACAATCTCATCTTCACGTAGTTTCCGTTTCCGACCTTTCTTCTGTTTATACAAACCCCCCCCCCCCAAAAAAAAAAAGCTTCTTTTAAGCATAATAGAGATACAAATTAGAAACAAAAGCAAATTCAGAACAGAGTATAACAAAATGGCAAATACCTGTAGCTCCTTCTGCATTGCCATATCATTGTATATTCGCTCCAGTTGACTCAGCCTATTCTTCCTTTCTTCTAACCCTCTATAAGAGGCAGCTGTTCGCCTGAACATTTTTGTTAAAAAAAAAAACATTAATTACAGTATATAAGTCATAACAACAGAAGTTTTTTTTTTTTAAAAAAAAGCATTGATAGAAAAGAGAAAAATAAATCTTATTTTCCATTTATCATGCAGTTGTACCTCTTAATCTCGTCAGGAACATCACTTGACTCGAGATTCTTACTTCCCTTAACTTGTGACTTCATCTCTTTAGCTTCCTTCCTACGTAAATATAAAAAATAGATTTAAAACAAAAAGGAGAACTTAACAAGAAATTTAAACAACGAACATATATACACCAGCAATTATGGAATCAAAAAAGACTTTCCTTAATTTTGACAAGGGTTATAACTTTCCGAAATCTAATGTTTTAGAATACACAGAAGGTTCTCTTGCTCTGTTCTTCATTGTTATGACATGAAGAGTTTAAAGTGGAGGATGGAAATAGACTTAAACACAGCTTTAAACCAATTTGCCATTCCCCAATATTATTGCTGTACAAAATAAGCTGGGGGTATCTGTCTCACCAAACACAAATTCATATATAAGTAATCCCTACCTCTTCGTTTATAAGGAAACAATATCCTCAAGTATGTTTACAAGTCTCTTAACTATAGTGGTCGATGGTTTCATATTCCTACCAGTTATGTTAATCAAAGATATTGCATTCTCTTAATCTTAAACTTTTGTCCACATCTAAATCAGGTACAATGCGTTGATCTAAACTTGGCTTGAGTTGTCAGGCCAAGAGAAGAAAAGCTTAGGTCTAAGTTAACATAAGAACTTGGAAATAAGGAATTTTTCATAAAATTTACAAGGAGCTTCTATCCAATATCAAAAGTCAGTAAAATAATGCGACAAGGCTCTTGAAACACGTTTAACTGAACATGACAAATATGAAATCCATAAAGATAAAGAACACTTATCCAGCTATGCGTGCTTGTTATTGAAATGGGAGCTCAAACCTGTCCTCAGCAAAGTAAATGTGCCCAGACGGTTGGTGATCAACAAAGTGCAATGAAGCAGTTAACTTTTCAACCTTCTGCATGCAAAAATTCATAATTAAGCCCACATGACAATTCCACATAAATTCTTAATAAGAAGAACATTCTAATGCATTGACTTACCTTTCTCTCACTCTGAACTTTTTGAAGAACATATCCTATATCTTGGGTCTTCATCAGCATAAGCTCTTCATGGGTATATTTATTTGCTTCACTCCTAAAGGAAAAAAGCTATCGACTTAATTCGATTCACCAAGTAATTGTGAACAAGTCACTGAAAAAAGCTACAAAACAACTATAAGGTGAGAAATATCCTACTCGGGTCTATGAACTCCATCAACCACTTTTGATCTGATCATTTTGAAATAAAACTCATTTGGGTTTCTGAATGCCGCTTTCTCTTTAAGTTTCTGTAGAGCAAGTACAGAAAAAATCATTAGTAGTTAGCAACTGATGTTGGTTAAGCCTGTTATTGTTGTTAATGACAGACTTAATATTGAGAGAGTTAGTAAGAGTTCTCCACTAATTAATCCTTATATCATACAAGGGAAGTAAAAAGGCAGATATGGTGGTTACTTCAGTTATTAATTCTAATTCTCAGCTATCAAGGGAGGTAGGGAGTGAGTTGAAGTTGCCGATCCTTATAATGGTATAATAGAATTATTAAGAAAGCACCTAGCTATGATGGGCGCCAGGATTCCTGCACATCTATATCTAATCTGGACTGCATCGGCAAGATCCAGTCATGTTAACAAATTTCCGAAATCATAATTTTCCCTCTATTTTCATGTTCATTCTATTTCTATTCACTTTCCCTTATTGCAAAGATAAGCATCAACGCAGTTAGACCAATCAAGCAAAATCAGAACGGAAAACAAATCGTACCCGTATAGCCTCCTCTTTTTTATGGAATGCTTTTGCACGGACGACATAGTCTTTGTGCTTTTCGAGAAGGCCAAATTTTTTCCTCGAGGACCTGATAAAATTGCAAACAAACTCAAAAATCCAAACAAACCAATAGCTATCGAATCCATTTTGTAAGGTAAAATAAACATGGAATTTTGTAAACTTACGGCTGAGCACGCTCTTTGTGAGCTCGTCTGGGAATGGCGTTCTTGAAGGAAGACATGTTCAAGTAGAGAGAAGCTGCAATGGCCTAAGCTCAGTCCCGCCTGTGAGCCCGTCTGAGATGTGGCGGTGGCGCCAGAGAGTATTCAGCCGCACGAGGGAACGGCGCCGTGTGAGAGGAGCCGAAGAACGAGCCTCACAGAATGTCCCCAAGAGCCGTCTAAAACCAGTAAATCATGAAAGTGCAAAAAGCCTTCTTAACACGAGGCCCGGCCCAAAATTTGAAAGCCTCTTTTAACCCTTTTTTGGGCCAATTCTTTTAACCCATTTTAAGAATGATAAATACTAACATGTTACAAATTTAAATTTCAACAGCTGACCAAGGTTTAGTAGAAAGAATTAGTTCTCATAACATGAAAAATCAAAATTTGAATCTCGTTAGAAAAAATACTCACATTTAGTACCAGATAGTGTTTCAAATAGGAGGATACCTATGCTTTAACAAACTAAAAAAAAAATCAATAAATCTTGTTTAATGTCCGATAATGTCTCAAATATAATTGCTTTCAATAGGAGGATATTTATATTTTAGAAAAAAAAATTCAATGAAAAATAATTGTCTTAGTTTTAAAATATCAATACAATAAATTAATGAATAATTAAAGTTTATCATCCTTTAAAAAAAACACAAATGCTAATTAAGCGCGGGTATTCCATTTTAATTTTTAGACTCTGGTGTTGCTGGTTTATTGGACATGGAGGATTGTAACATTATTAGATAATAAATAATATACAAATTACATAGAAGCTTTTAAATTTTTTTTGACCAAAGTGCGTTGATATTTTAACATTACAAATGTATAAAAATTACCAAAAAATATGGATATATCAATCAAATATGTTTTTTAAAAAGTACTTGATTAATTTTTCTATTCCCCTCTTTTGTTTCTCGCATCCTTCACGTCCTCCAAACGCGGGGCGTATCATAAAACAAATAGCACAGGGACAGGCACGAGGGACGCGGGACCCATCGCTCCGTTTCGTCCATTTAAACGCCGCCGTCTTATTCAACGCGGGGGTTTCCTAATGGGATCCTCTCTCCCTCAGGTCCAATCATTTCCTGCGAGACAAAAAGAGCTCTCACGCACACCATCGAATCTCAATCCCAATCCCCAGTCTTTCCCGGAAAATTCCTTTTTCTTCCCTAGATTCCCTTCCTCTCCGGCCAACCCTCAATTTCTCTCCCCCCATTTTCAACGCCTAAAATTTACTCTTTGCCACTTCGGAGCTGCCCCTGCTCCGTTAATTTATCACTTTCCGATCCTGGATGCTCCGGTTCTGTTGGGCTCTTCATCGTTATACGTGTGTCTGGGTTGAAGTATGAGTGCTCCGTGGTCCTCCGGAGGTTGTCTATTTGTTGCCTTACCATCTTCCCGTTCGGATTCTCTCGTCTAATTTCAAGTTTGGAGGTAAACTTGTTGTGAAGTGGTGTCTGGTCCTTTTGTTGAAATTCTTGTGAAAATCTTTCCCTTTGCTTATCCAATATGATGCTGGTTATAGCGTCCAATAAACTTTGCCAAATATTTTTTTTTCCTTTTTGGCCTAAAAGATGTAACTAATGACAGCCTGGTTATGGAAGGCTATGCAAGGCTTTTATGCTACTCTATGGATAGAGGGTATCCTTATTGTTTGCACGAGGCAGTCGCTAGCTTAGGTTAGCCGAATTTAAAGACTTAATTCTATTGTTTCTGACCAAAAATTTTTTAAAATTTTTTTTTATACTGTAGTCAGTATAACTATGTATCACGCAAAGAAATTTCCCCCGGGAACTGTCGTGCCAAATAAAGCTCAAGGTGGTGCTGACCAGCTTGCGATTATGACGGATTTGAGTGGATCTGCTGTGAAAAATGCCACACCTGTGGGAGGAAGTGGGAAACAACGATTACGGTGGACGTCAGATCTTCATGACCGTTTTGTGGATGCCATTACTCAACTCGGTGGACCAGATAGTGGGTATCTATTATGAGTATTGTATCGCATCCTTGGAATAATGAGTAGTTATTTTTATAGTTAGCATCGGATATAAATTCGTTAAATTCAATGCTTTTTTCTTTAGTTAATTATAATCTTGGAAAAACGTGTATGAATGGGAACGCTTTGAAGGAAATATTTGCTGTCCTTCTGATTTTTTCCCTACTATGGATCTACTGCACCTGCCTTGCACTTAACGTAAGTCAGTCGGAGTATGTACAGTATATGTTTGCGTCACTTCGTGCAACATATCGAAGATGCCTTTCCTTTTCTTAAAGTTTTGATAATTTAATTCCTGCAACTTTTGCAACTTGTTGGTGTATTGATAGATTTTAATTACGCACTTATTGACGACACCATGTTGCACTTCATGGGACACAAAATGGGTGTTTAATTTTTTTCATGGCAAATACCGGTTGAATGGGTGATATTAATTTAGTCATAAATGGCTCTTAAATTATGCCGCTTTTTAAACTCAGTTCACCAGTGACTTGTCCTTCTGGAAATTGCTTCTCAAGTGGGAACATGTTTTGTAATGCAATTTCTTTTTAATTGTTCAGAATCTTAAAAAAAGTAGAGGGATTTACATTCCTTAGTGAACTTGTTAGCCATTTTGGGTCTTCTAACTTCTCCTGGCTGCTTTTTCGATCTTGCGGGTCAAATGTCTCACCTAAAAAAAGGAAAAGTAAAGAAAACTGAAACTGCCAGCTTCAACTTTCATGTGGCTTTGTTTATTTGATGTAGATTCTAAGCTTGTAATTGCTACTCACTTGCCTTTTCCCTTCACTTCTTTGGCTTCTTGATCTGCTTTATTTTAGCATATTTTCTGAAGTTGTGATTTCTTTCACGATATTCCATCTATTCCCAACAGGGGCAACTCCAAAAGGCGTTCTGCGGGTTATGGGCGTGCCTGGACTCACAATTTATCATGTTAAAAGCCACTTGCAGGTAATGTCACCTAGTTAATTAGTCTGGGTATATAAGTACATGAAATGCCCGTTTGTTTATTTTAAAACTGATTTTAATCTTTCTCTGTTGTTACACTGTGCAGAAATACCGCCTGGCAAAGTACCTGCCAGAATCTTCTGCTGATGGTAAAGTGTTTTGTTTCTTTTTTTCCGCTCTCTTTTTTTCATTTTTTTTTGCCTTAAGTTGGGAGGAATAATATCTACTAAAAATATAATTATGTTTTCATTTCTTGCTAAACTGAAAGTTTGGGAATTCTCTTCTTGAATTTCAGAGTCTAAGGATGAGAAACGGAATTCTGGAGACACTGTATCTGGCACTGATTCTTCCCCGTGGGTACCTCTGTTTTCAATTGTTAATTATACTTTCTAAAATGTCTCTTAGCATTCAACTTCTTTCGCCTTTGCTGTAGTAATTTATAGAACCTTCATGGCCTTCAGGGGATTGCAAATCAGTGATGCTCTGAGGATGCAGATGGAAGTTCAGAAACGTCTCCATGAACAGTTAGAGGTTTGGCACATTTGCCTTACTCTTTCCTGTTTCCTAAATTTGAAGACTGAGATTAATCCAGCAAGCCCTCTTAATATTGCCCACTTCTGTTTACCTATAGGAAGTTTAGAAATAGATGTTTACTGAAAGAACAGAAGAGCTGGTTAAAAAGATGATAATGCAGACTGAAGTTGAAAATAGGAAACAGGCATAAATTGAATATAATGAGCAATGGAAAAAATTTCCTGAAACACCTGTTGTTGACATAGATAGCTTCTCTTTTCTGTTCATCAATAAGAAGGGGCAAGAACAGTTTTTGGTCCCTATGGAGGTTATCTTGAGTTAAGGTCCCTGTTTTTTTTTTTTTTTTTTAAAATAAGGAATCAATCATTAGAACTACGGCAAACTTTGTTCAAACTCCCTGCTGTTACAAAACATCATTGTCACATGAGCACCACTCCATGGACCTTGACCAAGTTGGCCATAATTATAAGGATTAATTCCTTAATAGAAAAAACTACAGGGACCTAGACCCAAATTGACCAAAACTCTAGGGACCAAAGACTATGTTTTCCTATAAACAAAATATCCTGTGAATCAGAAAAAATTTATATTGATAAAACTCCTCCTGTTTGGGCTTTGATAATGGTTAAATTTGGATTATTAGTACTGAATACCAGATAGTAGTTATCAAAAAATATATAAAATATTTCTGCGATGTATTTATGATTTGTTGTTTAGAGATAGATATTCCACAGAAACCAAGCTTTTAGGTTTAGAATTTCATAACATGGTAGATGTGCATCACTACTCTGGTTAGAATTTGAGGAGCTTATAAATTGTGTCATGCCACCATAGGATATTGTCATACATTAATTGGACGTATGCACAACTCATATTTTGAAAGATCATGTTGAGTTCCAGTTATACATTAAGCTTATCAGTAAATATGATTAGTCCAGATTCTATGTGAATGTTTTTCTTCTTTCTCCTCATTTCCTAATCATTCTGTTATGGTTATAGGTTGAAAACAAATACTTCAGTATTCATCCTTTAAAATCATTTGTATTTCCGTGAAGTATAGGCATTGTATTTTGTTTGTTTGATCAGCTAGTTGTGCACTAACATGCTGGTGGGATATCGAATCAGATTTTCAGTACAACTATGTGAGGCTTCTGATTATGCCCTTTTTAAAACAAGCATCATATTGTGTAATGAAGATGCATGCTGCATTTGAGATTTCGTAGCCTTGTGACTCTCGAATCGCATCTATCAGTTGTAACAAAAGCGACATGGCTGCTAATGATGATTCTTTTCTTGATTTGCTTCAATAAAATTTCAGGTTCAAAAGCAGTTACAAATGAGAATTGAAGCACAGGGTAAATACTTGCAGAAGATCATAGAGGAACAGCAGAAACTAGGTAATTCCTTGAGAGCTTCGGAAACATTACCATCATCGAAAGATGAGCAAGATCCTCTGCAGTCAGAACCTTCAGGTGATGCCTCTGCAGAGACTCAGTCCCCGTTGAAGAAACAGAGAGTTGATGATGGCTCCAAGAATGGCATCATGACCCTCTCAGCTGCCAATAAAGATTGCACAGAAGATTGATTTCATTGTAAGTGACTTAGAATTCGTTCAGAAACTGAATTCAAAACGGATGAAGGACCGGTGGTAGTATGGAGTAGGTCCGATTTGCAACTCAACGTTGGGTTTCTCATACTTGTTGTATTGTTATGGTAGAAAATACAAAACAAAAACATGCTTATGTACGCAAACCACTTGTATATATATTGTAGCTGTAACTGATAATAGTCAATCCATTCTTCTCCTGTTGTAGCCAGTGAGAGCGGGGAACTCTGCTCTTACGCCCGATAGGGCTGTGTGCATTGACATTTGACCGTGATCCTGCATGTGACTGCTTGTTGTTGGAAGAGGGTACTAATCATTGTTCTGTAACTTGCTGGACCAGTCAATATCAAAAGGATAGTGATGGCGAGGTTTTCGGTTTTATGGGTGCTAATGTGTAAGGAGTAACTGCTGCTTTGTTATTCAAAGAGAAAGCTCTTGCCAAGATTTTTGTGGATTTGGTAGAGAGAAAATGCTAACAACGGACTAAACTGTTCTCGTCTTTTGGGAATTAGATAAACAGGCATTTATGGCTCGAGGCTACCGGTCAGATCAAAACCTGCGTTTAAATTTTGAGTTGATAAATTCATTTTTTTTTAAAAAAAATGAATGTTGAGAGATTATATTTATTTCAAATTTTACATTCCTTAAAATAAAAATGTATCAAAATTAAAAATATAAAAGTAGAAAAATATGATATTCAGACCATTTCGTTTTGACAGACAGATCACATTTCATTGCTCATATTTCCTTATGAGCCACGAAGACACTTCCTCTTTTTCTGGAATTTCCTTTTTGGGGCAGCAAACGTTGGTTGAAGGAGTGTGAAAAATATCATTAAAAAAACTGTAATTCGCAAGTATTGAGAGCAATCGTTAAGCGCACTTCTTTAGCTGATGCCAAATTATCATACATCTTTGAGAATGTATAATACCCCCCCCCCTTCCCCCTTCCCACTACCCAGCTCACCGCCCGTTTCGCTGCCAGGGCTTCTACATCTTCATGTTATATTTTAATTTCGACATTATTAATGGATGTAAACACCACTGTAATTAAAAATATCGAGTTTTTAATTATGAGGAGTACCTATCACAATCAACACTAACAGAAAATTAACAATGTCTCCTCATTTTATCTGGTGGCCCAAAAACTCTAGTAGAAAATTATTTCGCCAGATATCAAATCTTTGAAAATACGGCAGAAGCCACCCCCATCGTTTCTTCTATAACTACACCGTGACACAATAAAAATACCTACATGGTCCATTTCCTCTTCTTATACGTCCCCTTTTACTTTCTTTTTTATTTTTCTTACAACATTACATCAACTATCAAGTAATTTATTTCAGGCTCCCCCTTACGCATGAAAAAAAAATATTCCGAATAAATGGCATTGATACTCCCTTCATGAAAAAACATTGAAGGCAAACACACTGTTCTCATCAAATTGTTAGATGATCCTGTAAATTAGCAGAAATCCAAAAATACAAATTATATTATTTACAACTCATTAGTGCAAATAAATAGTATAACTTGTCAAATTTAAGGACAACAAACACCTCCCTTAACTCCTTTTCAAGCGAAAGGAATCGAACCAAGGGCATACGATAATAAAGCCTTTGCAGGGAATAAACAAGTATAAGTAAATCTATATGGCAAAAAAAATTTAAACATACAAATAAGGAAAAGGCAGGCCTCATCCCACATGTCCATTAGGCAGTTTCCCCATCTCTTAAATTTTCGGCCGAGCCCAACCCCGCCTCACTGGGTCGCGAATGAGTGGGCTCGCTAGGCCCACAAATAACATTCGTAAAACAACCCTTCTTCGGTTGTTTTGAATGATCTTCGTACGGGAAGACAGAGTAATACATCTGCATTCGCTGCGACCAAATAATATCTCCCTCGGAAAATAATGGCACAATGGTTACACACAAATAATTAATTTATTATCATTCATATTTTTGTGAATTCACAAATTTTACTTGAGTCATAGACACCACCATCATAACACAACCCCGAAAAAACTTAAAAGGATGACGCCTCCTTGTTCCTAAAAGGAGACACAATTGTCCGTCCCCAACGAGGATCTGAGGCGGGGACGACAAAGGTATGTCCTTGACCCTCAGCTCAGCTCGATTCCCATCTCAAGCACATGTAATTCCCAGTTACATGACTGAAAGCAGAAAAATTTTCATTTGACTTGTCTTTCCCTACGGAAATGGGAACCAACTATATGGGAGCAATCGATTTTGGGTTCAAGGGCTAAATAACAGTTCTTTGATCCAATCCTTCCCGCAAAACTTGGGTACAAGACATCACGCTCCGAAGCTGCAAGTTTCATCAGAGGCCATTCTATACCAAAGCTTCCCTCACCAATCCCAAACACCGCCACTAAACATTAATAGAGGAACAGAAAGATTGCAGCCTTTATCTTTCTTGTCGCAAACCCACTTACCCTCCAAAAAAAGAGCCCCAAAAATATATCAGGGGTCCTAAAGGTTTGAAAATAAAGCATCATGCCACGGCACAGATATGTAACAAACACGAAGTGGAAAAAATAATCCAAAATAAAGAAAAGAAAAATTAAAAACAGAAAAAAGATGCAAGAGTAAACTTCATAAATGGAGGGGAAAACGTTTTTCCAATTAAAAAAAAGATCCAAGCATTGTAGAAATGCAGAAGACGGGATTCTTGCGAATTCATCAAAGAAAATTCTAACTTCAGTCAACCAATCTATTTGCATCGGAATTTGGTGCTAGAATTGACAACAGAAAGTGAGTGAGGTCACAGTCGTTTAAAAATTAAAGTACGAAGAAATTAATGATTGAGTTTCTCAAAAATCACTTCTCTATCCATTTGGCCCTCTAAAGTGATAAAGCTTCTCAATTCTCTTCCTTCAAGAATTTTTTTTCCCCCAAAACCACAAGCGTCACACAAACACACTCAATTGTCCACAAACATATATTTAAACTACATCCTTGAAACTGCTACTTACCTTCCAGCCCTTGTAAGCCGCCTAGTTCTTTCAGGATAGCCAGCAACCGACTAGGCCCTTATCACAATTACTAAGCAAACCTCATATTTTTGGATGAAGCAGTTTTTTGTAGAAAACTTAACGCCTATAAGATAAATTTTAATTGATATGATAAAAGTACAGTTTTCTGTTAGAAAACAACATGCAACAGTTTGCTGGTTTTGAAATAAATGCAACCTTATAACAAAGAATGTCAAGAACCCCACATATACTTCAGAATCATTTAATAATAAACTATTCTATAACTGCTTCAGCAATTATAGGCATATACCAGGGTGGCAGTGAAAGATTTGCTTCAACGAAAAGGAGGTATGGAAACAAAAGCTAAAAATGGGAGGATCACTTTACCCAAAGTTATAAACAACCCTACCCTGAAAAGATTTGTCCCAAATCTGGTTTTCAGCAGAAAGAACAATCCCATAACACTTCTGACTCAGGAAAAAAACCGCCAAGGTTCACAGATGAGGAAACCTAGTCCCTGCCCTCCCCTTAAAAAATCCAAAACGTGCATAGCACACAATCAGATAAAACTCAAACTTGTATAAAAAGCATTTATCTTTTCCCCTTTCATTTACGGAGATTTCATCATGAACACGTACTAATATGCTTAATATATTTAATTTAATATAACAACATAATAGTTATGACTTTCAAACCTGCAACACAAAGAAACCTGCACAAAATCGGGTAAGCATGCATGTAGAGTACAAATAATCACACAAGTTAATTGTTTCTAAGCACTTATCAACATAATCTTAAAACAACTTAGCATCTCATGAAAAATCCATTTCAAGCATCACGTGTTCAAAAAATAAAAAAGATAATGTAATTAACAAAAAAATTAAAGTTATTAAAAACGAGAGAGAGTAAAAAAACCCCATAATACAGATTATAGAATATCAACTGCAGACACAGTGAAACACACAAGCATAAACTAAAATGACTTTAGTTCATCATCTGAAACTGAGTACATATAAAAATACACTCACGGTAGTACTAAAAGTCTAAAACATTTCCAAAGGTTTTTGAAGATGAATAAAAAGTTAAAATACAATATTTTGAAATAGAACCCAGGATGGGAAAAGAGGGGGAAAACAGAACGCCATTTGATAGTTTAAATACTGATCATTGTTGTAAGTAACATTTCATTATAAAGACGCCATTGCATCAGCTCCTTAAACTTCAGAAGAATCACCAGGCCAGTAATAAAAGACTGATTATGTGGAATCTGCAAAATGAATAATAGAGCATGAAAAACAATTTCAAGATTGAAAAAAGATAGGAGGTGTCCAAAAACCAGATTTTAATAAACTTGGTTGAATGAGCTATTAAGAGTCAAATGTCAAAACGATTTGATGTTCTTAACTTGCTGGGAACATCAGGCAACTGTGTTAATATAAATAAGGGTACATAACTAAAGATGTCTATGTAGTGAAAACCGGCTGCAATCGTAAAAAGCACAGCTTAACAAGACTACTCCACAAGTGAATATAGGATGTGTTCTGCCAGAAGGGTCCTACAACACAACAGGAACCAGCAAACAAGGATTTACAGAAAAGAGAGGATCACATTAAGAATATAAATCCGAAGCTTTCATCCATGCAAAAGAATTAGAGATCATAAAAGAAACCAAGTTGTTCCTCCAAATTCAAGTATAAACCCATTAATCTCAACAAACAGAGCATCAACTCATCATCAAAAATTCGTTTTCTCTAAGCTTCATGGTCCTTTAGCTTTTGTTACGGGATACACGGCACCAATTCTATCATCATATGCATATCATAGTATTTAAACACAAAGGAAAAAAAAACCAAGATAGGAAGACTTCCTTGTGCAGGAACATAGGTTCCAGCAGGAAAAAAAAACTAGAGTACGAAGTATGGGAATAAAACATAGGCATACCTAGTGCCCCATGTAAGGGGCAACACCACCATATTGGCCAACACCATGCTGCCCTCTTCCAGAACCACTTTGTCCCACCTGCTGGTTTGGATAAGTACCCTGTAAGCCGCTTTGATTTCCATATCCACCAATGACACCCGAACTTATGTTTGGTTGGTTACTGTAACCACCCTGCATTCCATGGCCTGCGGAAGGAACGGCTGGATTTACTGTAGCAGCTGATCCCAGAGTTCCCAATAAGTTGGTCAGTCCCAGGCCAGCCCCTTGAGTTGCAAGCAGTGCTGTCAGTGCCTGGCCAAGAGCTGGGTTTAGGGTCTGTGCAGCCGCAGCCTGCTGGTTAAATCCAATACCAGGTCCTGCTGGCGCCATCAGGTGCCCTTGTCCGGTAGCAGCCCCACCAACATATGTAGTGGTGTCATTTCTCTGGAATTGGGTTCTCTGAGGATTCTGATGTTGCTGATATTGAGGCTTTCCCGGCTTTGGACCATCTATTGCCTTCTGACAGTGCAAAATATGGCCCTCAAATTCCTTGTGAGGCTCTTCCAGCGCCTTTCTGGCACCCTCAACGCTCTTGTACACAAACAAGCAGAACCCTTTTGGTTTCCCAGTCAGCTTATCAAGCCCTAGTGGTCCTTCCTCGATCTCCCCAAACTTCGAAAAAAACACATGCAATTTCTGAGGATCCAAATCGGCCCCAACATTGCTGACATAAATCTTCCTTTGGGTATACTCCGATACCGGTTGTGATGGGGTCGATGGTACAGGGGCTGGCTGTTGAACCGGGCCAACCGAAGCCAGCTGGCAGGCCGTCATTCGGTTCCCAATCTTCTTCTGCGGTTGCTTCAGCGCATTACGAGCCCCACGACGCGATTTGAAGAGGATGAAGCCATACCCCTTGGATTTACCGGATACCTTGTCACATACCGCCTTGCAATCTTCAATTTCACCGTACTGCTTGAAAACGTTGATGAGGGTATCAGCGTTTGTGTCCCATCCGAGGCCGTGGACGAAGATTTTTCGATGAACGGGGTCCTCGTCAGCCACCTTTCGGACCCGATCCGCTACATCGCGATGTTTATTGGCCGCTTCGCACAGCAGATTTAAAATTTGTTCCTTGCTGAAAGGCTCCAGAAGCGTATGTATCGGCTCGTCGTCCTCCTCCCCCTCCTCCTTTCCATATTGACCGGTTACTGATGTTGCAGCCGCTGATGTTGACTGGGCCTTAGCAGCCTGATCGTTCGCGTTTTGGGCGTGATCGGCATTATCGTTATCATCTCCAGATCCTTCTCCTGCTTCTTGTTCCTCCTCTTCCTCTTCTTCTACCTCCTCCTCTTCTTCCACTTCAACTTCTTCGTAATCGGCTCCATTATTTTGGTCTTCCACAGCTTGGTCCGCTTCTGGTTCATATTGCTGCTGTTGATGCTGTTGCTTCAATGGGGGTTCAAAGGATTCGGCGGGTTTTGGCGTGAGCTTTCGCTTCCTCCCCATTGTTGGATGGACACTGACTGGAGCGCAGCCCAAGAAGACCCTAGGGTTTGGGATTTGGAATCACCATATCGGAACTCAGATATTTTTATCCTGTGGTTTTATATCAATATTTTGCTCCTTTTTCTTTTTTTTTTTTAACATTTTATGCCGGGTGGAAGCAAAGGTTGTGGCGGTTAAAAGGGCCTGGTAACAAAAAAAAATGGCGGTTAAAAGGGGATAAAATATTTCTTGCTTTCTTTTGGGGAATAATTGTGAAGAGTGACATTTAAGTTCAGAGCGTTAAATTAAGGGAAAATTGTTAAAAAAGACCTTGAAATTACAAAAACGCAGATAGAGACTCTTGACAACTTCACTTTGGGTTTTGACAACTTCAGGGCATATTATTCTTGTCAAAACCTAAAGTGAAGTTGTCAAGGGTCCCTATCTGCGTTTTTACAATTCCAGGGTCTTTTTTTATAATTTCCCCTTAAATTAATGGTATGACTTAGTTTTTTATAAACACATATTCAAAAAGTGTTTGAAAATTTCAAAATTACTTCTAAAACGTATTTTTTTACGAAACGAAACAAACTCCTTTATATATTTACTTTATAAATTATAAAAATACTTTTAAAATCATAATTTAATTTCCATCCAAATACCCCTTAAATCAATGATAGTTAGCTTCCTAAAAAAAATCACAAAATGAGTTGCAAATATTGTCTCAATTAGCTGAGAGTTGCATTTAAATTTTGCATACCTTATTTATAATTAAAACCCTTAATATATAATTATATGAATTAAAATTTATAACTCATTTTTATTTAACAAAAAAAAATTTGCCAGCATTTTATAAAAATTTGTTAAATCTTGCCCGTCATTAATTCTCACTTTTAGCACCTAGTTGTTATTCACTCTCAGTCGTAAAGTAACGTTGGTCCAAATGTTAGTGTGGTTCAATTGCTTTGTCCTCACAGAAATATACTGATTTTATCCACACGTGGTTTTTTTTTTTTTGGTTTCCTTTTTTCAGCTTAAAGCTCTTCAATTTGGTAATTTATGAGTTAAATATGGTTGCTTTTTTTTAATAAAACGATAATTTTATTCAACCAACAAAATGTTATATACTAAAAAGGCTCCCAAGTCTAATTACTAATAATTAGAGAAAGGGTCAAAGAACAAACAAAAAGGAAAAACAAAATATTAATGATCCTGTTAAAAGCAGTATCCATGTTTAATGTCTGATACATTGAACAAAGTTACGTTTTTTTTTTTGTATAAAAATTTTTGGAAAGGGGTTGGGCTCACCCACGATCTAAGGACAGGGCGAAATCTCCCTTCCTTCTAGGTCATACCAATGTTGGGTAGGGTGAGCCGTCAAATACCTTCAGGCGTTTACCTAGGCACCCAAGAGCTAGGATGCCTCTCCAAGCACCGTGACTAGAACCACAACAAAGTGGTATTCTCCAGGGATCGAACACATGCCAACTTGGTCATATGTCTCACCTCTTCGCCAGCTGAACTCACAGACGATGAGTGAACAAAGTTACGTTTGATAAGAGAATATTTGTGTTTTAAAAAAAAAAGAGAAAAAAAAGAAGCCCAAACAAACATCATGTGTCAAGAAAAGAGTCCTGAGCGAAGTCTTCCACCATGCAAAACTTGACTTGCTTCAACGCGCAGGGTCGGGATCATGATGCGGGCAACTGAGAAGCCAAGCATACGATATCCGACAAAGAAGACCACCACAAGGCATCCAGCTAACCACCTAATTCACTATGTCTTAATTCAGCTTATTTGGATTTGCAATTATAAATAATTTTGGATAATTTAAGACAAAACTTTATTCATATTCTATAAATTATGATTGGAAAACTAGTTGTAAGTTATTCTAAACAATAGTAGTCCAGCGAAGCCAAAAGACAATTGATTATACATTTGTCACTCAAAGGGTCTGTTTAAAATAATTTATAAATAATTTTTTAATTATAATTTACGAATTATAATATAAATATATGAGACGAGTTTTATCTCAGTCTACTTAAAACATACTGATAAGTGTATATGTACGTGATTACAAATAGGTCTAAAAACATGTACTTTATAAAAAAATAAATTTTACAGTTTAATTCTATCTAAAATTTCTTCCTCACACAACTAATCCAAAATTATTATTATTATATGCAACATTAGCGAAGGATCAAAAAGTGACATGGAGGAGGTTCAGAGAAAAAATGACGTGGAGACTTGTTTACGGGTAGGCGACGCTGAAAAGATAGAGAAGACGCGGAAATTGCAGCAGAAACTGGCAGTTAGTTAGCAAGTCGTCAGGAAGGGCATGCCCCGTAGCATCAGATCTAACAACTCTAATGGCCGAATTGTCGTTTTGGCATCGCACTTGACCTCCATGGCTTCGGAAAAAGAAACTGCTCTTGCAGCCACTCCCTCCGATTCTCCTACCATGTAAGCTTCTCTTTGTTTTCATTGCTTCTTCCCTTACTTTCCGCACTTATTCGATATTCCATTGCGCATTTCCGGAGACAAATCTTTCTGCGATCATCCTGTTTAACTTTCCCGCTACCTCATTCAATGCATAAAGAACCTAAAACTTGATGTCGCCTGATATAACGGGTAAATGAATAAACGCTTCAATACAATTCTGGGAAAAAACCAAGAAGAGTGGAAAATTTTCCTACTGGAAAGTTAAGGTGCCGTTCACAGCTTTGATGGATGATTTTTCGTACTGTTTTCAAGCTGGTATCCATTCGCCCACAAAGCAACCATAGATTTTGGCTCTCCGGAGTCTGTGGTTATAGCAGGGCAATTAATAACATCATTGTTTTTAGCGCTCGTCAGTGCCCAGAATTGATGTCTTGACTTTTGTTTTCTCCGTCGCTCAGATTTGACAAGATCATCAACAAGGAAATTCCTTCTACCGTGGTTTACGAGGATGATCAGGTACTTCTTGATGCTGTGTGTAACCTTTATTTTTGCGAGCAGGAATTCAATGTGCTTGTTATAGACAGACAAAGGCAGCTGCTACGCCGCTGTTTCTATAGACAAATATTTATCACTGAATCATGCCTCAATATCACACCTAACAAAGATAATATCATTGAGAGGTCGGTCGCTTTTTATGGTGGAAACGGAAAACAATACAACAAAGAGTTATGCTCAAATTGTTCAGGCAAGCTGGGTTGGATTTTTTGCTGCTGCTTTTAGCTTCAATGGAAGTCATGCACTTATATGGTTTTTGGAGTCTTCTGTTTTTGTCCTCACTTATCCTCAGACATCCATTTTAATCCACGTTTTATTTCTTAATTGTTAATGAAACTTATGACGATTTTGAGTTAGATCCATCAAGTACTATGATTTGCACTAATAATTTGTTAAAGGTAACAAGGTACCACTGATCAAATCTACACTGAGGAAATTATTGTATTGGTATTGTTGGAAAAATAATATAAATTTGTATTTTGCTATTTATGTTTCTGAACTTCTGTTTCTGAACTTCGAAATGAGTTGTGGGTGGCTAGGTTTTCTTTATCCCTTGACAATGGTTCTGGCCTAATATGTTTGTTATTTTAACAGTATCACTGCAATTGATTATCTTATTTCGCTTGCATTTTTGACAGGTCCTTGCTTTTAGGGACATTTCTCCTCAAGCACCAACACATATCTTAATCATTCCTAAAGCCAAGGATGGGTTAACTGGTCTAGCCAAGGTACTTGTTATTGGGTTGTGGACTGGTGATCTTGCTGTTACCGTTGTTATATTTTGTTGCTTCTGATTGTTAAGTAGGAAAAAGTATCGCAGATATAAACATGCCCAGTGTAGATCTTGATTATCAGAGACTTTTGATAACAATATCTTTTCATCTATGAGATGGATATCAATTTTGGCATTCGTACTATTACTTGTCTCGGTCACTTCTTCTAAGCAGCGGTTCAAGAATCAAGTTGACCACTTTGCTTAGCCCTTCTATTCTAATCAAATATTCAACTATGTGTTTGGCCGTAATCAGATTGAGCTAATGTTAGACTCGACTAACATTTTAGTTAAGCATGGCAACGCCATATTGATTATTGAGTGGTGAAAAGATTTAGAATAAATTAACGAGATAAGAACAAAGGGAAATACATTAGGCACTGGGAAGCAGTTATTCTTTCCTTGTTTACGAGTTCAGTGAAGAAAAAATGGGGGAGGCTGTTCATTCTTTCTGCACTTGAGGCATTCTGTAGCAAGTGGAGGACATAAAGTGATAAAACATATTCAACTGGATTGCGCTTACTCGTTACTATAAGTCAAATTGATCATTTTTCATATTTTCCGTTATGAGTTCCTCTGTTTTTAAATCTTTCCTCCATTATGTAATGTTTCCATTCCACATCTAGTGGAAATATCATAAATTAGCAAGAAAAAATGTGCTTCTGTTGAGTCGTGTATATGAATTCAGAGGCACATTTTAATTTTACCTCTATTGGAACTTTCAACCTTGTACCTTCATAGTAGCAGCTAAAACTGTTCAACTTTCAACTCTGGCTATTTGTGTGCTTTTATTCTGACTTATCATGGTGCTGTGCTGTTGTCCAGGCTGAGGAAAGGCACTGTGAGATTCTTGGCCGCCTTCTATACACTGCAAAGCTGGTTGCAAAGCAAGAAGGTCTTGATGATGGTTTCCGGATTGTAATTAATGATGGTCCAAGTGGATGTAAGTGCTCATCCCCCTGTCAAAATTTTGGTCAGAAATTGCTTGGGAAACATATAGTGTCTAGTTAACTGATGTAGTCAGCCATTAGAAACTCAATGAATTGGTCATTTGATCCCACCATATGTGTGCCTTCGTCTATCTCATTTAAGCTCGCTTTACGTCTTTAACTTTCATATTGAGTTATTTTTGGCAGGCCAATCAGTTTATCACATTCATGTGCACCTCCTTGGGGGACGACAGATGACCTGGCCCGCCGGCTAAAATTGAGGGGAGGATTCGTGGCGAGCCACATGACTTGCAGGAAACTTCCGGCAGAAGGCATTTATTTGCCCCAATGCTATCTAAATTAATAATGAACGGTTCAAGTGATCAGAGTCTATCTATTAGTAGTTCTCCATCTAATAACGGATTCATGGTGGCTGTTATTACGTGTTGATGACAATTGACAACTAGAATTAGGTATAATTTTATCCTTACTGAATGGCGTGCTTCCTGGACTCTGAATGCCCGTACGAAGCTCCGAAGGATGTGCTATTAAAGTTCTGGATGGATTTTGTCTATGTGCCGCGCTGATATATTGGTAGAGCTTTTTTCAAAATAAATAAATAAATATCTAAAGTGCAAGCGCTTATACCATGCGATAATCTCATAATCTTCAAACCACGTAAAAGGAAGAAACTGAATGTACAATACATAAATATAAATTTATGGAAGCTTTTTAAAAAAATAAAATAAAGAACACAGTGTCCCTGTGCAATTTACTAATAGATTCACTATGGTAAATTTTATGAATTCTTACAAGATACTCATATGCATTATATGATTCTTGGGTATTTAATTTGTTGGTATAGCTTAACCCTAACAATGGATTAATATATTATAGGGACTTGTCCTATATCTAGTCCTACAAATGGATTCATAATAAATGAATAAAAAGGTGCAATTTGGCGCTGGTCCCAGATGAGAGAGAACCTCCCCCCCAAACCAAAAATATTTTTTATTCACAGTTACCAAATCCAAAATCTTATTAGTGCTGATTTATTTTCAACTGTAGTCATTCAAGTGTGACTGATGAAGACGTTCGTAATAATACATGAATATAGTTGTAATCAGGCAACTTAACCTGCTTCAGTGATTTGTTAAAGAAAACATTAATCAATCCTAATAATAATAATAATAAAAGTGCTGTAGAAGAACCCTCTTCTTTTCTTCTCATCACTTTCCCCCTCTTCTTTTTCTAACTTTTAGATCTTAAATCAATATTTTAATGGTTCAGAATCCAATGAGTATAAAAAGAAGAGGAGGGAACATCTTAGATTTGATTCTAATATGAGAATTTAATTCATTTTGTCTCTTATTTTTCTTTATACTATTTTTTTTATACACATAGTTAAAGAGGATAAATTAGAAAAATCAACACACGTTTTAAATAAATAACTAGTTTAATTAATTTTTTTTAATATTTTTAAATTAACCATACAGCTCTTATATATTATGAGGATGTGATAATAAAAGAGGAAACCAGGAAAGGAAATAGAGTATAACGTAGTTTCTGCGGTACCTGTCTGGATGTAATTGGGAACTTGACATGAAAAGCAGGACAGAGGTAATAAAATGCTGCAAATTTTGACATCATGCGAGATTACCCTGATCAGTTATCAGGGTCTGAGGTTTGGCTTTCACTCCAATCATCAAAATAGAAAACTTCGACGTACCATTCATTGAAGCGGCTTCTATGATAAGCCTTCTTGTGATCCAGCTTCTTCTTCTTCCTCCAGACACCACCATTCTTCTTCTTCAAGGTCAAAAGTGACGACTCTTTCTCAGCTTCTTCCACAAGGTTATGAAACTCAAGTGGCCCTCCTGAAGGGATCCTTGAAATCCTCATAGGATGCCTTCCCATTACTCTTTTCTTATCAGTGATCTCAGCGGTGACCCGATCTGGCACAGCAAATGAGATTCCAAACTTGCGTGGAGCTGACCTTATAGTGCAGTACTTCAAGCTCATTCTCTTCAGGGGATAGTGTCCTCTGTTTTCTTGCTTAGTACTTGCCCCGGTAAGAAAAGTTATCTGATTTATATGGAGTTTGACGAATGAGGATACCATAGGGCCATTGGAAAACTATGGACTTTTCATAGGCCTGTGTCTCTTCTGCTGCTTTTCTGATTGCTTTTATGGACCTATAAAGAGATAAAGGTCAAGTTTTGAGCAGTTCACAAATTCCGACGGCAGCGTGAAGATTAGAATTGGACTTTTGGCATTATTTTGATAAGAGCGAATCGTACTTGGCAAGCCGCAATGTATTGCATGCCGAAACAAGAAAAAGATGGGCTTAGGCGCCTGGCTGTGCTAATCCATTGTCCAAGGCCTGGAATGGTTAGCCCACAGTTTCGCTTATTAGTTATTACTATTGGTTCCTTTAATTTAATTGCCACCTTCAGGAACCTATGAAGCATATTCTTCCTTACATTTTTATTTCTCGAACATGTGTATCGTCCTATCAGAGTTAGTCAATGATGTTTGCATCCAGCACCAGAGATTTGATATGTCCTAAATGGAATTTAAATTTTAAGCTCTTGCCTTGTGAATCGAAAAGAGTACACCAAATATGTGATTTTTTGTTTTGTTTTACCTGCTAGTGAAGTTGTGTTTAGTAAAAAAAACTAGTTTTTGTTGGAAAATGGTGACCTCATTAGTGCTGAGCTTCTCTCTCACACACTATGTTTGTATGTATATGTGTGTAAATAGTAAAGCTTCGTTTAAATACATAAAATTTATTCAAAAGATTTTTTTGACAGCAAATTTTGGATCTCACTATTATTTTAGGACGACAGGATGAAGAACCTAAATCCAAATAATTGTGATGCGCACAGTGGGGATTGTTTGGATTGTCCTCAAATCAATGATGACGATGACTGGTGAGCTATAAAAGCCGCTTTTATGTAAAACGAAAAGGGGACCAGTCCCAGCAGCCCATTTCCCCCACATTGAACTTCAAAAAAAGTTTGAGGCACATGCAATGGACCCAAGTTACACAGAAGGACCTTCTACTTTCCGTTCGTTGCCCTTATCTCCAGGACCCTAACGACAAGATAGCTTTTTGTGCACCAGTACTATAAGCATGGAATTTATCACATTTCCGCTCAATAATCTCAGCATCATGCAAAGATTAAGCACTTTTGTCTAATTATCTTGTTCGGTTCTGTGGGCCAACAAAAATCCTTCTTCATATTCATGAAAACAACTAAAACACAACCTCCTAGATTTCCAATATCAGTATACTCCTGATCAAACCAAAATATCAATTCTCCCTACATAAAGAATTAGCTTAACACGCGCTACAATCTCTGAGACACAATGGAACACCGATTCCACGATAAATGAAATCTGATACATAATCCCAAAACGAGAGTTAAAAAAGGGGATTCGTGCCTCTAAAGAACATAATTTTGCCCTGCAACTATAAGAAGGAAGCATGCATGCACGCACATGACAGTGGAAATTGCTGAACAAATATACAGAATTATAAGCCATGTTCAGAAACGCGTAATGGCTACGTCGCAAAAGCAAGGGAAATGGGAGCAGTTTGACACATTGCGAGCGGAGAGCCAACGTAATGGGTTTTCGCTGTTTCCCCATGAGCTTCGCCGGCGTCGCCGAATTCTGATGCCTTAACAGGCAAGTTAACAGCACCAGTTGTGTCAAATTCAAAACCTTCTCCAGAGCTCATACTCCAATCGATGCTAGCCTCCCTGGACTCGTGCTTCTCTGTTATGGTTCTTGTCGTTGATTCCTTACTCTTAAACAAAAACCCACTGTTAATAATGGTATCTAACGGTTTCGCATCGGAGTTGGTTCCTGAATGTGTCGATGTGGCTTGAGTGGGGAAGCTCACAATCTCGAAAAGATCCGAACTTGCATCGCTTGCGGCGTCGTCATCGACGATTCCTGACTTGGGACTCTGTGAAACACTTCGGGGTTCAATATATGGGGGACCAAAAACTTCCAAAGAGTTACAAGGTGGATCTTCTTCTACTGATTTTGGGTTTAGCAGGGGAAAGGTGAAACCATCAGTGACAGGCTTAACACAGGCCATGACTTGCCGGGGCCGCAAAATCGTAGAAGCTTCATCATCATTCTCAGCTGTGTGGAGCATTTGAGATTTGGTGGTCAGTACATCCTGGTTCGAAGGTGCCTGGTCGACCATGTTGTTGGGTGAGATTGGAGTCCTACGAGCCTCAGACATGTTAGATACAGTCTCCGACATGGCAGGCTTTTCTATTGGGGTCCTCGGATTGGATTCAAGATCCTTCCTTTTGTGACTCAGAGAACCTCTACCATTTGGATTGTTTGATGGAAATGGAGGAGGAGGTGGTGGTAGTGCTGGTACTTTGGTTTTGGTCGCTGGTTTCATCTCCTTAACTTGAACAGATTTCTTATCGGCGCAGGGACATTTCCTTCGGCAAAGCCGTATGGGTTTCGACAATGAAGCTTTTATTTTCTTTTTGAGCTCAGTAGAGCGAGATTGATTGCTCATAGAGACTGGTTTCGCTCCTGAAAGAAGAGGAAACAAACCAGTGTGGCTATTATTCCAATTGGCTTCCGAAGAGGCTGTTGTTGCAGTTACAGCACCACCAAATGAACGATCTGTGTAGTTTCTGGGGTCAGCGTAGTCTGTACCAACAACATCACCCAAAGGAGAAAATCTTGTGTTGCTGCTAATGGTCAATTTTTGAATGTGATGGTTGTTCACTTGGTTGAAGAAGCTCTTGTGGGCATCGAAAATACTGAGCTCAAAGATGGGATCATCTATGGTAAGATAAGAAGAGAAATATGCATCTATATCTCTATTGGTCCGTGATTTCATAGCCAGGCTGCCATGAAAGGTCTTCATCGAAGTTGGCTTTTCCATTTTGCCTACTATTAGGGAAATTAGAATAAAAATTGTGATTAGAAAAACTAAGGATGAAACTGAACTGCTGAGTTGTTGCCTTCTGAAAAATGCTTTATGCTGATTTATATAGATCAGGATTATTGCCATCTTGTCTTGTAACTAATCATACGGCAAGCTGGAACAGTATATTCAAGTGTTTCATGAATGTAGAGATAGTCTTTTTTTTCCCCCCTTTTTTTGTGGGCGCAAGATAAAGTCTTTATTTAATAATAGAGCATTCCCTATATTCTATTATGCCTATGCAGTAGAATGATATATAACTGATTCATCTGCTCCTTGGCCATTTGGATGCATCATGGCCACCTCTCAAGTGCCAATTTCTTTCTAGAGTTAATCATTGAAACAATTTCTAAGCGAAAGCTAAATGTAGCAATCAGATATTGTATTTGTAGATGTGATTATAATAACATATTTTCGGAATTTACTGCAGGATAATCCTTTGCTGTCCTCAAATACTTGTCGGTACCAACCATCTTTAACTATTTTGTCACGTTTTGAATTGACTGATTAATAAACAACTATTTTTAAATTAGCTCGGGTAAGATAGAAAAATATGATGTTGACACGTGATGGCTTTTCTTTTTGCAAATTTATTGAGAACCTAGGGTCATGCATCTTGCCCAATTTATACAGTTGAAATCAGAAAAGAACGCTAGATGCTTGTAGTTGTAGGACTCCAAAACAATGTGTGTAACCATCAAGAGACCTAAAAAGTGAATGAACCACTTTTTCTTCTGATGGATTTTTCTTTCCAAACTCAAGATATGTGACCATTCCTCACCTTTCTTTCTTTCACTTTGTGAGTAAGCTTTATCTTCATGTGGCCGCGTGATAAGTTGAGTGGCATTGATTTAAAGAGATCAAGAAAAGAAGTGAGGCTCATCTGATCTGACATTAAGCATTAGCCAGCTGCCAATGTGAATGTCATGTGAGGGTCCATTTCATTTGACATTTATGAAAGGTCTCCAAACTTTGAACAACCCATATAGATCTGTCTCTAAGGGTTACCCAAATCGATCTTTTCAGAGTTGGATTGATTTTGGAAGCAGAGCATGGTGGGTCACCATTAACCTTCCAGGTAACATGCAATGCTTTATTATTATTGTTTCCTTTTTAGACCATTCATGCATGGCCATTGCCTGGGAGGAACGATTTTATTCTCAGTAAAGTTTTGGCCATTCAAATTTATGATTTTCTCATTCAGGACCCGTGGGTTGTACAATAATTGACATCAATGGAGGTTCAAAGATTCCTTCTCGGAGGTCAGATGTTTGGTCGAAGCAGTAGCCGGTGAACATGAAGCCATTCACATGAGAATTCTTATAAAACTTATCTTAGGATAATTATTAATTTATGTCATATATAGTGTGTGGGTAATAGGTAGAAATTCTGGTGCATTTCACCAGAAAAGACAGTTTGTTCAGTATGCTATAGGCATATTCTAAATATGAAAGTCATCTATTCCCAACAAGGGAATAACATAACTATTCATTCATGTTCACATTGTCTCGTTTGTCTCAATACTCAATTGACGAAAAGAAAAGAAAACCCTTAACTAGAACTATAGAGAAATGAAGAAGTTGGGTGAATATAGAGTTCAAGTATAATAGCTCAGAATTCAGAAAATGCGCATATAAAAGAAGTGATTCTGCTTATGTCTTCAAAGACGCAAATGCTATAGCACATTTAAGGGGAATGAAAAAGTTTTCGAAGTCATAAACAATCGTAGGCCCTCAACCGAAGGGGATGCCTGATATTTATCCTTTTATGGAGGTAAGGACAACGATCCCTAACAGTTTATTAGTGGCCATCATTCTTCACCAGAGAATCTATTTCAGCTTCGCAGTCATGCGTGTTTGGGTCAGTTTCATGGACTACTAGGATATCTTCGTTTAAAGCAATCTTAAACTCGAACAAAAGCTGCAGAAAATCCCCGAGGAATTATGATCAATAAAATTATATATATCTAGTCTTTGTATTTTTCAGAATAATATTATCCATGCACTAAGAGATCCCATGCCAACAATTGAACACGCAAAAATACCTGAAAATCCCTGTTTGCTCCCCAATTAAGCAAGGCTCTGATGTTCAGTTTTGCTTTTCCTGACTTTGGATGCCCGATGGTGGAAGTAGATAAATTGGATTAAAATCTAAAACTGATTTTAAGGAAGACATAGTTTTGCTACATCACTTAGTGCAAATTGCTCAAAGCAAGAATCTCATGTCTCCACTCTCTTTCTTTTCACATGTTTCAATGTCAGGAAATCACATGCTCTAAACTCAAATCCTATGCGTCGGCCCAAAAAAAAGAAGAAAAAACTCAAATCCTATGCATGTCTAAGAGTTTGGATAATCGACATAATTAACTATTAAAGTTAATAAGCTACCCTAAATCATACAGTTCTGTTGATCCTAAGCAATTGCTACTTTTACAAGAAATTCACTTTCTCTAACAAGATTAATATGCAATAATACAGATAGATTAGAAGGATACGAAAATATCAAGAAGGACACATCCTGCAGCATCCACGAGCCAAGGCAGGTTTGGTCTAATTTTTGACCATTCCATACTGCTCACTAGTATGCTATAGAAAAGGCAAAGCACAATTTCATGGGTATATCTGAAGATGTAAAAAGTCACTTTTGTACCAACACTCCAAACAGAGAAGAAAACATAACTGGCGGCATACCTTCCTACGTAAGTGCCGTTCCCAATCAAAGCAAATAAAAACATCAAAGGATTGAGACCCTGCATATGAAAAAAGGCAGCCATGAACGTTGTTGCTTCATGTAACCGGATAGAAAAATCGTCACTTCTCTCGTATATTCAGGAGAGGGGATCAAGGGAAAAAGATGGCTATGCGATGCTCACAGCTCACATATGCATATTAACGGCTTTGACAGTTAGAGTTTCTTACCTCAACATTACCCCTTTTTATCTGCAAAGTTGATGAAAATTTTGTCAACATGAATGATCAAGATATGCATACAAATAAAACCACTAAAACAGTATGGTTCACTTAAAAATGGAATTTTATTCATTAATTCTTGCAGTTTCAAAATCTACAAGAATAGCTACTTTTGTTTAGAGTGCTATAATTTGTGTCTTCCTAATATCCTTTTCGAAGTCCAAAAGCAAGGTATACCAATGATGTGATGGACTACTACAATCCACATCCACAACCATGCAATAAAGATTTCTTGAAAGTAAACTTTCTGACCTAACTGGCACCAAAATGTAACTCACATTTAAATGAATCTGAGGAAGTCTACCGCTCATATACAATGCTGCCATTGCCCAACCAAGTAGAACCCCAATGCCACTGCTCCCTTCCGAGTCATGCTCTGGCAACTGAACCCCATTAACCTGTATTTGCTGTAACTTAATGATCAATAGGGAACTGGAAATTCCCTTTTTCCTATGCTTAAAATCATTACAATCTTCCTGGTTGTGAAGGGGAAAGTTTATAGAAGACGAGAGAGAGAGAGAGAGAGTTGCGTGCAATTGTAACGCATCCCAATTGACCCCAAAAAATGTATTAAAGTTCAAACGAAAATGATGCTGAACAGGTCTCTTCCTATCCTTATAGGATGCGATGACTGAATTGTAAGCTGCCAGGCCAATATCCTGGCAGCTGTGAGCTGCACCTTACACAGCTAAACAAGTTGCAATTTGTATTACCTGAAAAAGCTTTCTACCAACTAGTATCACAAATTCATGCCTCGGAGATTTGACCATGGCATTGGGTCTTGTATCTGGTGATTGAATCAGATTTAAACCGGCAAGTAAGGTAAATGCAGACACCTAAACCAGGGCCAAATGCATTACACGTCAATGCCGGAGCTCTTGTATGTTTATTCACCCATAAGATAGTTGAAGGAAGTTTACCAAACATAGTGTGTTTTTTATCTTCAGAGCTGGCGCAGACTCTGGTGAAACAATTGGAGCAAGCAAGGGCTCCGCTTTAGAATCAAAATTGTCTGCAGAAGTAGGGGACATCCTCTGGGCTAAGACAGATCCAGCCGTGGGAGTATGACTTGTTGAAAGAGATCTTGCGGACCTAGTGTGTTTAAAATAAACTGATTACTCATGATAACTTTTCCACATTACAAAATAGAAGCCACCGGAACTCCAGTTACTTGCATGCTCGTGCATTTGAATCTCAGTGAATTTCAACATCCTAATGAAGAAATAAATGCAAAAGGAAGGCAAAATAAAGTGTATACAAATAAGAATTTCATTATGGCAAACACCTCATTTGAATATGAGTTGAAGCCTGATGTTCACAGGAGAATATGCAAAGCAAATCATGGAGCATTTTGTTCATTTATGCATGAATTGTTTTACGTTGTTCAATCAATGAAGGTTCAATAATCACTTTTTCAATAAGAAAGTAACGGTAAGGACCTTGAACAGGATAGGTTAGAGACTAGAGAAATAAGTTTCCCAGACAATCATATCTTTTAAGACGAAGGAGAGGACATTGCCAGTTACCCACAGAACATGATTGACGCATCCTTTCTCGAAGGCCAGAGATATTTGCATTATGAACTGAAAGGTATTCGACAAACTACATCTGAATTTTTAATATTTACTCAGATAAAGGAAATCAAATATAACCCTTGTACCAATACACATCAGGAGATGGAAATCTATAGAAAAGGATGAGCAAAAAGGGGCGCGTTGAGTAATTCTAAAAGAGAAAGATCAATTACTGGTAGTATAATTCTCCAGTGAACATCCGAGGAAGGGCTGGAAGGGGAATAGGAGAACTGTAGCCGCTGTCTGTGCTGAAAGCTTCGGCCCCATTGCGCTGGTAAGCAATATCAGTGCTTTTCGTCCCTTCATTACTGCTTCGTGCAGCTTTTGATGCCTCAGCCTGTCCGTCCAATGAATGCCAGAATAAAATGGAATTATCCATCAATTAGAGCATAAAAAAAATATGGTAACATATTTTTACAAGGCAATTATAGGTACAAGACTCTTTTCCATCACAGAATATGATCACATAGTTCCAACTCTCGAGAGACAAAGGAAAAATGCTACCAAATTATGAATCTGATGCTGTGCTTTAATATCCCTAGTTAACTAAAAAGATGCCTTCTAATGCGAATTCATTGTTAAGGATCTGATAATTATTTGTCCTTCAGTATGAAATAACTGAAAAATGGTTCTACGTGACCAAGAAATTCCCCTGAAGTAAACTGGACAAACTGATGCATAGTTACAGTGCATTGAACAATGAGGTTAGTATTATATCTGTGATTATCACTATAAAACAAACAAAAAATTAGGTTATGAGGTGCGCACATGCAGTGAAAAGTAATAGGCTTTGCACCTTGTTCTGTCTGTAGCATTCGAGTCGAGGATGTATGTATCCGTAGTATATGGTTTGCAAAGTAAGTGCAAGAGTTATAAAGGTATACAGCTGCACATTAGTACAACAGAAGAAAGATCACTTCAACCAGTTGTGGCCGGGAGGTCAGATATAAGAAAGGTTTAATGGGTATTAAAAGTCGCCAGAATTTAGCAAGAATTCTTACCACTGCTGTATAATATTGAGTTGGAAGCTGCATAAACATGGAAAAGCTATCACTTAACATATCCTTAATAGTTTAATTTAAACAATAGGATATGTATGCGTGCAAGCTTTTATGTATGGATGCGTGTGCTAATGGTGAACCACAATTTCAAAGTAAGTTCCACTACAATTGGGTAAAAGAGCACTTATGGCGATCCTTGAAACAGCCATCTAAGGGAACAAAATGAAGAGAACCTTCTATATGAAGCCAATGACTAGTTACTACAAAGGAGATCAAGGAAGGTACAGTTGACAGTGCAAATCAAGCATCCATAATCAAAGTGAAATCTAGATTATCCGAAAATTAAGGAATGCAAGGCCAGAAGTGAATAATTTTGATAATGATTAAATTATAGCATGAAGCAGGGTTCAATTGCTGGTAATGCGTTCTGTTATTCAAATTTGGTCATTGGTTGCATTTCAAATTGAAATGAGGCAAATTGTCGTGGCTGCTCAAGACAACATGAGTGTTCACTTTTACACTTCCCGTCATGGCAGATTTGTCATTCTGCACTCTCTATACATGGACTTATCATTCAGTATTATGTTGTTTGAATATTTAAGACGTTTTTTATCAAGCTGCCCCGGCATTGTCATGGTTTTAATGGTATGTTAAGGAATTTCCACGCTGCAGAATCCCAACTTAACAGAAAAAGACGAGCTCTGTTTTCGTAGAGATGTAGTGTTGCTTCATGCATGTAGCAAGTTACTTGAACTGAAGCTTTTACAGATCATGGCAAGAACAAAATCACTCTGAGATTTACAAGAAATAAAGCACTTAAATACTCACAGTAGCAGGTTCTAACGAGCAGCCTATGAGGTTGAATAGATCTCTGCACAAGGGAACAAAAATAAACTGTATCAAAATATTGAACATAGGTTGAGAACTCTAAGCTGGTATTTTTTAGAAGATTCCATCGAAGAGAGACTAATAGAACAAGAGAATGGGCAATTAGATAAGAACATCGTCCTAACAAAGTTAGCAGCTTACGAGAAGTCAAAGAGAGAAATGACTAACCCGAGAATCCATGTCGTCAAGAAAAAGGTAGAGAGGCCTTCGGTGGATTTGTTTCTGAAGTTCGTGATGATTTGAGGAATCTCAGCCACAACCCAAGTAGCAACACTGATCATACCCAACGTGAAAGAAGTTGTCTCCTTCACACTGAAAAGATGCATTTGAGCCCATTGCGAGCAATGCTGGTCGCTAGGACATGACGGCGTGAAACTCCCAAAGACTCCCATCGCATCAAAGTGTCTGCGCAGTTCCAGAAATGCAGCAAGTCAATGACAGAGTCCCTCCTCAAGAAGACACAACATAGTGACCAGATTTTGTCATAAGAAGCCAAAAGATGCCAATAAAATAGTATATCCCCTTGGAAGTGTCACGAATGATATAGCAAAGTAACAATAATATAGGACTGCCTTTCATAAAGTAAATATCTTTTCAACTTTAATGATTGCATGAAATTCGGCGTTCCTTAAATTAAGCCAAGAAAAAGAAGCACCCTTTTGTCCTAAATGTGAACGACTGGAACCACTAGAAAGCAGAGCAAGGAAGGTAGTAAACCATTAAAAATTTAAGGTATGATGCAACAAGTCTGGACTTAGACAGAAAGGCACGAACCCAGAACCAGAAAGGGAGCAAGCAGAATATTGACGATTATTATAAATAGTGTGATCGGAAGCACCGAATAAAATCATTGTGAATAAAATATTGTTTTCAACAATTATTAATGTTTGCTACAATCTCACTTCGGTGGAACGCAGGAGACGACAGGTCATTGGAACGAAACTCACACGTGAAACGCAAAAATATGTCACATGCACAGAGGATGAATACCGTCAAAAGAAAGGAAAAAAATTTCGACTACACTGATCGGAAAAGCTGCGATTCATGCGAGAGAGACTGCTTATGCTTGCGTTGTAGGTTGACGAATTCGAAAGGGCTTTGGATTTCCGGCGAGGAAAAAAATGGCGTTCGTCGCTGCTCAATTAGCAGTGGGTGGCGGCCAACGCTAGTTACGTGGAGACCTGAGCCCTCCTGAGGCTTCCTTATACATATGAATCATGCAAGCAAGCACATTCCATGTATCCAAATCGATTTTGGATAACTCAAATATAATTTAAATTTTTCATGCTCCTTAGATAATTTTTTAATTTTAATATATACATGTATTTATTTTAAAAGATACATGTAGAATAATGACAATATCATAACTGATAAGAAAAACCAATTTATTGCTAATAAATTATATATTAAAAATTTCAAAACTTAATAAGTACAAAATACTATAAAATAAAGATAGCATTATAACTAATACAGTATCTTTTAAAAAAATAAATTTATTATTAAAAATTTATCTCTTTGATTTTTATTATAAGGTGTTTTTAACTGATTCTCATGTTTTAAGGAATGACCATTATAGAGAAATATTTGTTATGAGTTTTTTAATATGAAACCTTAGTAATAATAAGAGTAAAATTAAAAAGTAGTGATTAATGAGTAAGTTAATAATCTATATATAAGACAAAAAGTTTCTTAGAGAAGTTTATAATAAGAATTAGAGACTGTATAAATTAAATTTTTTAAAATTTAATCATTCAAATCAAATTTTAAATAGTGGTCTATGAATAACCAACAAACTGTTGGTTGAGGTAGTAGTGGCCTCATTCCCGTAAGAAGAGAACATGAGTTTAAGTCCGGGAAAGTATATTTATTGAGGGGGCTATTCCTTGACCGTTGCAGGCCTGAAAGGGATTAGTCTCAAATCTAATATGACTTGGAAATACCCTTGTTTCATCCCAAAAAAAAAAGTAAAAATAGTAGTCTATGAATAAACAATTTTATTTTTGACCAGACTATGAAAAAACGATTTGATGAGGTGAAATCGGATGAGCGACAACCAAGTGACGAAAATGATTTGGCAACAAAAAACTAGCTAAAAACTTGATTGGGGAACGAAGATTTCGTTATTCTTTTTGTTGTTTTAAATTTACATTTAAATAATTGGCAAAAAATACATTTACCTTTAATAAATAATTCACAAGTTTTATTTCGTATTAAAGTCAGGGAATCGACTCTCCATTAATTGCTTGATATTTTATTCGATTAATTTTGTTTTTTAGGTTATACTATATTGAAGAAGGTACAATATGAGTATCTTAACAATTGTTGCTGTTGGCCCAAAAAAAAAAACTCTTTCATATTTCTTTATTCGATTAATTTTTTTTATTTTAACAATTATACTAATATTTGTTGGCCTGAGTGATGATTCGATTATTAATTATTCTTAAGCAAATTCTCAAATTTAAAATTATAAATAAAGAAAATGATGAAAGACCCCCCCCCCAAAAAAAGGAGTTTACTTGATTTAGTTGAGATTAGCCATGACTCAGTACCATAAGATACGGGATGATTTTAAATAAGAAATTATCTAGTCTAAGCTAATCAAATTTAAAGAGAATTCACAACAATTCCTTCCAAATAATTTGCAATCCTAACTCAAATCAAATGTTACAAGCAAGATGAAGAAAGGGAACAGCTAGCATGGGCATAAGATGGAACTGTGTGTTAATTTTGAAGATTAAGACCGATTATAGACTATTAGGGCATTGATGATATATCCATGATCCACTATTCCACTCTATCTAGCTTTCCTTCATAATAAAATACATTCTCTTTTTTTGGTTCTAATGACTAAAAGGCATAAAAGGATAGAGTGTAAAGTATAATGTCAGGTGATAATGACGTTGAGGGCACATTAAAGACGAAGGCGGAGCCCCTGGCTCCCTCCACACTTGCTGCGCCACTGGCCGTGAAAAGCACCACTATGGCCTTCCCTCTATGTTTTTATTTTTGTTTTTATTTTGAATTGTTTAGACCAAATTGAAAGTGGTTTGATTTTAATGTTTTTAAAAAATTATTATTCGAAAGTATTTAATGCGTAGAAGATCTTTATAGCAAATACCAGAGAGAGTGATTTATACATAAAGGACTGAAGAAAAATTAAAACACACACACCCACATTTTTTTTTTTTTGGAAATAAAGGCAACTTCATTAAAACAAGCAGGATAAAAACATTACAAATAAAAACACACCCGCATATGTTGTGTCATACACAGTTTCATGTACTTCCTACTATGCTTAATATAAAGCTAATTTACCATTCAATTTGGTTCTAAATATAATATTTTAATTTATTTTGTCTCTCATATTTACCTAATATAGTCCTTACAATAGTTGCATATATTAAAAATGTCATCAACTAACAAGGTGTTAGTTGAGATAATATGTTATCTTACCCTGTTAGGAGAAGAATACAAATTTAAATCCTAAGAAGCATATTTGTTAGAGAGGTTTTAACCTTAACGCTTTTGACCTGATAAAAATTAGTTTTAGGTCTAAAATGACTTGAGAATACTCTAAGTTATATATAAAAAAAAAGAAGAGGTGAGTTAGGTCCAGAGACTCACCAAAACCAGGATATACCTTCAAGTTCATAGAGTTCTTACAAAAGTATTTACAGATCACTCACCAACAAAGTCCTCACAGCAATCGAACTCGCAGCTGTCGGGTTATGAGCCAATTTCTTACTAATTAGACTAACTCTTGGTGGTAGTATTCATATAATTCTGCTTTCAAACATAAATATATAAAAGTAGACGATTCAATGTGATGAGGAATAGGATATAGTCAGAGTAAATTTATTACCTCCCAAGTGGTCTAAAAATGTACCTATTTTAAGGCCTTAATTTGCTTGCTTTTCAGGAATCGGATATACTGCATGGTAGCAAGATTGCAAGCAATAAGTCCAATGGCATAAATTCGGTCTCGCTTGTGAAGAATATCGACCTCGTTTATTGGCGCCAAACTGAGTAACTAAATATTGTTTCCATTTTGGTGTTGCAGATGTGGGCATATTCTATTATTACACATACAGAGAGAATAAAATAATCCTAGTTTCTTCAACTTTGAACGATATATATAGGAATCTAAATATATTCTTCTGATTTTCGAACCCCATCAAATTAAATTCCCGTTCATTCTAATATGCCCTTATGATAATATTGCAGACGAAGAGGATATGATTATTTAAGCATGCATGCCACAGTTTCTGCCGGGACATGCAGAACAGGGCGAAATTAAAGAAGCATTGTTCTGCTTCATCGGCCATAGAAGCATTTCAAAATCTCCGGAACTGCAAATAGCAACATGTTTGGTTGGCCATTTGGGAAAACCACACTTCCCAATGCCCTGTCTGTAAGTACATATCAGTCACCTCTGCATCGTATGTAACCGATGATATACATATACATATATATATATATATATATGATCCTCTTAACAATGATCTATCAATATTCTCCTCTGATTGGTTTGACATCAAGTCCGTGACTGTGAATTCCATGGCCATATATAGATTGTGGAACTGAAGGTGCATATGGACTGTGAAGGGTGTGAAAAAAGGATCAGAAGAGCAATCTCCAAACTAGATGGTAAGATCCCAATTCTGTACTGAGACAAATCTGAGTAGTTAACAGAATTTACTTCTCTTTATCATCTTATAATTATGTTTTGGTGTTACAATATTACGAAGGAGTGGATAGCTTGGAGATAGAGATGGAGAAACAGAAGGTGACCGTGACAGGGTACGTGGAGACGAGGAAGGTGTTGAAGGTGGTGAGAAGAACAGGAAGGAAGGCAGAGTATTGGCCATTTCCATATGACACTGAATACTATCCATATGCATCGGAGTACTTGCACGAGTCTACCTTCACTTCTTCCTATAACTATTACATGCATGGGGACAACGAGAGCGTTCATGGCTATTTTCCAGAGCAGGCATATCCCACTGTCCCAGATGAAACTGTTGCTCTGTTCAGTGACGACAACGTTCGTTCATATTGCTCCATTATGTGAGCCGCTCTGCTATAACTGATATCATAACATGTAAAACTCAGCAGTGGATATCATCAGACAACTTCAATGTATGTCTATGAAATCTCCTTCTGACACAGATTATCACATAGATACTTGAGATTGTTGATCATGCTGGGTTTTCTTGGTCATGCTAGTTTTATAACGATTGAATTCACCGATATCTACAACTTGCTTATAATTTAAGATGTTTATTGCCATGACATGGATAATATGTAATCGTTGAAATGCGTCGAACTTCATAACTTAACCGCTGTGAATCTGAGAGACTCCATAAATAGAGAAATCACAACAATTAGTATCAGAAGCGCTGGGAAAATTGTCACGAAAATCAAATTTGTAAGGAGGCATGTGATGAGGACCACGTTGAAGGTACATGGGAAGGGGTTTCTGATTTCGAAGGAGTTCACGTATGGCAGGATTTGAAAGGCATGGCTTAAATCATCAAACGGCGTCCGTCAACTTGTGAAAAAATAGACGTTTGGGAGGTTGGTCGCAAAAAGCCCATGAAGCCAAGACACCTGGGGATGCAAACAATAGACATTTTTTCCCATTTGATCAAAATTTCTTTTTAAGACGTCGAGTGCCAAAAGCTTTCGCTTCCTTACGGAAATAAACCGCTCATCACCTCAACTAATAGATAATTTTTTTGGTTCCAACCTCCAAGTTCTAACAAGATATTTATTTATTTAATTTTTTTCCCACGTGAAAGACGATAATTCATTTTGTTATTTTACACATTTAAAAGTTATCAAAATAATTTTTAAAAAAATTGAGCAAAGGCTTTGAAAAATATACAGGTTGGACAAATCAGCAGAAATAAAAAGCAGTACTGCCAACTTATAAACAGCTCGATTCTATATAAATGTGATATTTTACATTGATATTGATGCCATTGGAATAGGTATTCCTATTGTTTCAAACAATCAGCTTGTTTGTTCGGGGGTTGGATTCTCAACACCCTCAAAAACAAACAGTGGTCAACATCTCTCTCCCCATACATTTAAAAAAAGCTCTCCAAATAATCATGAAATGTCACCTTTGCTATTTAGAAATTATGTACATTCAGTGCAACGAGAACAGACTTTCTCCTTCGTACTGTCTCATTGTCGCTCGCCTTTCGCTTTCTGAATTGTCTCCATGGCTTCTTCGAAGGATTTCTGAATTCAAAATATAATCACAAAATTAGAAGTGTACCATTTGGTAAGGTGGCAACAGATCCCACAGGTTGCCAGGATTAAAATAACAGAGATAGCTTAAAATCGCTCCCTGAAGACCTGCTGCATAATTTTAAGTAGAAATTTCAATTTGTAAAGCGCAATTTTCCAGCCAAATGCCCAAATGCGAAGATGTGTGTGTAAATATTGTTTGGCTTTTCTCTGGCATTATATTTTAAACTGATCTTGTGACTACAAATATGTATTTTTGAAGTAATTGCACAAGACAGAAAAATCAAAGGACAAGAACTTAGTTGTAATGGGGTACTTAAACGAATATGGATCATCAAGTAAAAGTCGAAAAAAAGAAAATGACAATATCGATAGTTTACCCCCGAATTTTGCATCTTCCATATGGCTTCTCGGCTTGAATCAATAATGACAATCCCTCCTAAGAAAGCTCTGCATTAACATCCCATATCAGGACATGAGATCGTAAAGCTAAAAGCAGCTAACATTTAGATAGCATATTCCAGACAGTATACTAAGGATACCAAATGAGCGTAAAACAAGTTCTATCCCTTTCTTATTTGGAAATGCACAAATGATAGGCAACAAGAAACCAAAGTAATAAATCTTCAGTTCCCAAAATATTTGGACACTTCTTTCAGTTTATTTCTTAATCGAGAAAAGTTTTATTATTAGAATATAATCCAGTCAAGAAAACAATGGGCAGGACATGTATTAATGCATTGTGTACCCTATTTATTAAGATATATTATGCATACATCTAACGCATGCTGGGCTCATACTTTGAACAATAGAGTTCTAAGTTTACAGTTTAAAGTAAAGGAAAAAATAATTCTGACTCATTAAGATTCCATATCTAAGCATAAAGCAACATCCACCCATCTGCAGGAGATCAATATTGATATCAAACTTGAAGGTATAAGCAGCTTAATACAACATCCCCATCTTGAACACCCAACAAATGAGTAGAAGACTGAAAGTGAAATGCATTGTATGTCACACGCAAGGACATGAACATAAGAATCGTAACAAGCTATTTTGTTAGATCTTATAATATTAGGAGACAGATTCTATAATAGAGAAGAGACAATTAAAACAAATCAGTTTAAAATGTAGGTATGACCCCAAAAAAAAAAAAAAAAACGAAATCATTGAAGAAAACACAGAGAAAAGGGATTGCTTTACCCAGCAAAGCCAAGATTGAGGAGAAAAGCTCGCGTAGTCAGAAACCGAAGAGCTGACTCAAACTTGGACGCCATGCCGCCAACACTAAAGCCAGAACCAGATTTATAGCTATATTTGTAATTGTTCGTGTTTCCTTTCCCACCATAGTTATAACTATAGTAGTAATAATAGTTGTAACCGCTACTCCCACCAGCAGAGAAGCCACTTCTGCCAGTGCCAGCCCGCGATCGTATATTGTAGTCCGCACGCTTCCGATCATCCATGAGGACCTCATAAGCCTCAGAGACTTGCTTGAATCTGAGAGTGGCATTGTCCCTAACGGCCTTGGACGATTGCGAATGCTTGTCTGGGTGGAACTGGAAGGCCAATTTCTTGAATGCCGCTTTGATTTCTTCTTTACTGGCGCTCTTCTGCAAACCTAGAACCTTGTAATGATCCATGGTGCTCAATTAAACTCAGTATTGATGAAATTCGCTATATTTCTTGAACTTTCCCACCGGGAAACAGGAAGTGGACGAGTCGTTGAGGGAGGCATAGACCGAAGATCACATGTTTTCTGCTTCGGCAAGTTGGATGAACGAGTTTGGTTCATGGCGCCAGACTCGAGCGCGCAGCAACGCAAGTCGTGGCGGAGCCGCAGCCGCTTCTTTGTTCTCGCCATGGGGTTGGGCTTGGGCCAAGCCAGCGCTAGGGGCCCATGCCCTATGGTCTGGTCACTTCAAAGTTGAAATTCAACGGCCTCATGGAATTTGTTCATTGCTTTGCGCGCGCGTATAAAAAGAATTAGTTCATTACTTGGTGGGTAATTAAGCCGATCTAGGCGGTTTTCCTATTAAAATTTGATATTGGTTTTTTCCTTTTGAAAAAAGAGCGTAGACTAAACGGAGGATGAATTATATTTGGAGTCACCAACGACTTTTAAGCAATTATTGCATTTATATGTTAACCTAAATACATTTTCCCAGAAGGATATGAAACATGAGTGACATTATTTCCTCATTTATTATATATATACATACCCTCCCTAAACATAGGGCGAAATTTATATAGATAAAATTCCATTCTATAATTTGAATAAGAAGAGGTATATGTGCATTATAAATGAAGTATTTACATCTTATAATAGAAATTTAGGATGGTGTATAAGTTGACTGTTAAGAAGAGTCTGATCTGGTCATATATAAAAAAAAAAAACTTAATAATGATGTCACGTGAATATGAAGGGGGTATTTGAATTAATTTTTTAAAATTAATTTTAAGGTGTCAGGAATAAATACTCCTCTGATCCTATTTATAAGGCATTTTCAATATGACACAGATCAAAAAATCTTAAACTGCATTAACTCTTCATTAAAATATATAACTTTCTAATTTTACCTCTATTTAATATATACATATTTTAAAAAAATCATTAGCTACACTATAATAAATAAAAGTCAATATAGTATATTTATAGTAAAAATTTAATAAAGTGACTTATAAATAAGATTAAAAATTTTTCCTCCACTTTATAAATAGAACTAGAGGACTGCGTGGGTAGTTTTGTTTCAAAAACACTTGTAATGTTGTAGGGGTTCTCAAACGGCCCCAAAGTCTCTGGTTAAAAAAAAAAAAAAAACAGCCCCAAAGTCAAGAGCAACTACTCTTCTGCTTCATATTATCCAATGAGCATGTCATCTCTGTCGTACCTAAAAAAGAAAGAGTTTGTCGTCTCTGTCCTTCAAAGTCAAGCGCAAGACCCCGTAAGCAGCGATGATGACACGAGGGCACGTCGTGAGGCACAAAGAAGAAAAACCAAAAGAGAAGCGGGCAACGATCTCATTCACCAACACGGCAATTTCTTCCTTCTTTATCCGTCATGGGTCCGCTTAAATATATAAAATATTGATTTTAAAGTGCAAATTATTCAATAGTAATTAAAAATAACCAAACCAGGCCATATGAATATTAAACGAAACCATATAGCACGCACCATAGATTTCCTGCCTTGGGTTTCACAGCATTTTGCCATGCTAGCTCGTTGAGAGAGAGTTGGAGCTAGTTCAATATCAAACCCAATAAGCTTTTAGAGAAAGAAAAAAAGGAGATTAAAATAGTAGCGATGGTGTTATCTTTTCTCCTTCATCCCTGTCTCTCCCCCTTTCGTGCCGTCCCACTCTCTCGCTGTCCAACGATCAAATTCCATGGCAATGCCATATAATGCATCAGAATCAAATAAATGCAGCTCCTTATAGCCTTAAGGTGTAACTAGAGGAAACACAGAAAAGCGGAGGATTCCCATTGCACTATATTTTCGGTTTCCTCAATCTCCTTCAAAGTTTCCTTCCTCTATCCATCTCGTCTACTGTAACTCATTCATTCGCATATCTGTGCATCGGTTTTCAGGAGTTGCATTGTTCGTTATGATTCCGCTTAATATCTCTTGGTTCGTTGTTTAGGTTAGTTTCATCTTATATCGCATGGCGTGGTTTTTTCTCATAACTGTTTTTCGTGGAGCGTAAGGGTCTATGCTGGTTCGCTTCTGCATGAATGGTTGAAACAGATTTAAATTAGAGGATATAATATAAAGATAGACGGAATCAGGGAAAGAGAGGAAGATGGGATCTGCACTGGAAATTGGAATCCGAATGAGGAACATGCTGACTTCTCTAACCAAGGCGTGTTACAGATTTGTCCGGTGCCATCCATGTCTTGTGTCTTTTCTAGGATTCTTGGTTATTCTGTGCAGACGGTTTCCTTTTGTGGTTTCCATTTTGGTATATATGTCCCCTGTTCTGGTCTGCACTGGTGTTCTGCTTGGCACCCTTCTGTTTTTCGGTCAATTCAACTTAGCCGAAGTTCAAAAAGAAAAGAAGTTTACTGATAACGTTTCATCCTTTCATATGGGATTTTCAGAGAGTGCCACTGTTATTTCCAGGAGAAATGAATACAAAAGTATCACAGAGGAGAGGAGCATTGGAGAAGCAAGTTTGGTGAAAGACAAAGTAAACAAGGCTGATCAAAATGATGGTTTACTTTCGTTAAATGTGCCGGTGGTTGATAAAAATTCTCTCAATATTCAACCTGAGAAACAAGTGAAGGACGAAATGAAGAGGGAAGTTCTTGAGGAGAAATTGAAGGCCAAAGGTGTTACAAGAAATGCTGAAGCTATTCACGGGGAGGAGGAGGAGGAGGAGGAGGCATCAGAGCAAGGGTCTGATGATATTGAGAGCTCCTCACCAGATGCTTCCATGGCTGACATAATCCCTGTGCTTGATGAGCTCCACCCACTATTAGACATGGAAGGCCCACAAACTGCTCATTCGTCCCGTGGTGGTTCTGGCATTGAATATGAGAAGTCTCTGAAAAGCGATGATGGCAGTGTTGAATCAGATGAAGGCACTGAAATGCCAGATTACGAGGAAGATGAAGCAGAAGAAAGCGGCATAGAGGATGAGAGTAAATCTGCAATAAGATGGACAGAGGATGACCAAAAGAATCTCATGGATTTGGGTTCTTTAGAGCTAGAAAGGAACCAACGTTTGGAGAATATCATTGCAAGAAGAAGAGCTTGGAGGCAGATTACTGAGAAGAATCTAATAGACTTGGAAAGTACTGAAGTTCCCTCAAATGTTCCACCCATTGTCACAAGACGCAATCCATTTGATCTCCCTGATGATTCCTATGATGATTCAGGGCTACCCCCAATTCCTGGGTCAGCTCCATCCATTTTGCATCCTAGAAAGAATCCTTTCGATATTCCTTTTGATCCCAATGAAGAAAAACCTGTCCCCAAAGGAGACAGTCCTAAAGAAGAGTTCCCTGTGTTTAATCAGAAAGATACATTTTTCCGTAGGCACGACAGTTTCAGTTTGGGACCATCAGTCTTAAGGATGACTAAACATGAGAGACAGGATATTTATTGGAAACCCATCTTTGTGTCGGAGCAAATGGCTTCACAGGGAACAAGCTATTCCTCGTTCCTGATGCAACAAAGTGAAGTAAGTGATTCAAAATTGAGTTCTATTCCTGAAACTGAATCAGCCAGTTCAACTGATCAAGAAGAAAGGATGTCCAATGAACAAGATTTGCCTCAAGAAGCAGAATCCTCGGGCGAGGTTGACTCTACGGAGATGACACCAGAAAAGCAGAGAAATGTTCACCGTGAAGAAGTTGAAATAGTGTTGGGTGGGGTGGAAAATAATTCTGAGACAGAACTTTCTTCTGAAACAGGAGATGCTGTAATTCACGAGGAATTCAATATAGGCGAAACACATCTGAGAAGAGAAGTTGATGAGCAGAGCAGCAGTAAATCAAGTCGGTCTTCTCTATCAGAAAGCGATTGACGAAAAATCAGCTAGTGTGCAGCAAGAAGAAAAAAACCACCTTCAGGAGTCTAGAATTATGACACAAGCTTCTGTGGAGGACTCGGATTTGCAGTTTGAAAGTAGTGAAGTGGAAGAACATCAGCACAAGGAGCCTGTTTATGACTCTAGCCCACCAGCTGCTAGAAAGCTTCAGTCTTTTTATTCTATATATTTTGATTCAGCTACAGACTTTTTAGAAAGAACTTCCTCTCCAGCTTCAGTAGAAACGGCTGCAGATGTGACCGATGAGAAATCTGAACTGCATGATCAGAGAGAAGATCATAATACTTGTGATCATGCAGAAGACCACTCAGCCTCTTTCCAGCCACATATGGATCAGGATAATGCAGAACTTCATCGAGATTTGGACAAGAAGGCTGATTCTGTAACTTCCAATTGTCAACATGTGCAATCGGAAGAAAAACCTCCGTCTCACATGGAGAATAACCTGTCAAGCTCAGATACACCTGTTGCCGCAGCATCTATTAGTGATCACAATGAAAACCAGGTAAGATAAACAATTGTTACCACTTGGAACTTCGTTTTGATTTAAATCTACATTGTTGTCCCATGTTCCTTTTTTACCCCTTGCTTTTGTCAGTTACGTAACTATTCACAGTCATTGCTAATGAAATTGACAAAATTTGCTACTTGCTGTGGATTAGAATATCACATAAGTTTTCCTCTCGTCTAACTTTCACTGAAGCCCCCCTTTCAAGAAACGGAAGAAGAGATCACATAGTGGGAAATTTTACAAAAGTACATTCAGATGGATGTCTAATATAATGCTTGGTGTTAATGTGAAATTTCAGTTTCATTGCTATGCTCAAAGTGAGGATTTTTATTGTTTCTCATCAGTAAGTATTCATATAATAAATTCATTGTCTGTACTTGCATGCGCATGCGAGATGTTCACGACCTCTATTCAATCCTTCATGTATTTTATCTAGTGAACATCAACAGCTGTGCCGGCATTGATTTGGCGAACTATAAGTTCAGTTACTAATCCATGACTGGGAATCTAATCATATATTCTTTTGACATTGTGGAAAATCATGTCATCTATGTAAAATCCATTCAGGATGTAGGCACTTCCAACAATGGAGATGGAGAATTTTACGATGCCATAAATAAGTTTGATCGAAGCATCTCATCCTTGAGCGATGATTCATCCGTGACTCCTGAATTTAAATCGCCCGCTAATGGATCACCAAAAGATATAAAGAGGGCAGAGGTTGAGCAGGGTATTCCAGTTCTTGAAGTAAGATCAGCCGAAGAGATAGACTTGGCTTTTAAACAACTTCAAGAAGGAGCGGATGTTGAGGAGGTCATCCTTCCATCCATGATTAAAGATCAGCTTGGTAGAGAAAAGTCTGGAGGTAACTCAGAAGCTAATTCACACTTGAAAGTTATTGAAGCTGGATCATTGGACGATATTAATGTTGCTTTTGAGCTAACCTCAGAAGTTAATAAAGAGAAGCTGTCCAAATCCTCAGATTTGAAGGATGGAATAGGGAAAGGGGAAGCAAATGAAGCGGGAGAATTTATAGGTGGAGAATCAAGCAACCATGAAATAAGCAAAATCTCTACGGAAATATCAGAAAAGGTACCCAGGAGCACCTCTAATAACGAGGCAACAACTCAAAGTAAACGATCAAGTTCTAGTTCCTGCTCTAGCTCGGGTGACTCTGATTGACACAAGATTCAGCATGAGCAGCGTTTTTCTGCAACTGAAACAATTTTGAATATGCAGAGGTGGTCAGGTTTCCCCCTCTGTTTCTCATTTTTGATAGATCGTTTTCTTCAAGAAAGCGCTTTGGTCCCCCCACAACCCCATGGAGAAAGATATTTATTCTAATGCGAGCGGGCAGGACCAAGGGGACATCGCATATAGGGCGCCATCTTATTTGTTTATTCTTGGCCGCGGGGTACATCTTGTTTATTCCGACTACAATACGTTGTTTATTCCAACCCGAAAAGACATTGTAGACCATAATTTTGCTTGTAGTGCTGATGTCCGGAGCTGTCATTGTTCTTCAAGTTACTAATCCGTTCTGGTGAGGTTCTATGAATGCCACAGCGTGAAATTCTTTTGATATTAATTTGTCCTGTGATCTCGCTTTGTGCTTGCTTTGATATTTGTTTATTGTATTTGTTATTATAAACTAGCATCTATCGTCAACCTGATTTGGTCATGAAAATGAGGCTTCACCCTTCCAGAGTTAACATCTACGATGTGTTCAGCATTGAGATTTTTAACATACCATGTAGAATCAATTATCGAGACATTTTTTTAAACACGTAAAAAAGATTCAGCCCACGACTGAATGATGGCGAAGTGCCCAAACCATTGATTACAATGATTAGCCACTCTCACATAATTGAGAAGGAATATACAATAAAGGACATAAATTACGTGCAGTTCGTTAGATACGTTTTGTGCTGTTTTCCGATGAATTAGTGGCATTCGCATCATTTAAACACGTCGTCAGTTTAATCGCTAACGATGCTGTTAACTCACCTTTTACCTTCATCCGCTCAGAAGCCTACTTCTTCCTTCGGCACTATCTTTCTCTTCACGTCTTGACTAAGAATGATTTCTTCAAAGAAAATGGCCTTCAACTCCTCGTTTTCTCTCTCTACCTTCTCTCTCCTCCAAACAATTTCCCCCCTTCACCTATCAGTTTCACCTCCTCTCCCCCTACTTGCAACGCCAATAAGCCATCGCCGATTAACACCCCCGCCTGCCACCATTCGTCCCCTTAACCCCAACCCTCTTTACCTCAAGATTCTACCAGATATGAGTTATCATTCAAATCTTCTTGTCTACCACAGAGACCACCATATGCATTGTCAGCTTCGATCTGGATACTGTTTCGGATCGTTGATGCGGATGCAATCAGTGAAGGAGGTTATTCGTGGGGTTTAATGGATTGTGGCAGTAAAGAAACCCAGACATATACTGCCTCAAAGCTTCATGAAAAAAGAAGAATGCATTTTTTGTCGCATGTGCCCAACACAATAAAGGAACGAGAAAAGGATAGGGCAAAAAACATTTTTCTCTTTTTTTTTTGGGGGGGGGGGGGGACATGGGGGCTTTGGTTTGCAGACGTGGAAGACGTGAAGGAGATGATAAGAAGGAAGAGGTTACAAGGGGAGTTAAAGCCGTTAGTAGTTAAGATGATGATGTGTTGAAAAGAGACAGATGTCCTTGCTTGACAGGATAACAAACCGTACATGAGTTTTGTCATGGGAAGCAATGTCAATTACAATAAGTCAATAACAAGCTACCGCTTTTGCTTCTTGTTTGCTGACCTGGAACTTGTCCCTCCCTGCAAAAGCCATTCATGGACGACTCATGAGCCCCGTGCATAAAATACAATAGTACGCACCTGTCTAGAAAGCATTAAAAATAAAAAAACCATGACCTGCAACAACCTTCATCAAAGTTCCATTAAACGTCAGTATTATTAATATAACATGAACCTAGATTAGCTTATGCTCCTACTGATATGTAACTTGGAGGCCTCAATTGGCATATCCTCCTATTACGTCATACAGAAAATATAGAGTTCTTCACATTCTGGATTTGCCAGAAAGCAGTTATTAGTTATCCCCCATAACTTGTACTATCTATCTATCCATTGCTGCAGATAGCACAGCATCACACACTACTCATGAACTACTTTAAAAAGATCGAATTCAAACAGTTCATTGGATACTGCCAAGCATATGGACGGCATTAGAATTACTCTGTTCTCTTGTAAATTCATTTCTTCCCAGCAAATCTAACATCTAAAGAACTCATCTGCACTTCCTTTTTGATAACAATCCGAACCAAAGTAAGGCATTATTCTGACCTCTTGACAGAAGACCAACTAAAACACTATGCGTCATTTTTTCTTTTGATGCATTCCCAAAACCTAAGGAATACTTGTCCGATTCATTATCATAATCATGACAAAAAAATCAAAGTTCTTACCACAGTTGATAGCTGTTCACTGATGTAGGTCAAGGATCTCAACATAGCATCAAGTATATCCCTCGAAAGCTTAAACCTCACGTCAGTTTCACCAGGAGAAGACTTGCTATGATCATGCAGCTAAGAGTAAATCAAGAATTGTAATTACTATCCATAATATTGATCAACATTACAAAGTAATAACAGAATGTCAATAACGAACAATTATTTTAACACTGCTGAACAAAATAGTCACTTATCAATTTGTTTTAATTAAACCGCTTCTAAAGGAAGCTTTTTTGACACATAATTACAAAACACAGTTATCTAGAAGCTTATCCAACGAGGCAATCTCACCAAGGTTTCCAAAAGAGAATCAACAATGCAAAACAGGACCTCTAGGACTCACCGTGCTAAAAGAAACTAATAAAAAACCTTCAGATTTGACACAAAACATCAAACCCACAATTGAATGCTGAACAGAATTTGATGGTTACAACTCTCTTTTATACAAGGACCAGAACTCATCTGTTCTTATCTAAACGTGATCATAGATAGAAGTGATCTGTCCATCATAAAGGCCTTTAGCTTAAGGTATTAATGATCAAAGAATTACTTTTCTCTTCATTACCTTAAGACTAATGATAGCCACTTTATCTCCTGGGGATGTGCCATGATTCTCCATGGTCCAAGTCATTGACTTAAGGCGGGGAAGGTTTTCCTGTGATTTTGTTGGAAGATTAAAAGGCATATATGCCAATAAAAAAAATATATCATCTCGAGTATGCTATTTCTAACAAACATCACAACTCTATAAGATAATGATCAGCAGATTTTATCAGATATGATACAACCAGGCATCAAATTCAGCCAACTCATCCACAGCTACGTGCATGGTTCCTCGTCTAAACTGAATGGAATATCTTAATCCAAATTAAATTATATTTCTGGAGTGCTCATTTGTTATTATCCATTATATATAGTCACATCACTCCTAACAACCTTTTCCCATCAATAGTTTTCTTTACAAACATTACTACTTCCAAGCATCTTTCTTGACCAATTGTCTCGCGGCACTAACTCCACCACGGTGAACATGAAAATATTCTCTCCCTTCAGCCTATAGGCAATGGCTTATACTTAGAGAAGCATTAAAGACCTTAAAAAAAAAAATCACATAGATTCTTCGAGAAAAATGAGATAGTTGCACTGCTCAAGTTCAATAATAATATAAAATCACCAACCTAAAGTTCGTACAGAAATCAGAAGAGAAATACATCAGCAGCAATCAATTACCAAGTTGTCCGAAGAAGCAATATCAGGTTGGAAGCATGCACTCAGCCCGGATCCATTTATGTCAGCTACAAGCGGCATTGGAATTCCAAAGTCATTGTGACTCAATCGGGTAAGAGGATCGCCTTGACGTGGCCACTGAAATGTTGGCATCTCTGAAGATGGGAAAGAAGTCAAAGATGGTGAAACATTTGTTCTGACCTGACAGGAGACACTTGTTCTTGGCAATAAATGCTGAAAAGACAGCAAATGGAAACAACGATGAGATGAGAGTGGGCAGAAGAACAAAACAGTCTAATCTTTATTGGTAAGAGAAATATCTATAAGTAAAATACACAAGTCTTCTCCTAACTTACTAACGTATTTTACATGTGGAATTTTGAGAGAAAACTGTATTTTTCATTAATATGATACATTCCGATATATATACACGGAGGGAAAAACTGGAGAATAAAGGCTAACGAAAGCTAATAAAGTTATACAGATATTTATAATATTATAAAATAGAAAAGATGACCTCACAAGTCGACTGTCAAGACTTTACTCCAACAAATAGGTTACAGTAAGACTGTGAAATCATTGGGAATTAATTTTGTAGCATTTGATAAAAGGTTCAAGAAACTGAAACAGTATATTCGACTTTTACTCCATAGTCAATAGTACATCAAAATCTAAGACTATATTATGCATATAATGCAGAAATGTTTTAAATCCCCATTTCGCGCATTGACGCATGGAACGCTCCTAAAGCATCGCCAACAGGACTACCACTCTAATTTTAATAGAACACAGCGAGCATTGAGGATGTGAATCACAGATTATCACATAAAGATGAGAACAAGCATGCATGTTTTTTGGCTCCCATAAGATGGGCATTTTAACAATTAGGAAAATGAATTCATGTATAACTTGTCTCTACAAGGGCGAAAGAGGTCACCTGTTCACCAGACACATCCTCCTTCCATTCATCTTTATTTTTCTGGAACGATAATACAAGAATGCTTTGCAGGTCAAGTGGCAGATCAGGGGGAAACAATTTCAGAAGGTCATCGCCAGTGAAGTTTTGATACGCTACCACTCTAATTTTAATAGAACACAGCGAGCATTGAGGATGTGATCACAGATTATCACATACAGATGAGAGAGACAAGCATGCATGTTTTTGGCTCCCATAAGATGGGCATTTTAACAATTAGGAAAATGAATTCATGTATAACTTGTCTCTACAAGGGCGAAAGAGGTCACCTGTTCACCAGACACATCCTCCTTCCATTCATCTTTATTTTCTGGAACGATAATACAAGAATGCTTTGCAGGTCAAGTGGCAGATCAGGGGGAAACAATTCAGAAGGTCATCGCCAGTGAAGTTTTGATACGCACATTTTCTGATGAGTGAGCGCAGGCATGCCAAGACCTATTTTGACTGTCACATTATTATACATAAATTCCACCATGCATGTTTCTACAATTCAACAAACATACAGTAAATAACAAATAATTAGACGTAACAGAGCGATCGCAACAAATAAGGAGTATTGTATGAGAGAAAAAGGGAGGCGCTGAGAGGCAAGAATTGAAAAATGCTGACTTAAAGCATCCTAGGCCTGCACAATATGTAAATGCAAATCAAGATAATAGCTCAGCGAGAACCGAACACGTTAGCCTTCTCAAATTCATGGTGGTATAGAAAAACAAACTAGAGTATTTCCCGTACTCTCTGCAGACCAGTTGAATTTGAGAGAGAAAACACATGTTCAAACCAATAATGGGGAAAAAAAATTATAACAGTATTACTTTACGTATGGTCCTAGTCTTAGCATTAGTATTACCATTATTAACACTTAATTAATAATTGGAATACATTTAAATAACAATCGCATGAAAGTTTTACAGAAGAAGAAAAGAGCTTCGTCTTCATAAATTTACAATCAAACGGGGTTCTCGCCAAGAGAAGTTACCCCAAAAGCAATGGTCAAAAAGGTGCAACGGATATAGATGGAAGTATCCTGAGAAATGTCCCAAAATGAACAGCAAAATACAATCCATGACTTCAACAACGAATTCAAGAAAAAGCAACTCGTAAAAGGAGTTAGATATGCATTACGGGATCGAGTTGGGATAGAGAAGGGAGGTTGAGGAGGGACTGAAAATGGGACTTCTCCGAAGAGGAAAGACCGGTTTTTCTTGTCTTCCATAGGGTGGAAAGTATGTGGTCGATTGCTTCCTCTGATTTTATGGCCGAGAGTTTGTGCAAATGCAGGTGTAGAGTGTCCTCCACCATTTTTCCGGGCTCTCGGCGGGTGGCGGCAGCACCTGCTGCTGCTTCTTCAGATGGGGGAAGCCGGCTCTTTATGGCGGTTGGGATTTTCCTTTTTCTCCCTCTTTTTTCCTTTTTACAATGTAAATTGCGACAGTGTCGGCGTTTTGGAGCATGGGAGAGGATCTCGTTTTTTGGGTTCCCACTTGGTGAAGGTTTAACGACTAATACTCTTCTCATTTTTAATATAAGATTTATTTAATTAATTTGATTAGATTAAAAAAATTATATAAGTTAGTTAATTATAAAAAATATGACACGTTTTTTTTTAAATATTATAATTATCTTTCTTAATACTACATCTTCCTCTTCTGGTTGAGAGAGTATCCATATGGGTAATTTAGAAAAAATTGATAAATATGAGAAATGGGTCTTATATTAGGACTAAAATCAACTCACCAATGGGTTTATATTAAGGATCGGAGGAATAGTATTTAATATTTTAGGAAATAGTAGTACTTTTTTTTGCCAATATTTTAGGAAATAATTTTAATTATATAAAATGACCACAAAATCCCAAAACAACTAAGCCAGTAATTGGATTGAAATTAGGTTTAGATTTAAAATTTTAGTAGTGACATAAAAATCAATAATTAATTTGTTCTAAAAAATAATAATTTTAACTCTTTAAAGTAACAAAAATATATACCTAACTTTCTAAAATATTACTCCTCCGGTCTTATATAAGACTCAATTTGACTTTTTATTTGGTCCTATTATAAGACTCAATCCATTTTCTCTCTTATATTTATGCATTTTTTCCAAGATAATCCTTCTAATAATGATAGTTTTAGCCAATATACTAATTAGCAAGGATATTTTAGGAATAACAACACTTTTATTAAATACCAACTTAACTACTTCTTAATTCCTCAATAAATCAATTGAGTCTTATAATTAGGACAGGAGGAGTAGTTGTCTTTGCCAAAGTTTTGTTGTTATTTATATAACTAAAATTATTTTTTAAAGTCATTCTCCATTTCCATATTACAAATTTCCAACTAATCCGAGATTATTGATATGTTCCCGTGAGAAAACAAACTGGGGAAATCCTTACTTCCCATTGATGGGGGGAAAACCGAACGGTGGTGGGCCAAAAAAGGGTAAACGAACGTTACGAAGCTCTCCCTCGCAAATAAAAACCCTTTCCCACCAGGAGGGGGAAATTGAAACCAACAGCGGTTTCGACGGAAGAACAGCCAAGATACCGACTGGATTCTGCTGTCAACGCTGAAGTGGATTAACTGCTCGGAAAAGATAGAAAAGGCTAGAGAACTCGCGGGAACCTCATCCCTGAGGCGAAATATTCATTTTTTGACCTCCGTGATTCTGTTGCTTGTCCAGTAAGTCTCCCGAATGTTGTCTGCTTCACTTTCTGGTGCTTCTGCGACTTATTGCTTGTCAATGTTGGGTTTTTCTTCTGAAAATTAATACGAAACTTAATAAGGGCTTCGCTGGAGCTTTTGTTGAATGCTCCATTCGGGCATTGTTCTTAACAATCCTTACCAGCTTCCTGTTCCTGGCCAATTTCGTCCCTCAGATGGAAGACTAGCCGCTTCCTCTGTATTGACAATCCTCTTATTGAAAGCCAAATCCTGAAATCTACGTCCATCATCGAAGAAATTAGCAACCATGCTGTTATCATTTTGCCGAGAGATCTGAGTTTGTCGTTCGTTGGGTTTCTGGATGATTTCTGCTTCTGCATTCTTTGTCTTTTATGCGTGACCCTGAAGCATCTCACGGTAGAGTTTTACTGTTAATAGAATTGGTCTTTCTTCTCAGTTGTCCCATGCTTTGACAATTCCAATGACATATGACATGTTTGATTAACCAAGCAGCTGAGGCTATTGAGGTGCTGGCAAACAGAACACCTCCTCTGCCTCCTTGTACCCAAACTTTCAATTTACATGCTTCTCTCAGCATTACTGAGGCAGAAAACAACAGGGCAGATGTTGTTGCTGCGAAGCTTCTTGCCTCCACATCATCTGCTCTGATGCTTACATTTGTTCTTTCTTCCCTTGTGCTAAGAAGAAGCCGCCTCCGTGAACAGCAGATTAAAACCCACGGGATTCAATTCAGAAGAACTTACGTTCAACCCAGCGAAAAGACCCAACATTGAAAAGCCTCTGCCTGTTTCCCGTATTAGCAGTTCTGATATGGGGAGCTTTTCCTTTTTCGCCACTTTACAGCAGTCATCGATGTCAAATGTGCCTGTTGCGCCTTCTCACAGGTTGCAGTCCACGCCACAAGCCAATCAGCTACAATCTACCTTTACTCCAGCACCCCCCCCCCCAAAACCTCTTTCTCCATCAAATCAATATGTCCAACCCACAGGTTTGATGCTTGGGGGGATTCCTCTTGGATATGGATCAAAGAACTTACCCTCACTTCCATTGCCTCCGCATTCGGCAATAGGGTCAAGGCCCGGAACTTAGCCATCACAAGCGCAGCAACACAGCAACAGCCAGCAAGAGGAGGATCTTACAGACCTCCAGGCATAGGGGATCATGGGCAAGACCATGCATCGACACTACCACCAATTCTTAGGCAATGAGCATTGGTGGAAGACCACTAGCCAACATTGCTGCAATGATAGTAGAAAAATGCCTTTGCAAAAATCTATTTGTTGGATGATTTTCCCCGAGGCTGCGTAATGTAAATTGATAGCAAATTAGATGTGACATAGGTTTGTACTTTGACATCATAGCCATACCTGTTTACTTGAGTTAACCTTCAACTGCAACTACTGTCAACAAGAATCTGACGAGACGTGAAGGGGTCCTAATTCTCAAATATCTCAATGTCCCTCTCATGAAGCTGCTTTTTGGAATAAATTTGAGCGGCTGCCAACTAGTTTGAGTCACCTCTTCAGAAGTTGAACTGGATGATGTCTGTTAGACGGTCTTTATGCAAATGCTTTTGAGAAGTTTATGTGATTCGCTATGCACATTGACAGACAGTATTCCGTTAAGTCAAAAAGACTAGGCGTAGATTGAGAAAAGTAATGAAGCATCAAATATATTTTATGGACATGATCATGCGACTCCTCTGAGGAACTACTTATAGAACATCCTTGTTTTTTCTTAACTTCCTATTGCATAAGGCATTGAAACGGACTATGTCATAGAATGAAAACTTAGAAATTGCACTGGGAGGAAAAGGATTATACCCGAAGTGACATGACAGGGTCAGAAAGAAATTGCACTGGGAGGAAAAGGATTATACCCGAAGTGACATGACAGGGTCAGAACTTTACAGTATGACTCTTGTCCCTGCTATAAATTGAAATTCAAAAATAGATGGAGATGAGTTCCAAAAACAGAGCAGTTTTTTTGCCGGGGGAAAAACAAAGCAATTGCGAAGCATTTAATTGGTGAATTAGACTCCACGTTCAGTGAAGATGTATGGGACATCTGCCTTTAGCCCTTTTTTCTTTGAAAATAAGTTTTCTTCTCTTTTCTTTCTTAATTCTTACTTAATTTCGTTTGCCGTGCAATATTTTTCTTTTTGTCATAAAACAGGGACGGTTTCTCAAGCTCTGCAAATAATTGCCTCTCTACGAAGGCAACGCTGACGCTGATTTCTAGGTCATGCAACTTTGGAAAACTACACAAGCGCGACATATTTTTAGTAAGACAACTAGATTTTCCTAAATATACGGTATTTATTTGCGTCTAATCTAAGTAAAAGATTCTTCTCTTTTTCCTTTTCTTTCTTTTTGATAAAATTCCGAAATCCGAAATAACCTCTAATTAGGAATTTAACATTTTCTTGAATAATTAATTCAATCCAATTCAATTAATTTGAAATATATAAAAATTAGATAGATTTTAGCGTTCTGGTGGCGCAAGGCTGAGTTTCCCGCCGAAGAGGTCTAGCTGGCTTGGCGGGGTTGCGACACGGAAATCAATCCTTCTTACTTGCCAAGCACGAAACGGTCACCTTCATCTTTGGCGCATTTCGTTATCCACAGAAACTCATTGCTTATGTGCGCCATTTGCTGTTTATATTGTTACAATTTAGGTAACAACAATACATGTTGATGATTCGCATTTCCATTTCCAATTTCTGAATTTTTCCAGCTAAGCCATTATCAATTGAGAATTGAAGGAACGATTTTTATTTGCTCCTTGGGGTCTTCATCTGTTCATTTTTTATTACTTTTGCCAGTGCTTCATCTATTGTTCGATTTGATCTAGCTGTTGCCTCCCCGTATTGAAGTGTTGCTATATTGCCTGACATGTCGCGTTCCTACTCGTTGTGTTAATCTGACGTCCCTTTATCTGGTAGTTGCGAAACTGAGGGAATAGATATATTGTTCGATAATTATCAACAATTGAAGAGATTAAAAGATGGCTATTGCGTGGTTTCGTGTAGAAAAGAGACTATAAAAGTTGACGTTGATCTTCATGTTGCGGGTTCTCAGAAATGACTTGCGTTGATATGCAGGATATTGAAGTAAACGCATAAATGTCACCAAAAATATTGAGAAGAAGACTCCATCATGGAGACATTGACGGCAAAGTGCAAGAGCATTTGGACACTTCAGAAAACTTGGATGCTTCAAGTGAGCCCTTGTTGGAGGACCCTGACTATAACAAGAAAGGAATTCAAAAGTTGGACAATTCAAAAGTGAAAGTAAGAGTTCTGCATTTCAAAAATTAAAGAATCCAATTCTACATTTTTTTCTTTTGCAACTTAGGTAATTTTTTTGAACTTACTTTCTACATTCAGGCATCCACGCTTGAAGACATATGGAATGATGAAAGAAAAAAGGAACAACTACATTGGACCTTCTTATATTCACAACTGATTACACAATGGGCGCATACTCTAGGTATATGTACATATATGATTTTCTAGGGTTTTCTTCTAGTACATTTATCCAGACAAATGAGTATTGCATCACTGTTCTATTGATAAATCTTGATCACTTGCCCAACGTGGATAGTTGTTTCATTAACTGATGAGAGGGATGGGGCACAACGTAACATCAACTCATACGTGCTTCAATTTCACTTACAAAACTTGACCATACATAGTATATTGGCAATTGACAATCGAGTTAATCACATTTTTCAAATATGTATCAATAACCAGCTGTATTTGATACTATTAAGTGCCCATACGTGTTCATGCATGTTTAACGGAGCAAAACTTATCTACGAAATGTAATGCTGAAATATGTGTTGATGCATGGCAAAGTCAAAGCATGTGAAGGAAATACCAGCATGTGCGGTATTGAGGTTTCCCCCTCTATTTGATGTGCGACACGATAAGAATTTTATTTGTTTTGTTTGAAATGTGACACAGGAAGGTGGACTAGTGTACGGGTTTCAACAAGTCCTCTGTCAAAGTGTTAGTGTTCATTGCTTTATATACCTTGAAATCTTTGCAACTATAATATTTGTATGGTTTGTTTTTTTTTTTTTTTTAACATGCAAAATTTAATTAGAGAAAATAACACATGGAGACGATATTATATTCTCCTAAACAGAAAACGAAAAGAAAATGGAGGTCCAAAGAGGCTAAAAATGCGACATAGACGTCCTTTGTGCTTATTGGAAAGTATTTGAATAGTGAACCAGAGAAAGGGCACAAATGCAATCCTTTTCTATACCATATACGGGCAATGAGGCAAGGAAAGTAGTGATTGATCTGTAGAATGAAATCTTTTGTCAGTTGAGCATTACATATAGTTGTATCAGAACCAACCATATTTTGACTTGTGCTGCAAATGTGCTTTTTGGCATATTGGAACTGTGGTTGCATCTGAAATATTCCCTGTTTTTTTTTTGGTCTGGAAAAGAAAAGGAGTCACTTTCTATTCAAAAGTCGGACCCAATGTTAATGAGCCAAAGAGAGGAGTGTTTATCAGAGGCGAAAGATAGAAAGTGGGAAACATGGAAATGAACTTGAAGTCCGGGAAAAATAGAGTATCCTTTTAACTTATTTATCGCATGGTGCAGTTGGCCAGTTGGGGGATGGGGATTTGAGAAGGAAAGCTGTTGTGGGGTTGGGGATATTAGAATAAGTGTGGCTTTAGTGTAGGCAGGGTACGGAGAGAGAAAAATATTGGGTGTGGTTGTTAAAGACGTTGGCTCTTTCGTGGTGATGCTAACATGCTATGATAGAGTCTCACATCAGGTAGCCACAAGTTATTCTTGTGATACTAATGTAGTATGGTTCTTCTCCCTTGCAAGTTGGTATTTAAGAGTGGATTCCCCATGTTTGATTGGGTCTCCATCGATTGGTAACTGAGGTTGCCAGAGTGAGTGACGCAAAGTGCAGCTATCAAAGACATTGGCTCTTCAAGGAAGTGCTATGATGGAATTTCACTGTGATACAAGTAATTGTTATGTTTCTTAATAGTATGGTTTTGCCCATCACAAGCTTATTTTTCTGGTTGGGTTTCCCACGCTTACTTAGGTCTCTATCAAAAGAAAATTCTTTCGCAAGTTATGCTGCTTATGTACGGCTGCAATGATGGTTCCAACCATTTATTCGTATCTGAATCTTGATACTGGCAGTCTGTTTTAGCACTGAGACAGTTTTTACTAGACAGTGCTTGATATTATTTATTTTTCTAAGAGCCACATTTGCGGTGATTGGAAAGTGGAATAGGAAAATATTGGAGCTATCATGTAAGATTAGTAAGCATCAGGGTGCTATGTATGTTAATTTCCTGTAGCTAATAGATTTTTCATCTTTTCTTTTAACAAATGTACAGATAATATCACTTTGGTTTTCCTGCACAGTTTAGGTGATGCATTCTGCAACTAATTATTTCTTTTCGGTCTTTGCAGCAAACAATGCAGTTGGATCTAGATCACTGATTTCTCGCCTTTTGTCCCACTCTCCTAATACTCCAAATAGACAAAGCAATAGGATGCTCCCTCCTTCTCTTAGTCCTTTGCAGGTATATTCTATGATATCTTATTTTCACTTCTCACCATTGTTATTTTTCACATCCCACAAGAGAATGCTGCTAAATTTACATGAAGTAGTATTCGTTATGTTTATTGGATGAAGTGACTGATAGAAGTAAACTTACAGTGTTCTAGAGGTACTACATGAAACATGACAAAAGACCAAGAAACTAATCCACAAATTAGGGCTTTGGTTTCAAAAAATTAGGCACTAGCAATAAATGGTTGATTGTTGCAAAATGGCACTTTGTAATTATTAGCATTCTTTTGAAAACGAGATTGAATAAGCTAACTCGACTAGTTAACCTATACAGCAGACCATGGTCTGGTTGACCTATGTGTAAATTGTGCTGTTCTTTGGCGTATGTGATTGGAGCAGAATGCATTGGATTTGGGGAGTGTTTCTATGGTCTCTCTTTTCTGCAGATGTGATGCACATTATTTCTTTTTAGTGAGTGTCCCTGTCTTGTATGCAGAGAGATTGGGTAGCTTCATTGAGTTTTGAGCCTCATAGGATCTCTTCTTTTACTCAAATAATCTGTTAGTTGTGACTGTAACCCATGTTGTCCTTTCTTAGGAAGAAAGACTCAGACATGTACAGGAACGGCTTCAAGTTTCCTTCGATGGTTCTAGAACAGAGCACCAAGTATGTGACTTAGCCCATTTATTATCCCCTAATAATTTTTTATTACACTTATCACTAACCGGCATTCCATTTAGCCACACTTCATTACTCACTGACTCTGCTGTTTGTGGGCATTAATAAATTAGTATATTAATCTACACTTTATTTTGCGGATGTTCTATTTTGTTATCTATTGATGCTAGACAGACAAGCTTATAACGTTTTTTTCTCATTTAGATTGTGGCTTGGCTGACTGCTTCACTTCCAATTGCATATTTTTGGGGTTTAATAACTTCAAATTCTGTTCCCCCACAGGGACTAACTGAAAAAATGGCAAGATACTGATTTTATGCTTCTTTTTTGCCTGCCTATCTATAAAGCTGTACCCTCAGTCCAAATTATTAAATAAAAAAAAAAAAACATATGCATAAAGCTGTACCCATATTGTGTTTATGAGACCTTATTATGAATAGGAAAACACATAATGGTCAATTGTTACTTTGTTATATGTATTAAAAATAATGCAAAATTTTTGTGTTGCAGGATGCACTGAAACAGTTGTGGAAATTGGCTTTTCCCGACAGGGGCCTTCCTCCTCTTAAATCTGAGCTTTGGAAGGAAATGGGATGGCAAGGTGAGGACCCTTCAACAGATTTTAGGTATGGAATCAAACTAATATATTGTACTCTGAAGAGGGAAAATGTAGGCGGATAGAGTTAGTTTAATGGAGCAATTGGTAATGAAATTTTAGAGCATTGATTTTGTAGGATGAAAAGTGGGAGTTTAGATTTGAGTGAATAACAAGTTATATAAGAATTTGTTGATCTCTTCACATGGGCGTGAAACTTAGCTGTGATCATTGTGGCAATAAGGGAGGAAGGAGGAGTGCGACTAAAAAATCATGCTGTAAACCGATCATGTTTGCATTCTTCAAATCGGGGGAACTTTTTTCCCCCCTCAATTATGTGCTTGTAACAACCATGCATTTGGACTTATTGGCTTCCAGACATTAAAAATGCAGTACATCTTTGTGATCAAGATTCATTCAAGAAAACCTACATTGGTAACTGCACTTGCTAACATATAAAAGAAGTCAAGGACTTCTAAAAATTAAATTCTCCCCTTTTCAAATTACAGGTCCCAGCCATATACTTTATGAAACTTACAGTTCTTCCCTCGCTAATAGAAATCCTCTAGTTCAAAGTCTCCTCTCTGTCTAGTGTTTATCTCCATGGCCCTGGACCAACAGTGTCCTTATCATTAGGGCTTAGTTCTGGATATCTTGATAGCTTGATTTTGGAAAGCCCGCACAGTCTCAAAACACATAGGTTCAAGATTAAAAGTTAAGAGCAATCTTTATCCAGTTAGCAGTACTTATTTTGAGACCTATAGTATGATATGTTGACATGAATACTTGTGCATTATCTGCAGAGGTGGAGGGTATATATCATTAGAGAATCTTATCTTTTTTGCCCAGACGTTTCCAGTAAGTTTATTTTCTTGCTTATGCATTTTTGCACGTAATTTTTTGACCTATTAGTTTTCTTCATCCTGCTTCGGTAAACACGAGTCTTATCTATTGAAATAAAATGATTGAACTTGTCACTTTTCTTACCCTGTTTTTGTCAGATCAGTGCCAAACTTTGATTCCTAACCTGCTATTAGACTGTGCTTTATGCTTTTTGGTGTTATGCATGTATTGTTATTTTTTCTTCCCCATTTCTTTGTATGAGCATAGTCCGCTAGGTCATGTCCTTTTGGTTGTGGTATAACACATATCCTTGTGGCTCTGACAGGACTCATTCCAGCGGTTATTGCATAAAAAGGATGGAACCAGAGCAGACTGGGAATATCCATTTGCTGTAGCTGGAATCAACGTATCTTTCATGTTGGTGCAGATGTTGGATCTTAATGCAGGTAATATAAATTTCTTAACTGAAGAAATTCGGTGGAGTAGGAGTAGGGGCTGTCTCCAGAAAGTCCAATCTTCCAGTCGAATATTGTGATTGGACTTGCTCCACATATTCAGATAAGAGGAAGCTTTTTCTCACAAGTTACAGGAGTGCTTTGATAAGATGTTGTTGACATTGACGCACAAATAACTTCTTTTTGTTTATAACTGATGTTAAGTAAACCGACCTAATGAAATGTTATTTTATCAAGCGACCTTCTCAGGTAAATAGTCTTTTATTATCCTTGCAGGAATTCCATCCTCTTCGGCGGGAATCCGTTTCCTAGAGATGCTAGAAGAGGATGAAATGACATTTGATAACCTTTATTGCATTGCCTTTCAAATGATGGATGCTCAGTGGCTTGCCAAACATGCTTCCTATATGCATTTTAATGTAAATATTTCATTGTATTCTGTGATCATTTTAATTTCTTTTGCCCATATAGGGTACCATTCATTTGTTTTATTAATTTTATTTATTTATTTATCAGGATGTTCTGAAGTCTACAAGAACGCAGCTAGAGCGTGAGCTTGCGCTTGAGGATATAACCACTGTGAAAGATATGCCAGCTTACAACTTGTTGAGATAATTGTGTGGAAATAAACCACATCAAAGCATACGCTCAGCACCAAGGAACTTGTACATAAAGTGTCTCGACCCAATAAATTCATGTTGGTTTTGACCCTCGAGAGTTGACTCGCCGCATAGTATCTGGTAGGAATAGTTAGTATATTCTCTGTTGCTATGGAGTAAACATAATGTGACTGATAATTGTTGCAGGGTTAACTAACCGAAGTTTCTTAGTATTTAGATGAACTTTTTAGCATTTTAAGCCATGTTAGCTCATGATATTTTCTGTTCAGAACTATGCTTTTGTAAAGTTTGTTTTGGTTGTAAAACCTATTGGTTATATATATGAATGAACATATTTTCCTCCTTTCTCTTCTGATCACCAAGCAAACTTGAAACCTACATTTTTTTTTTTGGTTAAAGAAACCTACATATTTTCACATTCATTTCAGTTAAAACAAATTTTCTTTACGTGATAAAAGCTAATTTGTTTTTGTTGGGTTGTTATAATACCAAAAAGCAACAGAAGGAAACCATTACATCCCATAGTGAGATTTATTTACCAGGCACTTAAGAAAACAAACGATAATGTCATTTCATATCAAAGAGCATCAGGATAGATGATGAGGAGATTACTAGAATGATAATCTTTATAATCCTAGTTAAATAGCAGAAGTTTGATACTCCAACAATAGAGAGACCGCCTCCGGTCTCCTACCAAACTTGAAAAGAAAACCTCAAAGCATTTAATTTGAAGTTTGGATAATTTTTTAATGGTTTTAGAGCATCAAATATGCATTAGCACCTATTTATCGGTTCGTGCATATACTTTTTAAACTAGATATTCGATCTGTCGTTTGATTCTTGTGAGTGCACTACAGCCCACTTGTTAACACGATTGCGAGCTATCACCACCTGCAGACATTAACATATATATAACTCTCATAAAAGAAGAGTAGTAGAAAAGACAAATATTGGCGTCAATTACCTGGTTGTCCCAATCAGTTTTAAATGTGATAATAGCAAGAACAACAGTTTGGACGAACGTCCCAAATAGCATTCCTATCCAAATACCCTGCAAAAGGCAATATAATTACTGGCATTTTCTTTTCTTTTTCCCTAAAGAAATTTGTATCATTGTATGAGAGAGAACGAGAGGGTAGATGGCATAATTTGTATACCTTTACTTGCAATTTTAAAAGATGACCAAGAACTATTCCAACAGGAATACCGATTATGTAATAGCAGCCAATGTTTACGTATGCTACGATGCTTTGCCAGCCTGCTCCAATGGAAACTCCTGTTCACAGTTAGATATAATCAATCCCACTGACTTCAAATTCACTTAACCTCCAAACAAGATATTCTTGAGATTTATGAATCTTTCGTCTCACATTTTCTCTCTATTTTAACATCTAAGTTTTGGATAAAGTTGTTTTAAAATATTTATTTTACACTGACTCTTCACATGCGGATTTAAAACAAGCCGGCATATTTTAAGTTCGTGACATTAACGTATAATGTTAAAAAGGGCATAAATTATACTCCTCTGGTCTTTAATATAGAACCCAATTCTTGAGTTGGTTTTTGTCCTAAATATAAGACATATTTCTTTTATTTATCAATTTCCTCTAAACTACTCCTATGGATATTCCCTCAACCATAATTAAGTAGAAGAGGGAGAGGAAGTATTAAAAAGATGATTATGGTGTTTTAGGAAAAATGTGTCACTTTTCTTATAATTAACTAATTTACCTAAGTTCCTTAATCTAAACAAATTAGTTAAATGGGTCTTATATTAAGAACTGGAGGAGTATGTCACTTTCATTGTTGACATAATAGACCACGTATGTTATTTTTTGTCTCCAGAATAGTAGAGGAAAGAAATTGGAAGAGCTGATCAAATTTACCAGAGAGGACAGGTTGAACACTGTTCAACAACATGGAGACTGATAACAAAGGTGACAAATGGCCGACGGCTTCGGCCACTTCTGGATTTGGAATGAACATGTAAGCAATTCTTTCCCTCAAGAATAAGAACAACAAAAACAGCATGAATCCAATGGCCAATGATGTAAGAACAGTGACCACAATTGAGAATTTTGCAGCGTTTGAACTCCCTCTTCCAAGCTCATTTGCTACCCGAACACTGCAAATCAAGCAGTTTATTGTTTTTCCCCCTCTTTTAGAAGATAATCAGAGGCATCAAATTTATGACGATATTATTTTTGTTGAGAAACATCTCAAGGAAAATTATTATTGAGTACCTAGCTGCAGCACAGAATCCAAGGGCTATCATCATTTCCCAACCATTTATGTTGAGGCTGCAAGAGAATGATATTTTGAGGGCAATCAATCAAAAAGGTTTCTCTATGAAGAAGGTAGATTATGGAAGTTAATGTGAGATTGTGAAGCACAGTAAAAGTAGAAATGAAGTAGAATTACCATATGGATAAAGCATCAATGGAAACCTGGGCATTCTTCATGTTCCCTGTTAGAAGAATCAAAACTGTGTTGTACCAGATCTCCAGACTGTAAATAAAAAGCATCAAATCAATAGCTTTGAGTTGATAGAACTAAAATACAATAATGCACGCTAGCTCCATTGACATTTGAGTCCTGAATGAAGCGCAACAAAACCGATTCTTTCTTTATTCTTCACGACTAGAAACTTGGTTCTTTTTCACCCGTTACTTACCACAACATAGCTCCAGAAGACAAGGAGAGCTTGATGACAGGCCAGAGATCTTTGAAAGCCAAAAATGAGAAACCTTTCCAAGTTTCTGGGCATTTATGAGTAATAAACAAAAGCTGTCCCACATTAGGAATCCAATATGCCAAGGCTGTTGACGTCATTGCTCCATTAAGCCCAAACTTGAACTTAACAGTCAAAAGCCATGACAGAGAGAGGTGAATGGAAATCGAAAATGCGGCAAGGTAGGCGATGATCATGTTCTTGCTCTGTGCTTGTAGAAACATTTGGCAGGTGAATGACACTACGAAAGCAAGAATCACAGCTATAGACCAAAGAGAAATGCTTCCTGCTACTTTTGCAATGCTCTCTTCTTGGCCTAACGCCTTCAGAATTGGGGTTGTAAAGATGAAAACAGGAAGAAGAAAGATTGAGGTCAAGAACAACACAATCCAAGACCTCTGCAGATATAATCCAAGCATCTCATAATTTTTTGCCCCAAAAGCTTGCCCGCATAGAGTTTCCAATGCACTTGCCATTCCTAGCTGAAAAGTTTTTCCTCATTCTTCATATTCACTTCACAAACTGTTTAATCAAAGACCAAGTTGACAACAAGCAAAAGAAAACTCACCAAAACGCCATTAGCGAACCTGACTAGCACTGTCATGACCAGAGCATAAGCAGCAAGTTCAGAGGAGCCTATGTGGCCAATGAAGGCTTGGCTAACTACAGTTACACCAAACGTCGAAAACCTGGTAAAGATGGCAGGACCAGCGACCACCCACATCTTCTTGCTCTCTTTCCATACTCTCTTCTTCAGTGACTCTTCCTCTTCTTCGTCAATGAGCTCCTCTGGATTGGTTTGCTTCAGTAAAAGCTTCTCCTTTAGGTCCTCTCTCATTTTCTCCAGTAGGGATTAATGGACTGCTTGGCCTGTGACTGGCAATAATAAATGATGCAGCGCAATAACTCACGAAGAGACGAGAAACATCAATATGTTAAAGAGAATAAAGAGAAAACGATGGCATATATTATGCCCCTTCATGGCCTTTTCAGGAGGCCATTTGCTTTCGTACTGCACATGGTGTCTATCTTCACAGGGATATCAACTTGAATTCCCGTTATTCTGCATGCTGACACGTTGTGTTCCTTTCTACACTCGGTTGCCTTTATCTGTATTTGTAGAGCATTATTTTCTCGTTTGTACCAGAAGGGCTTTTTTATATATTTATCTGAAAGATTGATTTTGTCATCCCCAAATCATTTTACACTGATTGGCTTAGATTAAGGGAAAGAAAAATAGTTAGAAATATAGATAAAGGAATATAAAATTATGATGAGTGATTATTATTATTTGGATAAGCATTAAGTATAAAAGGAGGGAATTATTTAAGTATCCTCCTCTAATATTCTTCCCAGCTCACCGTTAATTTTTTCATCATTGATAAAGATACGACAACATGAATAATTTTACAGTTGAATTAAATGTCTTGTCTCATCCACATCTTGTATTTTTCTGAAGTAACCCAAGATTTAGATATTTAAAATTTTTGCCAAGTGAGGCCCTTTACAATACTCAAAAGTCACAAAAATGTAGTATTTACTATATCGTTTGAATTGTCTCTTGAATTTAGAAGGCGCAGCAATAGAGGAAGGTATTGAAAACGCAACCATGAATGAACCGGTTGATACATTGATTCATGTTTCAATAGCTTCGTTGGATCAATTTGGGATTGGTCTGGTCATGATTAAAATACTATTTCAATAAAAAAAACAACATTATCCATGGTTTGTATATATCTTCACATAATCCAATAAAATAGAGTTATTAAAACATAAATATCATAGCTTACTATTTTTTTCTTAACTTCTAAATTCATAAACATATTGATTCAGATCTTATAAGGTAAATATATGATACGATTATATTAGTAATATATATTTGTTATTATCTTATTGTTGGTAGAATTAGATTAACAATGACCAAATTCAATTCTAAAAATTGGTTTTTTTATATTAACATGAATCCTCTCATAGTAAGTATTATATTTGATATTATCAATATTATATGTGGAATCTTTTTTATAAAATCTATTCTTTAAATTATTTGTCATTTTGTAAACCAGTCTCTTTTATTCATCCAAACTCATCCTAAATCAAGATCCCTCACATGGCGCTCTTTCGTTAAAACACTCAGCGAACCTTGTTGCCCAAAAAAATCAGTTGTAACAAAGCCCAATCTGATTTAATAAAATTTGGGTGGGCCTCAATGGAGCCCAAAAGATGACACTGTCGTGAGCCTTGGATACCCAGCATGTGGCCCGATGTGGGGGAGCCACCGAGCAAGGATTTCGACGGCCACATGGCCCGTATTAGTGTGACAGGTGGCCCCCTTCCAAATTCGACCGTTATCCACATATAACACCATGCTCCAGATCGCAGAGCTTAATTATAATCAGGTCAGGGGATTAGGGAGCTAGTGAGGAACATGTGCAGTGAAATTAAAAATTCTGATATGATAATTTAAAATAAAGGTGCATGCGAGTTGTTTTGAGGAAGGTGAATGGTAGATACGGGCTGGAGGGAATTCATATAAAAATAATCCTGCAATTAACGGGAAAATTAAAAAAAAAAAGTTGTTATAAAAAGTGTATCAAAGTTTGTGCTATCTCATTTTCATATATGTGTGTGTGTGTGTACATAATTACGAACTACGTGTAATAGTCTGAAGCTTAGGTCCTAACTAATATCCAACAGAGGGTAACTTTCAAGTTTAAAAGGAAAGCGACCAACAAAAAATGGGAAGCGAAACAGGTGACCCGACACAGAGCCAGTCAAAAGTCCAACCAGAACCAAGCTGTGATGTGAGATAACGACAACCTCTTTTCTACCTAAACAGGGTTAAATGAAACGCATCACCGTTTTGGAGAGGCAATCATGGAGTTACTTATTTTGCCTATATTCAAACAAAAAAGCCTCACTTAAACTTGCAATCCAGCATACATATGACCAAATCAAAATTAATAATCATCTTAGCCCGACAGGAGAAAACTGATCAGCCAAAAAAAAAAAAGGTTAAATAATTTCATTTAAAAAATTTTTAAAAAATTGATAATTTAATTTATCTCGGGTGGAATCTTAACAGCCCCTGAGTGGAAAATCAGGAACCCTTTTTTTATTTTCATGACATAAAGTGTAATTTTTTTCAAAACGAAATAATCAAGGACTTGTTTTTAAATTATACAAAATATTATTATATCAATTAATAATTAACAACCCTTCCTTGCGGATTGGAGTTTTAAAAAGTATAATTGGGGCATATTAAACGGAAGGGAGAGTTGGATAATGCCGGAAACGGACAAAACTAAAGCGTAAAGCGAAAAAAGATAGTAAAAAGAAAATAAACGTTGGCATTTGCTCTTCCCGGTGCCTCCCCACTTCAAAAACATCACGCTATCCTCTGTCCCTGAGTTGGATCATTACATGATTAATGGGGCGAATTAAAAAAGGGTCTTTTTTTTGTGGGTGTCAAATAAATATAGCCAAGAAATAAATCAACTGCTGTTTCCTTCTCTGGTCTTTGTGAACCGATTTCGGCCAACAAAGGCGTTGTTTCGTTTTTCAGGGGCTTCTGATCTTCTTCCTCCCTAATTCTAAAGCCCTAAAACCCAAGATCCGTCACTGCCACGGTGCAATTTTCAGTGCTTGGTTTGCCTGCTCCTTGGCTGAATTTGCATTCCGTGACGACCCGGTGATTTTGATCACGGTTTTAGGGTTTTTACTTCCTGATTGCTCCGTCCGTTTCTTTGATAAATGGCGAGCAGAAAGGAAGATGAGAGAAATGAGAAGATTATCAGGGGTCTCATGAAGCTTCCGCCTAATCGAAGATGTATCAACTGCAATAGTCTGGTATTCCCTGTCTCCCTTCCGAATTTCTCTTTCTCTCCTTCATTTCTTGGTTTGGCTTCTTCGTCCATCTTGCGCACGCATGCTGCGTTTCCGATACATTTCTGTTTTTAGGATGTCTATTCTGTAGTTCTTTCAGAGCTAAACCCTCCGGCCGTTGAGTGGTTTAGTAGCCGAGAATCTTGATGGCTTGTGAGTGTTACATGTTGTTGGCCTTGATAGTTTAATTTCAAGGTACTGCCTTCCCTGTTGCGGTCCCCAAATCGTAATGCCTTAGCTGAAATTTCGCGTTGATATCAATAACTATCAAAGACGTGACGCAACCAAGATTTTTATGGTAGCTCCAAATATATATTTCTTTTCCTTTGCGAATTGATCCTGTGACAATCCTCTTCTTAGCTCTCAATGCAGGGTGGTCTAATTTCAGGGGGTATTTTCTATGAATCCTGTACTATATGTATTTGTGATCAGCAACACTTGAACTTCCTGTTTTGATAGTTTATCTCTTATCAGACGATTCACAGTCAATCGCTTAATTTACACGTGTTATTTATTTATTTTTGCAGGGTCCGCAATATGTCTGTACGACTTTTTGGACCTTCGTTTGCATGACATGCAGTGGCATACAGTGAGTCCCCCCCTCCCCCAAAAACCAAAAAAAAATCGTACCTTGGATTTCTTCATCAAATAAAAAAAAAAATGCCTTGGATTTCAATAGAGACAGAAGATTCCATATATAATACTTTATCTATATATCATAGACAATTGATTTGAGAATCTGATGCATAACATACTTGCAACTTATTTCCTAAATTCTGTTAGTTGCTGTGCTTATAGCTGTAGTCAAGAAAATGACCATTTCAAGCAATAAAATGTCGTGCTTGAGTGACCGATCCTTTGGCTGAAAATCACGGCTGGGCTGTCTGCATTGTTGTGGGTAGTTTCTAGAACCTGAAATTTAATTCAAAAGCCTGAAATTCTAAATGAGAAATTGTCACACTATTTTATTTTGGTTTCCTTTTGCAATTTTTTGGTATGTGATGACAATCATGGAAGGGAGGAACAACTAATGCAAAAATTAATGCTTTCTCATGGAGTATTTCCCCCACAATTGTGTGTCTCTTTAAGTACAAGCATGGGACGTCATCAAAATTAACAGTTTTTTAAACATATGTTCCTTCTATTTGGTTCGCTTTGTGATTTTGTGTAGCATTATATAGCATTTCGCTCATATTTTAACGATCACATTTTATCCTTTGCAGAACTAGTATTTATTCCTGATGTTAACTAGTGGAACTTCATTGGAGCTTCACTAGTTTTTGTACATGATATATTGTGTATGGTTCTTAGAATTGCCTGTCTAATTTAATGTCATGCAGTCGTGAGTTTACCCATCGAGTTAAGTCTGTATCAATGGCAAAATTCACTTCTCAGGAAGTAGAAGCTCTTCAAAATGGTGGCAACCAGGTAAAGGGTGAATTTTCTTTGGGCTGATATTTGGAGCCGGCGTTAGTTACATCCTGAAATGAGTTTATCTATGTGTAACTCAATACAGCGTGCAAGGGACATATATTTGAAAGATTGGGATTTCCAAAGGCAGCGTATGCCAGATAGCAGGTGCAATTGTTGTTAAGAGCAAAAGAAGTATCATGATAATGGACAAATATATTTGTGTATTTGTAGACTTAATAACTTAAAATACTTTATTTTTGCAGCAATGTTGACAAAATAAGGGAATTTATAAGGAATGTGTACATTGACAGAAGATATGCTGGAGCAAGGTCCTCTGACAAGCCTCCAAGAGATACGCAGGCAATATATTTTTAAATATTGATACGTTGCTGTGATACCAGTATCTTCCTGAAGCTAACTTTGTTTTGGACTTGTATTTTTTCTTTTTCTTTTTTTGCCCCCCTTCCTGAAAGGAAAATAGACTTGCTGAATTTCTGATAACATTTGGTAGTTGGTAGCTTGGATTGTAGGATATGACTGTTGATTCCATTGCAATAAAATATAGATATGGATTCAATACGGATCAAAACATTATACTAGTTCATGGATATATAATTAGAGTGATCTGACTGATCATTTTTTCCTTTATTATGTGCACTTCATGCAAATTTTCTAATGAAACTTCAGTTTTTGGTTTCAATGATGTTCAATGAGTCTTTCGTAGTACTGATAAATGAAATCAATAACATGCCACAATACTATAGATCTGAGTTAATTATCACCCTCCAGTTCAATGCTTATGTGTTTGTTTGGCAATTGACTGTAGAGTCCTAGAATCCATGGAGATGACACAAGGCGTGCTAGCTCATATCATTCTTATTCTCAGAGTCCGCCATATGATTACCAATATGAGGATCGGCGGTACGGAAGACAAGCAGCTGCATTGACCAGGAAGCCTGGTTCAGACAAAGGTCGTTATGAAGGGAAGATATCTAGTATAATGTATAGTCCTGGGCGCTTCAGTGACCATGCATCTGAGGATGGTTTTGCTAATGACGGATCTGGTCCAAGAAATTCGGACTATTCTGTGTCTAATGCTGGTGAACAGTTTAAATCTGCTGTGCAGTCTCCTAAGTTTTATAGGGACATGCGAAGCAGTCCGTTCCATCAACGTTCTAGTGCTGGTTCAAGTGAAGATATATGGTCTCCATCTCGGTATACTTCTTTGGAAACAATCGTCAAGGGTAATTCAGATGGACATCATCCACAGGTAAGTTCTTTTTCGTTATTCTATCTATGGTTTAAAAAAAAAAAAAAAAATCATGTGTGCTTGCTGATGATCTAGGAAATTGATAATTGTTTAACCCAAGTAAACTTAAAATCATCAGTGTGGGAGTGTTTTGATGGTGATTTAGTTTTTTTTTTTTTTCCCCCTTTTCCTTTTCTTGCTCCTTTCTGTAGTTTGAACCAAATGACATATCATCTAGAAATACATTCCTTTCTCATGGACTATTTCCCCCTGAAGATGGCTTTTCTCTTTGATTCAATTGACCGGATAAAAGCTTTAGTTTCTTATCTCCATGGTTGGAGCCTGTAGATCTGGAATTAACTGCTGAAGGGAATTTTTTCAGTCTTTGGTTGCAAAAGATTTTAGTTTGCTTTTCTTCTATACCAGCCAAAGAAGGGAAAAAGGGTCCTTCCCTGATAAAAACAGGTGTTGAATCCTCTGGTGTAGTAAATGTGCGTGTGTAAAAACATATGAAAGGCTAAGAACGACGTCAATACAAAAGTTATTCATAAAATAGTCATTTGCCGGATGTTTGTAAACCCTCAATTGTGCTGAAACTATAATGCTTCTGTCAATTTATTTGTTCAATATCAGTGTGCAAATACTGACCTTTATGTAATTTCCTTTTTAAATTGGCGGGGAATTGGCTGCATTTTATGAAGTTTGTACTTTTTATTGTCTGGACTTGATGACTGGTGATTATGTAGACATGTTTGATTCTATATATAACTTGTTGATTCTTCCCTTCTCTGTTATTTGATATGATATTAACTGGTGTCCTTTACCCAGAGAATCACACCACAGGGATCAACCGACTGCAGTTCATCATCCCAGAGATCTTACAGCTCTGGTGGTTTAGATTTTTTTTCAGAGCCTGTCCAAGCTTCTGGATCCAATCAAGATAAGGTGTCTGCCATACCAGTATCGCAACAATCACGTCCAGCAAGATCAGTTAGCTTGGATCTTTCAAAGGTAGCAGTGGCATCTGAGCCATTGTCTTCCTTAACGCCACCTATTGATCTGTTTGAGTTTCCAGCATCATCTCAGGCTCCATCAGTGGATTTGTTTCAACCGTCTATTTTGTCTTCAGCTCTATCTTTGAACCAAAATCAACCTTCACAGGCATCACAGTTCTCATCTATTGACTTCTTCGTGGATGTTTCTAAGCAGCAGTCTGCTGCTCCATCTTTGAACCAAAGTCAACCTTCACAGGCATCCCAGTCTTCACCTATTGACTTCTTTGCGGATGTTCCTGAGCCGCAGCCTGCTGGTCCATCTTCAGCTCCATCGTTGAACCAAAATCAACCTTCGCAGGCATCCCAGTCCTCATCTATTGACTTCTTTGCGGATGTTTCTAAGCAGCAGCCTGCTGCTCCATCAGATGAGAAGTCACCAGAGTTCTTTGTGCCTAAAAATGAAGGATGGGCAACATTTGATGTCCCTCAGCACGCAGCAGCATCTCCTGCACAAGTTGAAATTCCAGCAGGAGTTCCATCAACTGACAAGTCTTTGCTGGAGTTATTTGATCCATTTTCAACTGCAAATGCCAGCAAGCAGTGGCCATCTTTTGACACTTCTGGTGTTCATGAACCTTCAATCACTTCCAATGCATGGCATGGTGGTGTGCAGAATGGAGAACAAGCTTCCGTTACTGCAGCAAATGCTCAAGTAAGTAACCTCAGATATTGGATTTGATACTTCTTGTTTTAAACATCATGAGTAATTCATGATGCTATATATTTTCTTTTCTCTGCCCCTTCAAGTATTAGACCATGGAACAAATTGAAAATTAAATCAAGTTTTGTATGCTGATCCTGAACAGCCATGGAATGCATTTGAAGATTCTGGTTCTCACCTTCCTGTAGATACTGCTAGTCAAGGGTTGCAACTGCATAATCTTCCTTCAAGTGGTGATCAGTTTTTAAGCTCAAAAGTTTCTGAGGTTGGTGCATGTGTGCCCTAATATGATAATAGTTGCCAAGGTTTTCAGGGAAAAGAAATTCTAAACTATTTGCTTTTATCAGGGCCCCAAAGGTGGGCTGCAAGACTTTGCCCCTATTGGTGCTTTCAATGATAATGTCCAATCAGATGTTGGTGGTTTACCATATCCTCCAACTGCGCTTCCTCTGATGGTTTGTGCTCTTTAGGTCTCTTGAGCCCCCTTTTTTTTTTTTTCCAATTTCAATTGGTGTTTTTGTTTTTGTGTTTTCTGTTATTAATTTTGTCTCCTTCCAGGAAGAGACTCAACGCAGTGCAACCAACCAGAAATCAACTAATCCGTTTGATCTTCCCCACGAATCTGATGTAGAGCACAACAGTATGGTATGTGATGGATTGTTGGTCGATATGTGTTAATCAGGATGTGATTTTTTTATGTTCCTGGCTTGATACTTCCTGCTGAAGATGGTAGTAAACCAGTTCTTGAGGGTTCGTCAAAAGGGAAAAAGATCTTGAGGCTTTTTCCAACAACTTTAAGTTTTCAAACAAAATGGTTCTTGAATCTTGACATAGTGTTGGGGCTGTATGGGTTGGGAGTTCTATCCTTTCTGCCCCCATTTTAAGTAATTCAAACTCTAGGCTTCTCCAAGAGCTTGTAACTATTGGATTTTGGCTCTGAATTCTGCATAATTTGAGTTTGGAAGGAGTGAAAGAAGTGCGCCCAAAATTTGGTTTTTGACATTTCAATCTCTTGCCCTGCCATATCAAACACTGCCAGGGACTCATCTGGATATAATTTTAAAGCTGAGCCTTTATTATGTTTGAATCTTAGCATGCTAGAGTCCACTACCTAGCTTTCTCCTTTCATATGGTAAAAAATGCATAGTAGATTTGACATTGTGACATTTCTCAATGGAGTTGTCTCTCATGATATACTTCTATTGTAAATAACCCTGACTGCATCATAATGTTGAACCTAAATACTCCCTCCGTTCCTTATTATAAGAGACGAATAACCGAATTACGTTGTTCAAAAAAACAGTTAAAATTAGTTAAGAACAATTAATGTGTAAAAAGTATAATTTTTTTTCCTAAAAATGCCCTCATTAATAAGGAGAGAGAACATGAGAGAGAACAATGGTAAATTATTAAAAGAAAGAGAAGTGGGAAGGAGAGAGAGTGTGAGTTAGAGACAATAAATATGGATAAAATAGGAAATCAATACAAAAAAGTAGAAACAACTTTTAAGTGTTTCTTATATATAGGAACATGCCATAAGCATCAAATGTCTCTTATAATAAGGAACGGAGGGAGTATAATTTAAGCCTTGCCTGAGAATTTAATTCACTTGCATGGTGGTTACGAGAGGTAAACATGTTCTTCTGCATTTATCTAATCTGTTTTCTTTTATCAACTGCAGTTCCTTGATCTGAGCTCATTGCAAGCTGCTCTGCCGGATTCCCCGTTAGCTCCTCCATACAATGGTGGTAATGGTATAGCTGAACCATGGCTCCCTCAAAGTGTGACACCATATATTTCTTCTGCAGGACAAGGTAGTCTTCCAAGATTCTCCTAGAGCTTAAACATGACCAAAGTACTTTCATTTTTATTACAATCATGACCAGATTTCTTGCCCCCCTGCAGTTTGAAACGTCTTTTATTTGCGTGCACAAGTAAATGTAATTATTCAAATACATGTGGTGGCAGGATTTTCTTTTTATCCTTCATATTCTGATTTTGGTTCAATTATGTAGGTGGTCTAACCTTCATGGCTGCGCAGCCACCTAGCTCTCAAATACCGTAAGTTGCATCATGTCCTTGTATTTTATTTGTGAATCCAAATAATGGTGGTTGTGTTTATTGCTGATTTTGCCTTGAATCTAATAGCTTGTCTTTTTTTTTTTATTCCAATAAATAAAATTTTAAAGTAGTCATGGACGGAAGTGTTAAAGTTAGTTGTTTGGGCATTTTTCATTGGACTCCGTGACCTTTCCATACAAATGACTTTCTGAGTTGCTTATTTACAGGAACATCCCGACCCAAGGACCAGTTGCATCTTTTGGGGGAAATCCGTTTGCATAGGATTTGGTTGTGTAGTGTGGTGTTCTTTTCACGTAAAAATATGTGCATGGCCATCCAGTAGCTCCTCATAGGAGTCATTAGTGTGATTTATTCCTAGTCACAATGTCTTCAATTGCTACTGCAGTAAGTGAGGCCTTGCAATTCATGGTTCCTGCGGCATGCTGGCCATGATTATTAAATTACGTTGTTCTCAGAAATCAGAATTATTGATCAGCAGTTAGTGTTCTGGCGGGTATTGTAATTTAACGTAGACAAATTGGAATTTAGGGTGAGATCTTCGACGCATTGATTGATATACATATTGTAATTGTAATTGATTTCCCCTCTAGATGCTGTATACAAAATTAAGATTTTGATTTAATCCTTGTGCAAGAGAGGATAAAAGATTATTGGAAGACGATGAATTTAGTTTTGCTATATTGAAACCCCTTGACAGTGTGTGCTCTGTAAATAATTAGAAACTTTAAAAGGCTTTGGCCCAAAGGAAGAAACTTTAGAATTCTTATAAACTAGTTTAATGGCACATACTTGGCTATGGCCAGTGTAATTGCTGTACGGGCTAAATTATGCAAAAACGCCGTGGGGTCATCAATCTCCTGAGGAAATTTCCATTTAACCGATTAATGTTGCCGCCATTGAAGAATGGCGATAATAGTGAAAACGTGACGGTAGAACTACGATTTACACATTTTCTTATCTAGCCAGTGAAGCCGGACTTCGAAAACAGCGAACAATGGACGTACTTGGGGTGGAAAAGTGGTACCATGCTGTTACAAGTTGAATTTTCATTTACGGAGAGTTCGACTCTTTGATGGGTTCACTTGTTTTGTCTATTGTTTCAATATTAGCATGGTTATCTTCGAAACATCGAGATATCTGTGAGGTAGAGAGGACCGACCTCCCTACTTCTCATAAAGAGAAGCGTCGTCTCTCTCCGCTGGTGCAGAGAATATGCTGAAAAGAGAAGGCAAGGCAAGAACCTCTTCACAAGAAAGTGGATTTTGAGGTCTCTAAATAATTTGAGCACTACCATAAAAGATCTCTCCATGGGGATGTACATAGTAGTAGTTCCTTCCTTCTCATCGTAATTGTCAGAAGGATGAAACTGACTGACAAGTGACAACCAGTACCCATTCACCTGCCTTCTGTATTATCTAAATTTACCTAAGCCAGCTACCTCTGACTTGAATAAACAACGCTTTGCCAAAAATCTCCAACCCAAGTGATCTTCTCTCCCCTCTCTCTCTCTCCTGTGCAGGTCTCATTTATTATAGCAGTTCCACTAAATTTTATCAGTACCCAACATTCATTGTGCTCTTTATAGGGAAAACAGCAAATCCCAAAAAAAAGAAAAAAAAGAAAAATGATGTCATTCTGCGTAATGAGCTTGATTGCTTTGAGGTGAGTTTCAGTCAGTGATCTCATTCACTACTGATAAATCTCAAAAAGCAAACTAAGGGGTGCTCAAATGTCAAGGATCCCACGCATAAACTTTAATCTCATAAATGGGAACAATGTGCAGATTAGACGAATAATCAATCTCAGAGTGACATGATTAGAGAAAAAAATAAAGTGAGGGGGAAAATAAAATTTCCTAGCTTTGCTGACGAGCCGTGGTGCCACGTGACTCAGAAAAAGAAAGGGAGAGAGAAATTAAAATATTGAAACTCCTCTCGCTGACTTTGGTTTCTATATTGACTATGTAATAAAGTTAAAGGTTGGAGGCAATAAAAGGGTCAGGTAGATCAGTGAGTGTAAAAATAAAGTGGTTCCTCTACTTTCTAGTCATCGAGTATATAACCAACACTCACATGTAGTGCTACCATGTAAAAGCTCTGTATTGCAAAGTTTTGCCTGAAAACAAAAATTAAGAGGAGGGTGGGACAGAGTGGAGATTGTAGCGCCATGGGAAGACCTCCTTGCTGTGACAAAGTTGGGATCAAGAAGGGACCATGGACACCTGAGGAGGATATCATCCTTGTTTCTTACATCCAAGAGCATGGCCCAGGAAACTGGAGATCAGTGCCTACTAATACTGGTAATTTCAGTCACTTCTCAGCTCCAAGCTCTTTCAAATTTTCATACTTTTGATCTCTGATTAAAGTTTGGCATAACGTTATGATAATGGTTTGTTCTTGATCTATCGTAGATTTCTCACTAAACTGATATAGATGAAATCTTCTTCTGTGATTAAAAAGGGTTGTCAAGGTGCAGCAAAAGCTGCAGACTGAGATGGACTAACTACCTCAGGCCAGGAATCAAGAGAGGGAACTTCACACCTCATGAAGAAGGAATGATAATTCATTTGCAGGCGCTTCTGGGAAACAAGTAATCTGCAGAAACCTCCTCCTACTGTTTGCTTTTTCCCTTTGTTTTAATTAGGAAAAAAAACAGGAAGAAAGAAGAAAATTTAGCCACATAGTCACATACACAGCTTCACCAGTCACCTCTCATGTCTTTTTCAATTTAAATGGAAATAAATTTTTATATTTTTTAAATGATATCTTTCTAAAGTTGCGAAGTTATTGGTGGTTGAGCAGATGGGCAGCCATAGCTTCGTACCTACCACAAAGAACAGATAATGATATAAAGAATTATTGGAACACACATCTAAAGAAGAAGCTGAAGAAATTTCAAGCAGCCTTGGACCCCCACCTTGTGTCACCGGACTCAACTACGTCTGCTCAGTTTGTATCTAAGACCTTTCATGACAGAACAAGTTTAGATATGAGCAGCACTTCATCTCTTAGGCTTAGTCAGTCTCAGTCTCAGTCACAGTCTCAGTCTCAGTCCTCCTCCTCCACCTATGCCTCAAGCACTGAGAACATCTCACGCCTCTTACAAGGTTGGATGAGATCATCACCAAAGCCGGACACTAATCTTCTCCAAGTAACCAAAGACAAAGAGCTTGAAGACAACAACGTTAACAGCTTCGAAAACAGTAAGCCGATGATGAAGTCTGCATCAGTACCTGCTGCTTTAAATTTTGTGTCCTATCATCATCAAGCAAAAGATGAGAAAGAGGGTGGAGAGATGGTGTCCCATGAAGAGTTCGATTCCATTCTGTCGTTCGAGAACCTTAATAATGCTGCTTGGGACAAGTCCACTTGTGATTCTGTGCATGATAGGAGTTCTGAGGCTGCAGCTGAGAAGGTTTATGATAAACAGAGATCAGATAGCAACAGTGCTCCTCCATTATCGTTCCTTGAGAAGTGGCTGTTTGAGGAAAACGTGGGCCATGAGGAGATGATGGAACTATCCCCTATGTTCTAACATAGCAGCAACGTATAAGATCAATCCCTGATAATAATTCCGGGGCATGACAATTAAAAAACATGACCAGTCAGAGAGGAAAGGACACCCAAAAAGGAAAAAAAAAAGTTAGGATTTTTATTCTATATATGATGAGGGTCTTGTAGTTTGGATCTCTCTCTTCCAACATGTAACTTGAAGTTTATGAATGATTTACCTCACGCAAGCCTAGTGAATCAATTAACCCAGCTCACTGCCTTGTGAAAAAAACTACAAATGTTTACTTGAGCATGAGGCCATATAATAAGTAATTTTCTGATACTCCCTTGGTGCCCTTTTGAAATTTTTAAAACTTGATGTATATTCTTCTTATTTTCTGTTTTTTTTTCATTTTTTTAATTGCTGCAGCAGTATCTATACAAAATAAAAGAGGCGAAAAATACACCAAAAAAACACTGTACGTTAGTAAATATATAACATGCATATATATGGTCGTTCCATATACAGGTGATTAATTAGAGTGGAAGCTATGACGTGACCGCTGTTTCCAAAGTGTAGAGGCTTATTTGTTCTCACTAAAAGTCATTGATGTCATGGCCAGTAAACTTTAATGGCTTAAATGGTGCATTATTAGGCCAAATCATCAATGTAATTATACTATTGATTACGAGTCTATATATGACGACCCTTGAAAACCTACCAAGTCTATTGGTCGTAATGATCATTATTAATTGATGCTAGCTAGCTACTAAACTTTTCAGAGAAAGGGCATTTGAATTTATGAGAGACTAAAATATAGGCAAAATACCCAAAAAAGAAACATATATCAGCAAGGTGGTGGCCTTTGGCCGTAGGGCTCGAGCTATTACAATATATAGTAAGTATTATAGAATCAAATATACTACCATAATGAACTCTCCACCAACATGAATGAATTTCAATATACTGAGACTAAAAAGGACTATACGGAAGAAACAAAAGTATCCAAATAAGAGTGAAACAGGATGGTGTCACGAAAGTCTTGCAAGCAAATAAGGAAAAAATGGGAGCCTCAAAGTCTTTTCCTTTAAGAAAAATTTTGTATGGGAAACCTGTGATCTTCTTCAGCTTTCGGTGTGGCATATGGCCACAGATCATGCAGCCACCTATGCCCATCACAAGATATCTAACAAAATGGGTTCCAATCTTCTGCTGCTGCATCAGCTTTCAATGCAGAAGCTCCAACCAATCATTACTCGCCATGTGTTCTCATCACGCCCTCACCTTCAGATCTCGTATAACATAACAATGCTGACAAATATTAATGAGTAGCAATAAAAACAAATAATAAGGCAACTATTTGGTGGTGTTGAAGACCAGTTAATGCAGCATGTTGTGATTGGCAGTGGACAACTAAAGATGAGGTGCGTCATTTAATACCCCAAAACTATTTTTACAATGTAATAATCCCAGACAATTATTAAGCACTAGACCATATAGGTCTGTGGAATGAATAGTGATCGAACAAAAACCCAATTATTTCCTCCTTCACAATTATTCTCATATTGGAGGTAATTACTGTCATACTCCCTCCGTTCCTTATTATAAGAGACATTTGATGCTTATGACATGTTTCTATATATAAGAGACACTTAAAGGTTGTCTCTATTTTTTTATATTGATTTTCTATTTTACCCATATTTATTGTCTCCAACTCACACTTTCTCTCCTTCCCACTTCTCTTTCTTTGAATAATTTATCATTATTCTCTTTCATGCTCTCTCTCCTTATTAATGAGGGTCTTTTTGGGAAAAAAATTATACCTTTTACATATTGATTGTTTTTAACTAATTTGAACTGTTTTTTTTATCAACGTAATTCGGTTATTCGTCTCTTATAATAAAGAATAGAGGGAGTACCATCTTACTTATCTTTGTAATCAGCTAAAATTTCCATTTCCCAATATATACACAAATATTCCTAACCCATCGCATATTGTTCAACATACTCGCACATGAAGATCAAGCTTGGCCCAGCATGCTCCCAAATCACATTCAGAAGTCCGTGCCAGCAAGGGTTTCTCTTCTAATTATCTAAAGTCAATATCAATATTGGTCTTTCAAGTTTTTTCTCAGGTTTTCGTCCTCTAAGTTTTAAATCATAAGTTTTAATCCCTCAATTTTTTTATTTAAAATATTAGTCCTTATAATCCAATAAAAATTTGGACTATTTTATTCCTTGAAGGACAAAAAACCTATGATTTGAAATTTAAGGAATCAAAACTAAAATAAGATCAAATTTGAGACCAAAAATTATATTAACCTCATTATCTATCATCACCATGTACCGTAAATCTAAGTATTCCCTGCTTGTTTCAGCGGGAGAAACCCACAGTATTGTGAAACTGTAAAGGACAGGAGGCATGTGAGGTAAAGCTAACAGGAAGTGGAAACCCTAGAAGCTGGAAATTAAATGAAAGAAGGAGAAGAGAGATAAAGATGAGAGGTGTTGGAGTTGGGATCATTTAATTTATTTGTGAATTTTATGTGTCACATACCCTTTTTTTCTTTTGCCTCCTTTCTGGGTAATGGAATAATGTGGGGTTCCTCAATATGGGAACCCTGGTTACGTTTGTTATTTTGGTTCCTTTTTGCTTTTTATCCATCGTTTCCATATGCATGGTGCCTTTATATTCATTATTCTTTCTGACTCATTAATATTCCACTGTAACACCACGCTGGTGACAACCCAGACATTCCTTATATTTTTCTTTATTATTTAAGTTTTCTAATTTTACTGTCACGTGTTCTTTTTAATTTGTTACTCTTATATATCAATAATCTCGAAACCAACAAGGGTCCGTTTCTCTGTTTGTGTTATCTGAAAAAACAAAACTGAAACCGTACAAGGGCTTTGCATGTAGTCGTGCAGAACTTCGTCCTGTATATAGAGCTAAGTATTTGAAGAATAAAAACTGAAGCAATGAGAATAATTAATTTTCATGTTCTGGTTGTAAAATGTAAGACTGTTTATATATGAAAGCACGAGCCTGCCAAGTTACTGTACGTAGCTGGAATTTAATTAATATGCAACTGCTTATTAAAGACGGAATGGAGTTAAAATGACAGAAAAAAGCGCGTATAAAGAGTTCAGCTATCAAAATTAATATTAATATTATTTAATAAATCTTGAATTATAATTAAATGTTCATAACTGTAATAAATATTCATCAGAGCTCGTTATCCTAATGCTGGAAATTGGGGTATTACTGTACTCTCTCATTTATTACTGTACTCTCTCATTTATAATCTTCAATTTTGGAAAGGAGTGAGATACATTTATAAGTTTCAATTTGGATTTGTTTTAACATTCAATACAATTTTTTTCAATTTTATCCTGAATTATTTATTTTCTCTCTTTTGTCATGCTCTCTTATTACATTTTTCCACACATTTTCTTTCATCCTCTTTCACATTTACTATGTAGGTATATTTGAAAATAAAAATATATTTATAATATATTTATTACTTTTAACTAATTATTTATTTTCTACAAATTATTTATTTGAAGTTTACAATAAAAATCGGAGGGAATATATCTTAATAAAAGGGGTATTAGCCGAAAAGTTTATATTATCTAAAGGAAGACTTCTCAGAATCTAAAGTATATATGGATGCATTCCCCTATCCTTTTCTATTTGCGTTTTATACTATTGAATTTTAATATAACATGATGCTGTCTTATTTATACAAAGTTAGCTTTGAAAAGTGTAAGGAGATTTCAAAACTTTAAGATTAGTGATGAGAGGCATCACATCAGATTGCCACACTTGTACCTACCATTGCATGGCTGTCATGTGAGAGATAAGAGCTTCTTCAAATCCTCATGAGCAAGATGCCTTCTCTTTTTCACAAATCTAATCAGTTTGGGACCACCCCAAATTAAATTGCTGTGAAACTACCTTAGGCATCCAACCCAATTTCGAGAGAACGTGGAACTAATATGTATTAAGGAATTTTAACAAGCCAGAAGACTCACTTACACTTACTGGGACTGATCCGTCTTTAATACCCCAATTTACAGAGTGATCCCACTGCCTTGAATGCAATTAAAGCTGTGTCCAATCATATCCTCAAAATAAACCATCTGGCTCTCTCTCTGCTCTGAATCAACGTCTGCGCTATAATGTCTGAAAATGAAGTGAGGTTGCTTGCTGCCAGAACCATTTAATTGGCCTTCAAAATTAGGCTAAACACCCGTACCAGTGATCCCAGAAAGAGATTGCCGCTTCACTTTAAGCCACGAGATCATCATCATCATCACCATGCATCATATCATAAATTTGATTGCATCATGGGTATTCGAGGAGAAATAGAGATGGCCCAAAAAAAGAGGAAAGCTACAATCATAAAATGTTGTGACACTTCCTTTTTGATTAGTGACCACAAATCAAAAATTATCTTGGAATCATATTGCCACACTAATTAAGTGGCAGAGGATCTTCATTTTAAGCTTTTCCTTTTCAGAAAAACCGCAATATAAATTTAGAGCAATTAACTTTACGGCTTGTTAATGGAGATCTGATAGTGATTCGATATGACCAACGGGCCAAACGGATACCCATAGTCTTCACCTAACCCACAACCTCTCGATTAGATCTTTAGGGAAAAAGGAAAGTAACTTGTGAAAGGGGACAATTAGTTAAATCACCCTGTTCGGAACTAATTTCTCCAGAATCCCTATGTTGGACATCATTGTTTATTTGAAACTAAAATCACATGACGAAGCAAACCCCAGAGAAGTTATAAGAAGCATGTTGACAAGCGGGTCTGAACACGGCAATTTGCAAAATAAAAGTCTCCCACGGTGACATTTCCCCCGTGAGCTTAAGCCTTTGAATACTTGGAATCACATTGCATCCTAATTCAAAGGCTTCCCACCAAAACTTCGTAACTAGAAACTTCTTCAATACAAACCATGTTATAAATTGACCCATGAGCTTACATGTCAACGTATTATACATTGTGTGGTCAACAAGCAAAATAAACAAATTGAATCTCACAAGAGTTGAACATTGTTCGTGTATGATTCGGCAAGGGAAGTGAAGCGTTGAAAAACAAATCGAATGGAAGGCCATGGCAAATCACAGAACAAAAGAATGCAAGGTCATATAAGATATATCGTACATCAACTCAGCCCTCCTTGCATCCCGTTTGAGCTCAGCTCCGAGCAATCTGATGTACAAATCTTGGGTGTAAGAGGATAGGAAAAGACGGTTATTAACGAAAATACCGATTCTAAATTCGCCCATCAATATGATCATACCTATACAGAGCATAAGGCAGCTTCTTTAATGCGACCACGAAATCAGCTCATCAAATCTCCATAAAGTATTTGTAATGGCATACAGCCAGGCTATATCTCATCATTGTCACATTCTCTGAACCTCTTCATAGATTGAATTGAAGAGAGCAGTGGATATGTACCTTTCACCAAAACTTGGAAATATAACCTTCATGCAAGAATTAAAAAAAAAAATTAAAATGAAGAGTTTTTTCGTGAGAATAATACTCTGCAAAGGCGTCATCCAAAAGCATAATTTGGGAGACATGGTGTAGAGAGTAAAATAAACTAATATAAGTTTAACATCTGAAACTCAGGATGAAAGCATTCTGACCAACCCAGCCACTTTAACGTACAGGGAGACATGGTTTTGGGAACTGCATGTGCTAGTTGTGGTTAGAAAACTGCAAGCACACGCCCCACAAAACCCCTTCCACACCAGACACACGCACACACATATATTCTTATTACGGTATTTCCAGTAACACCTAAGAAAGCCAGACTGTTTAAATAGAAATGGACTCACTACAATGAGTTTTCCAACATTCTCAGGCCGTCTTGCTACACTTATGGCAGCAGCTGCAGCAGCTCCTGAAGAAATCCCGACCTAAATCAAAGTTTGAAATAATTATAATATAACACGCATGCTGAAAATAAAAGCTAAACAGGTTCTGAAACTAGAACAAAAACACAACACTTGTAAAGCTACATGCGGACACCTTCTGTTTACAATCAAATAAAAAATAATAACGAAATTAAAAGCATACAAAACAGAACATAGGATCGTATATATCAAGATGTTTGAATTTTCAGCCTACCAGTAAACCTTCTTCCAACGCTAATCTCCTTGCCATTTCAATAGCTTCAACGTTGGTAACCTGCGCTCTCAATATCAAGATAATCTATGTAAGACAATTATGCATATAAAGTGCCTCAAATGGAAAATAGAATAAAATCCAAGCAAAACTCAAAAGCGTCTAGCGAGCTGTGTGTATGAAGCTTCGAGTATAGCAATTAAACCCTGCTGATGACTCCAACAATTGAACTCTCACCCAAAATTCAGTCTCTAAAAATCTGATTTCAAATCACAAAACAGTTACAGCTTCCTTCTCCAATTATAATCCACCTCTCCATTTTTTTTTTCTGGTCATTTGCATCTTACTCAAATTTATCCAATGCCAAGGCATGTTAATTGAAAAAGCGAACGGTTCAACTTTTCAAATTTTTTTACATGCATAAAGCTTCACGAAAGGATATGGAAATCCCAAAGCCAAGAGACTAGCCCAAAACAGGTTATTGTGGCAAGCAATGAGCCGGAAGCCAAAGCAAATAACCAAGGAGGAAGAATTTTTTTATTACCTTGATAACCTCATCAAGTAATTTAACATCTAAAATGCTTGGCAGGTAACCTGGAACAGAAACTCTAATATCGTCAATAATAATCAAATTTCTATCTAAAATTTGATGAAAACAAGCAGCACTATAAGACAAAAGAAGTTAAAAACCTTGACATTGAAAAGCTTGTAAGACGATTCAAACCTGGATTGTCCCCTGAGATTACACTTCTCTCTGCAGGTTCCACACCAACAACCTAAGCAAACCAAAATATGGTTAAGAAGAAAAAGGATACACTTATATATTTTCCAATTTCATTTTCTTTATTCTCTGCCACAGAGAGGGGAAAAAGAGCACACACCTTTATTTTTTTGTTCATTAGTTTGAGATATTTCCCAGTTCCTGTAACAGTACCACCAGTTCCAATCCCAGCAACCAGTACATCAACATTACCTATGGTATCCTCCCATATCTCTGGCCCTGTAGTTTCGAAGTGGATCTGTAATTTGTACATATAAAACTCAATAAAATGTATCTACTCATTTTAATTCCTGTTATAATATATTTGTAATACGTGCTTTTATTTTTACTCAGGCAACCTCAACATAATATAAAACAGCATTTAATGAGATATTATGTAAGACAGGTTAGAATTAACCTTCACATTAGTCATGTTATCAAATTGCCGAAACATGTAAGCATTGGGTGTTCTAAGAACGATTTCTTCAGCTTTGTCAACAGCCCCTTTCAGACCCTTCTCGGGATCTGTCAAAACAATCTCTGCTCCAAATGCACGTAAAAGGATTCTTCTTTCAATATTTATAGAAGCAGGCATGGTGACTATAAGTTTGTATCCCTTCGTTGCTGCAATAAAAGCAATACCCAGTCCTGTATTTCCAGTTGTTGGTTCTACTAAAGTAGTCTGCACAAATACAGAATCAGCATGATAAAGCAAATCCAAAATTGGAAGCTCGGCCTTGATGTATGTAACATCCTAGTTCAATGGGTTTAAGGAAAGTCAGAGCAGTGAAACTCATGCCGGTTGATAAACCATTGGATATTCACAGCTTACCTTGCCAGGAGAGATTGCTCCAATTTCTTCAGCATCGGTTAACATGCTATAGCCAATTCTGAAAAGTTGAACAATAAAATCAACTAATTCATGATATGCTCCAGTCTAAGCTTCACAAGACATATTGCAAGGGAAATCGTGAAATAAAAAGATCAAAATAGTAGCCTAATAAAAGTCTCAATATCCAAAGTACACCAGTACACCACAAATCAAATAAAGGGCGAAGATATAACTAAACATAAAGTATTACCTGTCCTTGACACTTCGGCAAGGTTCCATAGACTCAAGTTTTGCAGCAACATTTCCCGCACAGCCTTCTGTCACCTTATTGAGGTACACCATCGGTGTACTTCCGATCAACTACATTGATTTGCAAAAATAGTAAAAGAGGATACCAAAATCCAATTGTGAAAAAAAAAAAAAAGGGCATAGAATAAGTCATCATTATAGTCCAGTGAAGATAAACTGGACTAGGTTCGCTCAGTATTATAGGCATATATGCTCATGTCCCAATAAACAGTATTGTTAATAATAATTCATCAAATAGGTTTTGTTATTATAATTCAAGAAGGGTCGTAGAACCACAGAAACATATCTGAAGAAAATAAAAACGGAAAATTTAGTGGGAAAAGAGGAATTCACTGCAAGCATCAAAGTGTACAACATAGCCAAAATGATTTTGAGTAGGGGTCACTGAGCTGATATTGATGGAAAACCTGGGTGACGTCTTCAGCAATGTTGACGGATTCAAGCGCTTGTCTAGTGGAGTAGACCACCGGCGAAGCTTTGGCGGAGATGATGGAGGGAAGGGTACGGGGACAAACAGCGCCATTTACAGGTAAGAGAAAGGTACGGGCTTTGAGCGGGAATAAACGGTGGGGCTGGGGCGGAATACCACAAGGACGAGAAAAAGCGAGTGAGGATGAAAGGGCCATCTGGGAAGAGGGTGCTTTCGAGGAGACAAAGATGGGGTTTAAGGCGGGTTTTACTCCTCGTCATCATAACCGGACATATAGGCCGTTGTAGCAGGCCTTGGGCCGAGGGTTAGAACTTGAGCTCTACTTGACTCTCCTCCACTTCGAGGTATATTTTAAAAAAAAAAATTTTTTACTAGATATAGGTATCTTCTATTAGAAACAATCATATTCGAAACAGTGTCGAGCACTAAACATAGACACCTCTCCCATTAGAGATTCAAACTTTAATTTGTCACGTTGTCAGAAACTAACTCCTTCCACCAATCCAACCTTATTGGTCTACTAGGCATCCGATTCAATTTCAACTCAATTAATAATTCAACTAGATTAATATCTAAAGGAAAAAAAAAACAACAACAACAATGTCCCAAGGTCGAAGCACCAAAATATATCAATTTTTCAGAAATCAAAACAATTTCGTTAATCTAATTATGTGGATAATGGTTTTTTAATTAGAAAATTGATGTAATTAATTTAATTGGTAGAAAATGTTAATTCTAGTTGGTTAATTAATTAATTTATAGGATACTAGAAAAACATTTTGAGCTTGATAGATTCAAGTACATTCGTTAGAACGTGATCGAACACTGGTAATGGTGTATACTTTGACCGGACCTGAGAAAATGTTTTGGAACTTCAAACGCAGGACAAACCCCGGGGGGGGGGGGGTTTGTATAGGAGCTTCCTTTAGGTGTTGGTCATGGGAATCTTGAAAATTATTTTAGAAATCAAAATGTTTCAGAGTAGGCCCATCTAACTGACGTAATGGTATGCAAGAGCATTTATTGCATAAACCCCAGGAAAACAAAATATTGCAGCTGATTGCTCGAATCCTCTTCCATGAGTTGAACTATTCACTATAACAACGTTACAAAATGTGATTATCAGAATCAAAATCCAGAAAGAATGCATCTTTTTCACTTTTCTAACAACATAACCTATGGCTCAATTTCTCACCAAAAATTGTTTGGTGCGGCTATTGATTTTAATCCGTTATCTGTACTAGGAGGAGATCTAGCAGAACGCTTAGACCAATGTAACTTGAGCTTCAGAGCCGGGACCTTACGTGCAACAGCCTGCCATATCATTTGGACAGCATCTCCTTCCCTTGATGGGAACTGATACTCAAAGAAATGTTCAACCTCTTTCAACTTGTTCCACATTCGTGTCCATTCTTGTTTCCCAATACTCCTAATGAAGTTGATCAGAAAATTCTCTCTGAGAGCATCCCTTGTGCGAACAAATATGCAGAACTCAGAGTAGTCAAGCACATCTTCATATGGGAGCTCAATTTCGTCACTGATTATGACGGGGACACAATGAGCAGCAATGGCATCAAATAAGCGGTTTGATGAGGGGGTGTCACCAGCAATGTTGAGGCAGAATTTGGACGAATACATTCCTTCTGTAGCTTTCTGGATTCCACCCTTCTGAACACTTCCAAAAGAAAAATGCACATCTTTTTCATCTTTCAGAAGATAAAATAGCTCTTGCCGAGCTAAACCTCCCTGAGCATTACCAGAAACTTGAACTAAGTGCAACTATTAAAGAACCCGCAAATTTTGACACAGAAAAAGGCAGGCATGAGTAGATCTAAAGCATAAGCGTATTTCCAAAAAAATTGAACCTTTTCCCCCGACAAGCTTCAACATTTTACTGTGCGGATTAACTACCGTATTTTATACTTTCACTAATAAAATCAGAATTCTGTATTCCTCCCCAAAAATATAATGTATTGTCTCCTGTGCTGCAGATAGATATGGTCCCCTCCCGCTAATTATGGAACTGTAAGGAATTTACTAATGGGTTCATAATATAAAAACAGACTCACTTGCATATTCTCTAAGTCTCAGGGAGAACTAGAAGAAAGAGCAGAAACAAGATATTAATCGACGAGGTAGGGAGACTCACATCTTTTCTATAAATTGCTCCTTGGAAGTAAAGCAGTGTTGGACGGCTATCAAATTCTGAGGAGTCATCGACATAGGATGCCACTAGGTGTTTGTAAGGTGCAATCACATCTTTCTGAACATTGGCTATGTTTGGAGGATATCTCCCAAAGTCTGCAAGTATGAACGTGGCAGGCCATAGTTGCTTTCTTGCCTCCAACATGCTATTGGGATGGTGTGCCAAAATCAAGTGGTCCCTTCCTCCAGACCTCTTCCACTCCTTTTGAGCTGTCAGATACTTAACTAACTTGTCTTGTAGTACATTGTTCATGTTTTTCTCTTTTGAGGGTTTCTTAGTTTTAGCGAATCGGTTGTAGCTCAGAGAAGAAAAGAACGGTACAAATATGATGTCCGCTTCGCTGGCGTTGTGAACTCTGATTGCAGCACCGCCATGGGAGGGTTTAGGTAGTTCGGAAGCCAGCAGATCCAATGTGAGCCAATATTCTATACTGTGTTGCAAATTCAAACCTCCAGGATATTCTGGAATTTCAGTTGTGATGTCAGGCCAAACGCTACTTCCTTTGGGTTTCCAATCCAAGAGACGAAAATGAAATTCTGGAGGTAAATCATACATGAAAACCTTCAAAACAGATTTATCTGTGGTGGTGCATGTTTGGCTTCCGAATGAGGTTTTTGTATGTTGGATCTGAGCGAGAGAATTTGAATCATCAACGGTGGAAAAATGCTTTGGATTGGGTAATCCCGCGAACTGAGCACGCCCCGTGGAACGCAGAACAAAGAACCAAGAAAGAACGAAGAGGATTGAGATCATAATAAAGAAACAAGATAATGACCTCCGAGACATAAACTTGATAGAAGACAAATGCCTATCCGCCATTGTACAACATAAAAAATTGAATGCATAGAATCGGGTGGAACGAGATAGAATCCCCGCACGTAAATCCCAGATTTGAAGGCCAAGAAAGAGCAGAATAGCTACGAGAACGAGGGGCTCCAGAACCAAAGAACAGAGCATAAAGCCGAACCAGAAGAATTCACCCAAAAAAAAAGACGACAAAATGCGATTTAAAAAAGAAAAGAAGAAAGGAGAAATCAGAATGCAGTAGGAGAAAGAAGAATGAGAAAAATGGAAGGAAAAGAGAACGAAAGAAACAAGTGAGAAAACAGAGTGGCGATCGAAAGTTGAGAAGAACCATGTGCAGCTTCTTGGAAAGAAAAATGGAAAGGAAGAAACGAGGGAAAGCGGTGTAACTGACCGTGGAAGCGGACTGCCCCGGGCAATGGCTTTAGCTCCACATTTTCGGGTTACATTATATCTGCTCTTTTCTCTCTTCTTTCGCTCTTTTTTTGCGTTTTTGTCAGTATGTCTGGGCTGTTCTATTTTGCTAATATAATATTAAGTGCCATTCCATCATTATCAGTATTGGAGAAAATATATTTTATTATTATATTCTCTTTTCAGTAATCAACTTGAGCCCACGACATCAAATTCAACTGCCCTCCAACGTTAGTTTAGTTGGCCCCCATTTTGGGAAGGGTGAGAGAAAAATATTTTAAAAAGAGCAAATGGAAATTATGTAGTATCATATTAAAAATGAGTGTGGTCGTAATGGCTAAATTTAGAAGCTTGTTATGAATCTTAAAATACGGAGACGGCAGAAAACCTCCAAGGATTAATAAATGTATACATCAAATATTAGGGTGGAGCTTTTTTTTTTGTGCATAAGTATTCTCTTATTAATAACAATCTTATTGAAGAGATTAAACTATTTCAAATCAAAGATATCAATATATATGTAATGTAATGTATAAATATATAACATGTAAAATTAAACTGATAAAATATAGCAAATATTTTTGAAGTATATGTAATAATTAAATATTTTACAAATCCAAGAAACAAGTTAAACAAAATCTTTCAACATTATAAATGATCACTCTCGATCTATAACTTATTGCCAAGATCACAAACAGAGCAAAAGCTTTTTTTAAAAAAAAAAAAATCTTTTGACAGAACAATTTTTTTTATAGAATACATTAGAAGATCAACTGATTTATCAACTGTTCATCCAAGCCTAATCATTTTAAATAAATTTATGAATGATGGTTCAACAAAAAAATTTTTTTGGGGGGGGGTGTTTGAGTCATCTGTGTTGACATCAGTCGGTGAGCCTGAGCGAATTTGGAAAGGGATCCAAGATCTCCCTATGGCTGTGATTGAGATCTGCGTCCTTATATTTTAGACCACTAAACTGAGATACTGATTGGGAATTGGAATGGCTCAGTTATCGTGGAACACAATGCTCAGCTAAATGGATTCCAAAACCCAAGAACAAGAGCGCGTCGGGATTGTCTATTATTCACGCAGATGCTTTACCTTGGATTTTCTTCTTCTTTTTCTTTTTTTTTGGTGCGGGGCCCTTATTGATTCCTTGGTACCTGGGATCTCCCACCCTTCTAAAATCTAGCAAATCGAATCTCATTCAATGTGCAACCAACATTCAAGTCAAATTCAGTGTCTCAAACCTCATCATGGGATAATCATTTATTTCACATTCTAATTCTAGCCCTCTCAGGGTCAGTACCACGCTTCGCAAATTCAAAACGCAGAAAAACATAAAAATGGTGAATGTTTTCGCCCCCGGCCATCAATAGAATGACAAAAGAAAAAAGAAATCAGAACTGGAACTGCATATCAGGGTCATATCCAAGGGCGTCAAGGTGAGCAGCCATAGCCTTGTTCATGGGTGGTGGGCCACACCTCAGTATCTGCAAATTTCATGAACAATCCTTTTAATCAGTAACCCTCCTTTTATGATAACATGAAGAGGCCATCTAAAGAGATAGCTTGGAGGATTGCCTACCTTAATATCATGTGCAGGAGGAGGACAGTGCGCTTGAATCATCTCTTTTGATACAAATCCAACACCACCATCCCATCCTTCCGGAGGCTGCACAGATCAAATCATTTCATCATTCAGGTTAGACTATCACGTCAATCAAAGATGAAAACTTCAATTCTCTTCAAAATGCTATGGCAAGTTAGAAACCTAACCTGATTTAGGACATAATATACTTTGAAACGACCAGGATAGTTAGCAGCGAGACGGTCCAGTTCTTCCTGCATATATATAAATATGCAGATCGCTATTAATGACAAGCGTCAAGATTGTCATTGGGTGACAAAAAGAGGAATGCTTGTTACCTTCAAAAGAATGTCTTCATATGTGACATTGGCATAGATAAGATGCACCTTGGTGTTGTCTGTTGGGTTTTCTAGGATGGCCCTAGCAACCTTGAGCAGCCAAGAGATAGAAATAATATATTAATACATATAACTCTCTCAAAGACATGACCTTCTCAATGATGAGTAAACAAGCATTGTGTGCGTTAAACAGAGAAGTACTTGGAACATTGGAGTGATTCCAGACCCTCCAGCAAGCATCCCAAACGCTCTAACCTCACCAGGTTGATACCTAAAACGTCCCTGGTAGCAGCATTACGTCTTAGCTAACCCAAATATCCATATGAGAGAGACTTTATTTGCATTATCAAGTTCAGTGTGTGCTATTAACATACATACCTTGGGCCCTTTGACAGAAAGATAATCACCAACACGCATCTCACGGAAATGGTGAGACATCCTTCCTTGTGGGTACATCTAATCATCAGAAGATAAACAGCCAAATGTTAAGGGACAGAGTAAGAATAATAAAAAGATCAGCTCACTCAATTTAAATCATTAGAGACAGGTTCTGGATAAGCATACCTTTATAACTAGTTCAAAATGTCCAACATCGGAATCCAAAGTAGTAGGTGTATATGCTTTGATAACCTCTTCACCTTGGCTATCCTTACCCCTGTTTGAAAAACTGCTTCGTTATGTTTAAGGACAAAACAGTGAAAGAGATGCTAAATGGAACTTTCCTTGGTTTCTCCTTTAGTATTTTCATATTTATCCGACACATTTCTAATCTGTTCTTTGTCAGCATCAGTGCGTAGCAAATAACTCTAGAACAAATACAAACTAAACTGATTTGAACCACAAAGCATAAGGAAATCGAGAAACAGAACCTGCAACTTATGTGTTGCCCAATTGGAAGACCCAAAACTGAAGTAGGCGTTGGTAGTGCGAAGGTGAACTTTGCCACATTATGGCTCAGCTGTAGGCGCTTAACAAGCTTAAACTCCTTGAACTTCTCTGGGTCCAAGCAACCTATAACCATGTGGGCAGCAAGATGTGGGTAAAACAAGTCCACGTAGATACCATTCCAAGAAAGATTGTCGTAAGAAATTCAGTCAAGCTCGAGACTTAGTTCCTTAAGTTTTTATAATATCTCCAGTTAACATCAAGCTTCACTTTAATTATAATTCCTAGATGGAATTGCGATCAAAGTCTTCTTTTTGTTACAACCTTTCAAGGGTGAAGCAAAGATTGATGTGAATAGTAGATCATTCTCTCTCTAGAGAAAAGTGAAAACGGTAGCTTTGCTTTCGGCATTTCCAAAGCAATAGGACGAAATGAGCCGCCAAAAACCATCGTCAACTCCAGAACAACAGGATAGCTCATTTACAATTGTTCAGACCAATAAACAGGGAATAAATGAAATAAACGTAAGTAACCATCCGGAGAAAAGTTCTCCTCTAACAAACAATGGTTCAGCATCTCATAAGTACCAATACTAATAATAATCTGAAATGGGTTGAAGGACCATCTAAAACAAGTGGATCAGATTTCAAAGAAAAGGATCTAAAATCCAGATTTGAGCGTCCAGGCGTCATTGACACTATCATTCCTCATGACGAAAGAAGCAAAGAAATTTAAACAGGCCAAAACACGAAGTGAAAGAGTCAGACCTCTGTTCTTCCCGGAAGAATAGAGATAGAAAGCGGCGACGCCAATGGCTGCGACAGAGACAGCCACACCCACAAGTAATTGATTCTCCTGTGTCTGTAAGAACTCCATGCTCCGGTTCCTTCAAATGTTGGATTGGGATTCTATGAGGTTCAATGGGGTGGGTGGGCCTGAGCGGAAGTGCCAAACTTGAACATGACCAGCAGTTGGAAATTAATATGGCGGAGAGGAAAGCAGAGTATAAATATAAAAAGGGTAAAATAGAAGGGGGGGGGGGGGGAATGATGAATGGCAGAAGAAGAGAGGTGGTAGGTGCAAAGATAGGAGGATGTAGACTTGGAGGCAGAGGTTAAGTGACGCAGCAGGATCTGGTGCAACTACCAACCCCGTGGCCTCTATCAATTCATTCATTAATCCACAAACTGTATATTGGCATATTCATGATTCCATTTGACCTTTTTAAATTACTCAAATCTTTTCTTTATTTTTTTCAGCAGAGTATATATCAATGCTTTGGGGGTATCACCAACCATTCAAATTCAAATATATATAATATCTACAATTTATAATTAATTGTATTAGTAAGTTGCAATTGCATAGTCTATGTATTTATATCTGCATAGTTGCACTATTATTACTAAGTCATAACTAATTTTATTTATTTAAAAAATTATTTTAGAGTATAAACACGCAGTCTAATTTCTTTTAACATTTGAAATGGATTTTTAGTCTTAAAATGCATTTGGGTGTTTATATATGTCAAAACGTTTATAAGTAGAGGAAAAAGCTTATCAACACCAATAAGTAGTGCTGCTCATAAAAGAGATAGAGTTTTGACATCATGTTTTATATTGGGTCGGGGATCAGCATGTGACGGCTGTAAATGACGAGAGTTATTGGAATTTTTTTGGGCCCAAAATTAGGAGTCATATTTTAAGTAAAGCTTTTTTCCACATATAATATGGAAGAGATATTCTCATTTTATCACATCAAAAATGACATGATGTACAATCTCATTTGATTAAGATTAATTAATATTTTTATTAATTTTAAATAACTTTAGTGACACAAAAGATTGGTGTTTTAGTTACTCTGAAATTGTTGTTTTCTTATGTACTCCTATTATATTATTTTATAATCAAATCAACATTTAATTAACCTGCAATATTGGCGTGGCACCTGGTTTCAGAAATCCAAGTTTCCAACCAATTCCCGAGGCGCACATGGTTTCCTCTCTTTCTCCCTGTTTACGGCTTTCGTCGATGTTTCCTATGTTTCTTACTACGGGAGGAACTTTCTTATTTTTAATTTTTAATTCTCAAATAAGGAAAGAAAAGAATACAATCATCACTCCAATCAAAAGCTGTTTGATCAAATATAATCACGCCAATGCAACTGTATAAAAAATTTTACCTACGTACACACCGATAAATTTCTACGTACGTACTTAATATGCTAGATGTGGTGAAAGGAGGGTGCAGATTCTTATTATCGCGATGGGGGATCCTAACTAGAATGGCGGGGGAAAACAGCGAAGTAAGTCTGGAAAGAAGCGAGAAGAAGAGCCACAGAAGCAGCAATCAAGGCAATGATGGACCAAGGGTTGCTGAAATATTTAGCCTTAGCCAGAGCGAACCAGGTCTTTTGTCTCTGCCGGTAATGCTGTTCGATTTCTTCTCTGAGAGACGCATATATTGCGGCGTTGGGCACCACGTCGGTGCTTATGTTGTTAAACAGGTCGGCCACTTTCTCGTCACTGCCGAGGGCGTTGTGCAGAACATTGGCCTTCCTCAGCTCCTTCACATCGTCCGGGTGGTCGATCAGTGAGTCCAGAAATTCTACGTACGAGCTTATCTCGTAGTTGTTCTCGAAATCTGGGCACACCTCGTACGCCATCAAGTTCAGGTATATTGAAGCAGTTGTGTCGTCCACCACAATCTCTGGAAGTCTCAGTTCTCCACTTATCCAACCAGAGGAGAAAGTGATATGGGTGGGGCAATCTGACTCGCTCCTTTTCACTTGAATCCCAGCTGCTCTCAGCTCTTTCAAATTCCTGTACGTTATCGTGCCACTTTTCGCGATCAGTTTCTTTTGATCATGACGAAAGCCAGTCACCACAGTCGTCCGCAGCAGATCAAGAAGATGAGCAGGGACGGTGTCAATTACTACAGATTGTTGACAAGAATCACCTTCGGCTTGATTCTGACCAGGTTTTACTTGTGAAAAATGATGACAACGAAGGAAGTTGCCCATCTGTTTGAGGAGCTCAGACTGCTTAGTGCCGGGGACCTCATCACTTAAAAGCTGGAGCACTCGGAAGGGAAGTTGGTTCTCTAACAAAAGCGCATCTTGGCGAACAAGAGCGAGCTGGTCAACCTTGGCATTGAGGGGTTCCGGGTTCAAGATGTCTGGATGCTTTAAGATTTCAAGCAGAGCGCAACCATCCAAAAACAACACCTGCACCAGTTCTTCGTTGCTAAGGTGATCGATCGCATCTTTATTGTACAGATTCTTGAGTTCCTCGATGTTTTCTGCGATCTTTCGATGCAGAAGTTGGGCCCTTTGTGGGTCTCCTCCGATATACATGGATGCCCACATAAGTTTGTACTTCTCTCCTAACTCCAGATGGGTTGCGCCGTGGTGAATGGGACCCAGTGACATCATCCTAGGAGAGTAGTACTCGGCAAAATCTTTTCTATTCCTCAGATGATGTGCCACCCGTTGTATCTTGGGGTATTCACGTCGTGACATGTTGGGTGGGTTTTGTAGCTGCGCAAGCAGATCTTGATTCATGGCATACTGCGATCGATTTGAGAATGTGGATGCCCTCATGGGAAGGTCTTCGTGTGATATATGTCTATGAACACTACATATATAGGCATCAACTCTAAATAATTTAATCAGTTCATGATGCAAACTACCGTTAATGCTTGCATTTAAATAATATGTGGATGGAAAAGGACGAAGTAGCTTTGCAGATATCTCAAGTTTGGCACAAATTCCCGATTGAGTGTTGATGCTGCCGTCATCTTTTCGATCCGCCGTCATCTTTTTGTGTTTACTGGACCCATGATAAACATTCTCTAATATTTTTTTTCATATAATTGTTCAGAAGTATCCAATAACGTTACGTTGGTCATGGATTATTCTGTCCACTGAATTTGTGCTTAATTAATTAGTTACACATAAAGCAGGCAGAATGTTTGTTGGTCTTGGTCAGCTCGCATCTTACTTTTTCATGGCAGAAGCAATAGATATATGCGGAAGTATTTTAAAAAAAGAAAAAAAGAAAAAAGGTAAGAGTACAATGCGATGCATATAATGAACATTACATTTTATACTATATATGGGCATCAAGCTAAGTCTCTGAATTTAATCTGTTTAAGGAGAACACTACTGTTTACGCGTAGATATTATTAAAATAATCTCAGGATAAAAAGAACGAAGTAGCCAGTACAGCTTTGCAGATACCTCAAGTTTGGCGCACGTAGTTGCTGTAATATTGTATTGATGGACCCCTATATGTCAAACATTCTTTAATGTTAATTTAAAAACTACATATAATAATGCTGAAAGGACCAATGCTTAATTGCTTTCCCTGCTAACTAAGACAAGCGAAGTAAGTGAAAGGACGAATGATGTATCACAGTATCAGTTTCTGCGGTATATTATAATTTATTGAGGCAAAACGAGGTTCTTTTATGATAAACCAAAACGAGGTTCTTTACCCTTTTTTTCCGCTGTTGTCTCGTTGTTGCAGAACGAATGAACACTGATTATTAGGGCATCCAGCAGCAGCCACGATTGCATAACTGTATATATAGCTCTCGAGCCCCCCTTTGGCATGGCGGAATAATTTTTGATCAAATAGATCTATCCAGTATCCAGAAACACATGTTCCAGCAGTTTTCATTATAGTAAAAAAAATCTTTAAAATTATTAAATCCATTTAAAAATTAAATAAGTTTCTTATTTCACTACAAAAAAAACAGCTGATTAGCGACGTAATTTCTGAAGGAAACAAATTCCGTCGCTAATTTCTGACGGAATTGCGACGGAAATTCCGTCGCTAATTTTTTCGATAGATTAGCGACGGAATTTTTCCGTCACTAATATTAGCAACGGATTTGCGACAGAATTTATGTCCGTCACTAAATTTTGTCGCTAATCCGTCGGAAAATCCGTCAGTAAATATTTAGCGACGGAATTTTTTCCGTCGGAAATTTCCGTCGCTAAATTGTTTGTCATAGAAGTTTTTGTCACTAATTCCGTCACTAATTCTATTCTGTCGCAATTCCGTCGCAAATCCGTCACTAATTTTAAATTTCGTTATTTTAAATTATAATCTTACAAAATTTATATTATAACAATTAAGAATATAATGATTTAAAAACATTTTTAATTATAAAATAAATTGATATACTTATGGAGTTGGTGGTAATGAAGATATCGTCATCATTCATGTCATCATTATGTATATACTTATGGAATTTCCCGTCGCTAATTCCGTCACTAAATTCCGTCGCTAAAAGCATGTTTTTTTGTAGTGTTTCGCTAATATTAAATACATCCTTAAAAAAGTTTGATACTTCTGTGATTATAAATAAACTAAATTAAAATACTAAAAGATATATTATTTCCTACTTTCTTGTTAATTATTTTTATTTCTAAATAAAATTTCTAAAAAAATATCTTATTTTATCTTTTCTTCCATTTTTTTTAATAAAATGAGCAAAATAGATATCAAAAGTATTTTTAAAACATCTAATAAATTTAAACCGATCAATCCTATATAAGTGCAGCCGCTTACGTTCTTATTTAGGTTAAAGTATATATTTAGTTCTTCAACTTTATATAGGGTTTTAATTTGATCCCTTAACTTTAAAAAATATAATTTTAGACTTTTGATCCTAAACATGTTAACAAAAAACCATGATATTGAATCTTTAATGTTAATAAAATATTTTTAAACGCTAACATATTGAGTCTAATTTTTTAAAAAATCATGATTATATTAAAAAATCATCATTTAAGCCTAACGATTTCAAGATTAAGAGACCAAAAGTATACATTTAAAGTTAAGGGATCCAATCAAAATTTTAAATAAAATTAAAGGATTAAATGTATACTTTAGCATTCTTATTTATTACAAACTGATCAGAATGCATCTTAAGTAATCTTCAATATAAAATATATAAGTTGTATAAATAGCTGCATTATTTATCACAGAAGTGGTTAGAAACATGCATCTTAAATAGTCTATTTACACGCACTCCACTCCTAGTTAACTCTCGTCTCAACTTCCATCTTCGTCCTCCTTCCAATCCCCCATCTTTCCAATCCCCCCCCCCCATGCTGCTTCTGATGTCGTTCCTTCGATCCACTCATCAACTAGTTACATGGCACGTCATGCGGGGCCAAAAAAAAAAAAAAAGGAAGCTTAAAACAGTATGAGAGCCAAACACTGATAATTAATTAATGCCTCACGTTAGCTTTTACCTTCCCCAGTGGCTCTCTCATCACATCAACCTGCTATCATAATCAATCTTCTGCCTGCTGAATCATGAGCATGTGGTTAATTAGTCCCCAGAACTTTGGAAAGTCAGAGCGAGCTGATCGACAGCTTTCAAAAGTTGGTCATGCACTCTAGTTCGGTGAGTTTGTGGTTGCTACACCTGAAGGCATGTTCCTTATATTGGTCTTTTATTTTTATTCGGCGAGGGACAAGTAATCTACTCTGTTGAAAGTAGGGATCCTAATCTCCTTCGGAATATAGTCGGCAAAGAATAAATTCCATTCAGTAGGTTAAAAATATTATACTTCCTTATATTACGTAGTATATCGTTCATTATAAACTTCAAATAATTAATTCATAAATAATGAATAATTAGTTAAAAACATTAAATAGGTTAAAAATATAATTTTTTTTTAAATATATCCTCATAATAAATGAGAAAAAAGATAAAAGAGAATGTGTTAGAAAATGTGATAAGAAATAAATAATTAAGAACAATATTAAAAAAAGACTTTAAATATAAGACAAACCTAAATTAAAATTTATAAAATAGATTATGTCTTTTTTTAAATTTTAATCTTATAAATAAGATACTCCTCCAATCCTAAATATAAGACTCATTTTAAATTACACTGTAAAATGAGTTTTATATTTAAGAATAAATAGGTAGAAACGAATCATCATTCAACGTCCATTGGAGGGGCACTGGTCTGAATACCCACTTTCTGACCAGTTGCCGAGGCGCACATGGTTTCCTTCTTTATTTCCCTCTTTTCGGCTTTCATCGATGTTTCCTATTTGCCTTACTTCTGGGGGAATTTTCTTAATTTTAATTTTTAAGGTAACTCAATTATTTATTCTCAAATAAGCAAAGAAATATAAAATAAAATAAAATTAAGACCCATCAAAGTAAAAAATTGGCCAATTTCTTTTCTCAGTTGACAAAATCCAAATCAACATTATATTGGTCATCAAATCCCAGCAAGTTATATACTTGTAGAAATTAATCTCCTCCGTATATAACTTGCAGGGAGTTAATGACCAAGATAATGTTGATGACCAATATATTAAAAGAAAAAATTCCACTCAACCAAACCATATTAAAAGCTATTTTATGAAGCGGTAGAAAAAAAGTCAATTTAAAGCATAAACCTATTTACTCCTCACGCCCGTCCAAACATCTCTAACCTTCAGATCTAATTTCTTCCTAACTTACGTTTCACATTGTGCAATGCGTGTTCACCCCTCCAAATGCTATACCAAATACGCGCTAACTCGGTAGTCTGCCGCAACAGAGTAAATATGCAAACGAGACAATGCGAGTGCCCCCAATGAAAAGAATACAATCACTCCGATTACATGAAAAGAATACAATCACTCCAATTAAAAGCTGTTTGATCAAATATAAAAACGCCAATGCAAGTATAAAAAGGTTGAGCACACACAATAAATTTTATGTACCTACTTAATATACTAGCTAGAAGTGGTGAACGGGGGGAGTAGGTCCTTTTTATTGCCATGGGGGGGGGGGTCTAACTAGAACGGCGGGGGAAAACAGTGAAATAGGTTTGGAAAGAAACGAGAAGAAGACCCACACAAGCAGCAATCAAGGCAATGAAGGACCAAGGGTTGCTGAAATATTTAGTCTTCGCTAGAGCGAACCAGGTCTTGTGTTTCTGCCGGTAATGCTTTTCTATGTCACGTCTAAGAGACTCATATATTGCGGCGTTAGGCACCACGTCAGTGCTTATGTTGTTAAACAGTTCGGCCACTTCCTCGTCACTGCCGAGGGCGTTGTGCAGAACCTGGGCCTTCCTCAGCACCTTCACATCGTCCGGGTGGTCGATCAGTGAGTCCAGAAATTCTACGTACGAGCTTATCTCGTAGTTGTTCTCGAAATCTGGGCACGCCTCGTACGCCATCAAGTTCAGGAATGTTGAAGCAGTTGTGCCGTCCACCACTAACCCTGGCACTCTGAGTTCTCCGCACAAACAGCGGGGGGAGAAAGTGATGTGGAAGGGGCACTCTGACTCGCTCCTTTTCACTTCAATCCCTGCTGCAGTCAGCTCTTTCAAATTCCTGTATGTTGTCGTGCCACTTTGCACTGTTGTCGTGCCACTTTGCACCACCCGTTTCTCTTGAGCAGGAGGGAGTCCAGCCACCACATTCCGTAGTAGATCAAGAAGATGAGCCGGAGCAGGGACGGTGACGTCAATTACGCATTGATGATGAGAATCGCCCTCGGCTCGATTCTGACCACGTTTTCCCCGTGACAAATGATGATAGCGAAGGAATTCGTGCATGTCTTTGAGGAGTTCAGGGTCGGGGACGTCACTTAAAAGCTGGAGCACTCGGAAGGGAAGTTGGTTCTCTAACAACAGCGCATCTCGGTGAACAAGAACAAGCTGGTCAACCTTGGCATTGAGTCGTTCCGGGTCTGCAGGATGCTTTAAGATTTGAAGGAGAGCACAACCATCCAAAAACAACATCCGCACCAGTTGTTGGTCGTTAAAGGGACCGATCGCATCTTCGGTGTATAGATTCTGCAGTTCCTCGATGTTCTCTGCGATCTTTCCATGAAGATATCGGGCCCTTTCTCGATCTTCTTGGACATACATGGACGCCCACATGAGCTTGTACCTCTCTCCTAACTCCAGATGGGATTCCCCGTGGTGAATGGGACCCAGTGACAGCATCCTAGGACAGCAGTGCTTGGTGAAATCTTTTCGATTTCTCAGAGGATATGCCACCTTTTGTACCTTGGGACGCGCACTTCGCGATACTCGGCATGGGCGTGCTAGCTGCTCAAACAGATCTTCATCCATGGCACTGAGATCTGAGAATGTGGGTCTCTCGGCAACTCTCATTTCCAAAGCGAAGGTCCTTACTTTTTGTATGACACACACACACACACATATGAAAACTAGCTACATGGGCATCAAGTCTCAGAATTTAATCAGTTTATGGCGGAAACAACTGTCTACGCTTACATTAAAATAATCTCTGGATAAAAAGGAGGAATTAGCTTTGCGGATATTTCAAGTTTGGCATATATATAGTTGCTATATTGTATTAAGGGACCCATGTCAAACATTCTTCAATGTTTGTTTACAAACTGATGCTGAAGCTAGCATCTGTGCGCTCTGATTTACAGATCGATCAGCTTGGACAAAATATAGAATACAGATTTAACGAAGGATGTGAACGAGATTATGTATCGGCATATATAGAAATGCATGCTTAATGATCCTTTGATTTACCAGCTGATAAGGATAAGAAAATATGATGGAGGAATGATTCATCAGTTTCCGCGGCATATTATAATTTAATTACTGAAGCAAAACGAGTTTTTTCTTTTGTTGCTTTTATTATTATTATTATTACTACTACAAAATTTTGTAAAATAAGTAGGGGCGCTCATAGGAAGGGACTGAAATTGGGCCAATTAAGTTTGAGTTTTTTTTTTTTTTAAATGTTGCAGTAACGTTTTCTTTTTTGATTTGGTCTTCAGTTATCCATTCTCCAGGTAAATCTATTTAATTAGAAAGTACAATTTAGCTGGAAAATTTCATTCAAAAAGACATTTATTCTTTCTCTTTTTACCTGAAACAAGACATGTATTCAAGCCAGCACACACGAAATAAGGGGGAATTAGAAACGATATTAGGAAAGTGAAGAAAGTTCCGTCTTCATTCCAGCATATATATTAACTCGCATTTTCCTTATTATTGACAGCTTCCAAACTCGGCGCCCAAAATTAAATAATCAATTATTCATCACTGAGTCCTATTTATTGGGAGAATGATCAACATAATGCTCAAATTAATTCACGACTTGATGTCAAGCCACTTGAAGTGGCCCAATCTAATTGCAGAAGTATTTCCATTAATTAATAGCTTACTTGAAAGAAGTAAATTAAAAACTGTAATCCCTGTTGGTGACCAGTATTTCTCCTACATTACTTCTTCATTTTATACTTCAAGACAATCACTTCGGAATCTAACCATGCGTTCAGATTATATGAGTAAAGTTATTGAAACATTTTTACCATTTGCACAAGTAGGAGAGGAAGAGATGTACCGAATGGTAAAAACGGCGTTGACAGGACAAAATAAGCGCTGCCAGATACAAGCACGAAAATATGAATGGTACTCCCTCATCCTATATACTTCATTAAGAAATAATCAATTCCAGTATTTTTTTTTCAGAATACAAATCTTAAAACTCATTAATGATATTTAAAAACTAGATAAGCTTTCTAGTTCAATCATATTAATTAAATACGTTCAGCAAAAAAAAAATTAATTAAATACGTTTTTAAATAAATGTCTTGCTTTCCTATTGGGGTAAAAGGAAAAAATTATAATAAATAATTAATATAGTACCCAATAAAAAGGGCTATAAGACCGCTGCTTTAAGTTCCTTATAATTGAATGGGATTGGAAGGAGCATAATAAAATGGATCCTAAGAAAAGTGGGTTTAAATAAGTTGATGTGTTAAAAATTAATAAAATGAAAGGAGTTAATATTTTTTATATGGTAGGTGTCGTTTCGTTCCTAAATTAAAAATAATAAACGAATATAACTACTCTCATTAAGCATTTCGGTTCCTCAGATGATGTGCCACCCTTTATATCTAGGGGTATTCACTTCGTGATATTTGGCATGGCCTCTGTAATTGCGCAAGCCGATCTTCATCCATCGTATTTGGGAATGTGGATACCCCAAGGGAAGGTCTTTGTATCACACACACACACACACTCTTCTCTGTACGGGCATCAAGTCCCAGAATTTAATTATCTGTTTATAGTGGAAGCTACTGTAATTAGGCGCTTGCATTTAAATAATCTGTGGATAAAAAGGATGAAATAGCTTTGCAGATATTTCAAGTTTAGTATAATTCCCGATTGAGTAGTGTTGAAGGAACTAATTAGTTGAATCAGACATGCTCTACGCCGTCATCTTTTGTGTTTAATGGACCCGCGTTAAACATTCTTTAATGTTTTCACATATGATTGTTTAAAAGTTTCAAATAATGCTACATGGGTCATGGATTATATCCAGTGAATGTGTGCTTATACTAGTCACGCATAAAGAAGGCAGCGTGTCTGTTGGTCTTGCTCGCATCTTACTTTTTGATGGCGGAAGCAATATATATATATATATATATATATATATATATATATGCGCACAAGTAGTTATAATGACACTACATTATGGGCAGCAAGCTATATAAGTCTCGGAATTTAATCAGTTTATGGAGAAAACTACTGTTTACTCCTACATTAAAATAATCTGTGGATAAAAAGGTTGAAGTAGCCATCTTTGTGGATATTTCAAGTTTGGCATATATTAATGGACCCATGTCAAACATTAATGTTTAATGTTAATTTAAAAACCATATATAATGTTGAAGCTAGCATCTGCCCTCTGTGATGTACAGATCAGCTTAGACAGAATATAGATTTAACGTAAAGGACGAACCCGCCTGATCTGATGTGAATGGAATTAACCATATATCGGCATACATAAATGCTTAATTCCTTTCCCTGCTAACTCAGATAAGTAAGTGAAATTAAAGGACCAAGATGCATCAGTTTCCACAGTATATTATACTACCTTCTTTGGTCTTTACCAGTTGGCTAATTTAAAAAAATCAAGAAAGTTACCAAATTATTTTAAACTATTTATATTTATCGTTTTTCTCAAAACTAATTTTCCTATAAATTGATACATAATCTAATAACTCATATAATTATTTTGAAAAAAATCATACAGTATATGTCATAACTAAGTAATTTACTAATTTTCTTAATCTCTCCAAGTTAATCAATTATCTTATATTAAGAATCGGAGGTAGTAATTTACTAAGGCAAAATGAAGTTCTTTTGTTGATTATGATGATGATGATGATGATGATGATAATGCAAAACGAATGAAACACTGATAGGCCTACTGCTAGTGCTCAGCATTCATCAGCGTCCAGCGGCAGCCACGATTGATATGATATGACTCCAACTCTGAGAGCCACCGCTTGGTATGGTGAATGTGAAAGAACTTCTGATAAAATGTAACTTGTTATGAAATGAGAAAGTTACAGAGTAGAAAAGAGAATAGCAAGATGAGAATTGGAAAAGAACACACTCGACCAATTTACTTAAAAAAAAAAAAAATACACCTAACCTAACCAAGAAAACATGGATGACACTCCCTCCTCATCCATTTAGAAGCAACTTCCGTTATTTTTTATCAGAAGCAAACAAAATTCAAACTAATTAACCCTGTTTAAAAATTAGACAAGTTTTAAAAATGTTTCTTACTCTTCCTAAGTCGATCTTAAATAGAGATAAAGGGACAAATTGTAATACATAATTAATATCGTACCTCGTGAAAAAGACCACAAAACACCCTATTTTAAGTGCATTACAATTAAATAGGATCAGAGGGAATAAATTAGAACGGGCTTTGAAAATAAGCTTAGCGGTAAACAAATGTGGAAAAAAATAATTATCTTTTGATTCTTTAATCTCATTGTGATTTTTATGATTCTCCCAAAAAAAAAAAAACAACACTATCTCATTTAAGCTTTTTTAATGTAATTGTGCCTTTTTTTTTTCTGCTTAATTTGAGTCAACGTTTCCATCCTTCTGGAGATTTTTCAATTTTAAATTACCTAAAAAGTTTCCTTATCTCTGCGTCTCCTTTCTCGATTGAACACTACTGAGAGGATCCAAATCGACATTGGTCATGAATATGAATATAATCACTCTGACGTGCTCATTAAAAAGGATACAATCACTCCAGTAATCAAAAGCTGTGTTTAATTGATTAAATACAATCACACACCAATAATAAAATTTTCACGCTCTATATAATTAAAGTGCAAAAAGATGGAGTATACATCCTTATTGCCATGTGAGATGTCTAAGAATTCTGAGAGGGGAAAGCGGCAAACCAAGTTTGGATAAAAGTGAGAAGAAGGGCCACAGAAGCAGCAAAGAAGGCAATAATGGACCAAGGGTTGCTGAAGTAGGTATTAAAGGCCAGAGCGAACCACGTCTTGTATTTCTGCCGGTAATGCTTTTCGATTTCTTTTCTCAGAGACGCATATATTTCGGCGTTAGGGACCACGTCAGTGCTTATGGTGTTAAACAGTTCGGCCACTTCCTCGTCACTGCCGAGGGCGTTGTGCAGAGCTCCGGCCTTCCTCAGCTCCTTCACGTCGTCCGGGTGGTCGATCAGTGAGTCCAGGAATTCTACGTACGAGCTTATCTCGTAGTTGTTCTCGAAATCTGGGCACGCCTCGTACGCCATCAAGTTCAGGAATGTCGGAGCGCTTGTGTCGTCCACTATTATGTCTGGAAGTTTCAGTTCTCCGCTGAAACAGTGAGAAGAGAAAGTGATATCGATGCGGCACTTTGACTTGCTTCTTTTCACTTCAATCCCTGCCCCTTTCAGCTCTTTCAAATTCCTGTGTGTTATCTGGCCGTTTTGGATCGTTGTCCGTTTAGGGGGGCAACTAAATTCACGCAACACTTTGATCCGCAGTTCATCAAGAAGATGAGCTGGATTGGGCGAAGTAGGATCGACATCAATTTCACGCTTAGCTTGATCATCACCTCCTTCGGCACCATTCTTGTGGGGCTTTTGTTCTGGTGAAAAATGATGACAAAGAAGGAAGCAGTCCATGTCTTCGATTAGCTGCTTGTCAGGTTGATCACTTAGTAAGAGCTGGAGGACTCGGAAGGGAAGTTGGTTCTCCAGCAAAAGCGCATCTTGGCGAACAAGAGCCAGCTGGTCAATCTTGACTTGGAGCGGTTCTGATCTCAATATGTCTGGATGCTTTAGGATCTGAAGGAGAGCGCATCCGTCCACAAACAACATCCACGCCAGTTCATCGTCGTTAAAGTGTCGAAGTGCATCATCAGTGTATAGATCCTTCAGATCCTTAATATTTACGACAATCTGTCGATGCAAACGTTGGGCCTTATTTCGGTTGGCTTCGACGTGCATTGATGCCCACATGAGTTTGTACTGCTCTCCTAACTGCAGATGGGGCTTGCCATGGTGAATGGGACCAAGGGACACCATCTTAGGAGAGTAGTACTTTGCAAAAGCCTCTCGACTTCTCAGATGATGTGCCACTTTTTGTATCTTGGGCCATGTACTTCGCGATATTTGGCATGGGTGCTCCAGAAGGGCATACCGATCTTGCGCCATGGTGAGAGACTGAGACAATTGAGATAGTGTGACTGTCTCACTGTATATAGGGAAGGCAATTGTATGAGATGTGAACACTAGAGTTCCTTGAGTCTTTGTATTTATAGTGGGAAGATCTCTTTACGCTTATGTTTAAATAACATCTGGATCAAATAATATATATTGGATGAAATGGCTGGCTTTGCAGATTATTCATGTTTGGCATATAGCCTATGATTGAAGGATGAAGATATCAGATATAATATGCAGTAAGATCTATTGTGGTGGACCCATATGCAAAAGATTATTTAATGTTCTCGTATATTATAGTTTAAAAAACTACAAAATTAAAGCTATCCAGTGTATGCTCCGAATTATAGAGCTTTGGGTGCCATGCAGAATATATAAAACGAAGGAACCACTGATAATTGGATCTAGATAAATGGGATGCTTGACTTGACCTGAGTCTTCATTCCCTATTTACCTGCCAATCAAGTTAAGTATATGATGCAAAGAATAAAGACGCATCACTTTTATTTGAGCTATGTCACCGTATGCTCTGAAATCTAAATGCAGAGCCGAGGCCAATGTTTGCTTGATTTGTGCGGAAGGACTTGATTCATTATTTTATTAAAGTTAAGGAATATCGATCCATGTCTTTATGCTTTATCCTCCTCTTTTTTTTTTTTTGGTGAATATGCTTTATCCTCCTTTAGTAAAGCACGAAATAAGGATGGGATTTGCTTCCCTCCGCTGCCCTCCGTTACCCAGAAAACGACCTCGCATCCGGTGTAATATAATGCTCCATTCCCTTCTCTCATTCTTCTTTTCTCTTGCCATCCGCTACTCTCTTTCATTTGCATAAGCAGTGCACAGTCAAACATACAAGTAGGCAAATAACCATAAATTAAGCATCACTTTTTCCGAGCAATCTGTAATAAAAAAAATGTAAGTAGTTAACAATAGTTATATACTTCTGGCCAAAAAAAAAAAAATAGTTATATACTATATATTACTCTCCTTCTCATTTTTAACATAAGAATCAAATAACTAATTTATAGATATTAAAAAAATTAATTAAGTTTATTATTTATTAAAAATGTATATTGATTTTTTAAAAATATTATTTTTAAACATCATTTACATTGAACCACCCCTTGATAGAAACTCTTTTACTATAATAAGAATAGTTTGAGAAATAAAGTTATAATTGAAAGATAAATTGGACTAATTCTTATATTAAGACTAAAAGAAACCTTCTAATTAGTTTATATATTTACAATCAAACATAGAATTATCATCAAAGAGTATTTCAACGCACATGATGTTTAAATATGATATCTTAACCACACATTTTTTATAAATAATTAAGTTAATTAATTTTTTAGATAGTGTCTATATTAATCCAAAATATATGTGTTACTTCACTTTATCTTTCAAATTTATAACTTCTTTTTCTCAAACTATTTTTATTGAATGCATATAGTAAAAAAGTTTCTATCAAAGGACAGTTCAATGTAAATGGTGTTTAAAAATAATATTTGGAAAAAATCAACACATATTTTTAATAAATACTCACTTAACTTTTTTAATATATATAAACTAAGTATCCGGTTCCTATATTAAAAACAAGAAGAGTAATATATAGTACCTAGCTATTGTTAAATATTTATATTTTCATCATTAAACTTTTAATTAAAAGATGGTAAATACAAATCTTATTGAAACCGTACAAGAATTTATTCATAATCATATTATGATATAATTATTTTATATTACGGATTGTTTGGGAGGAGCGATGCTTAATTTGTCGTTATTTGCCAACTTGTATGTTTCCCTGTGGGCCGCTTATGCAAATATGAAAGGGGGGGGGGAGGAGCAGAGAGAGAGCAGCGGATGGAACGCCTTGGAGGTGGCATTGCTTCATCAAGATTTTGCCCATTGCGAAAAATTCCACACTGCTACCTCTCGTAGGAGTCTAGGCCATGTCTCAGTTCCAGTGTGGCAGATCATCCTCTCGGATTAGGATGTGACGTCATTTTCAAAGTAAAGAAGGGCAACGGACGGAGCAGGCAGTTGAGAGGAGCCAAGCCCGTAATTAAGTCAGTAAACAAGTTGCAAAAACTCACTCTAGGTAAATGATAAAGTGTTCTACGTTGTTTAATAGTTAACGCTGCCAGCAAATGAAGTCTCTGTATAAATTATAATAATGCAAAGTAAGTTGCAAGGAATAAAGTTGACATAGAGAAAAGGATCGTCCAATTTCCTGATTTCAAGTTTGGAAATGAAACTAGGCATACATATAAAACCCACGAAGCATCAATTCTAGCATTCACGAGGTACGATCCAGTGATTTGTTAGATTCAAGATAGATATTACTCCTTTGATTTTTATACTATAAAATGAATCTTATAAGTAGGACTGAAAGGAATATACAAATATCAATCAATACAAATATTATATAAAGATGCATGTTCCGGTTAAAATTTTTTTTTTTTAAAAAAAAAGCACTCCTCATTGCCTTCACGATTGACTCTTCATTGACAACCTTTAAGATTGGCTTTGCTCGAGCATCCACCATCAGATCTGTTGCTGCCTCTGTTATTTTATGATTGTTGAAAACTGGGGTTTGACAATTGGGTTTAACTAACTAAAGTATTATTGACCTTAACCTATTGTACTTGCATGTTAACACTGCATGTTTCTTGCATTTTCTGACTTTTGTGCATGCAGGTGTCACTATGCTGACTGATGAACATTCATACTTTAAATTTGAAACCAGGAAACAAAAGCAGGAAAAGGACACTGGCAATTGAGAAGAAAAGGAACCACAAAGTCAGAGCAAGTCCATTACGAGGATGCCACAAGAAGAGAACTGCTCCGACCACTTGGAAGCTGAGCTCAGCATGCATCAGTGCTGAGCTGCAGTGCATGGCTGTTCGTCCTTTACTTAAGATACAACCTGGGATCTACATACTGTGGCGTAGTCTGTCACCAGCAAGAGCAATAGACAGGTGATGAATTTGGGGTTTGGTATGATTTGCTTTGCTACACTCAGTGAATTAAACTTTGTAAACCTAGTTATAAGTTAACGTGCACAACAGTAGCACTATGCTAATCTTATCTCTCGACTCCGTGGAAAACCGGCAGGATTTCGTTATGTAATTCATATTTCTTATTCTTACTCGCAGTCACGTGAACTCTTCCTACTGCGCTAGCTGTGAAGCTTAAAACAAAAAATTATGAATTGAATACGGTTTAGCATCAACTTTTCTTTGAACTTTGAAGAAACGACTTTCCAATCATGACCTGTAGAGCAATCTAACAAAGTTCTTGCACGTAACAGTATTAAGATTTTGGAAAGTAATTTTTCTCTTATGGTAATCAAAATCAAACAAAATTCGCCTGCAAAATAAAATTTAACGAGACATTCGAAAGAAAAATGTTTACAGTCTCGCATTAGCTACCTTCGTTTTCTTTTTTAATTGGATCCGAACTCACAACTGGAAGATTTTTTCTGTACTGCTGAGACGTCAATCTCCTTTCCAATGGTGTTTTTCTCTTGCTCACAACAAATCTGTTCACCCCTTTGCGCATAGGCATTATCGAAGGGAAGTCTTCATCAGGAATCTGACTTAGCTCGGATATATCCTTGATCTGCGCAACGCGACGGAACCACCTCTCTGCCTTTGCCTCCTCTGACATGTCGAGAGGATCCGGTTCCTTTACCGCTGACCCCTCCAAACTTTTTCCTGTCCATTGAGCCCTAACATTTTGATTCTCAGACGTGGGGGATGAACTCCCACTCAAATTTGGCATATGATCTTTATTCTCGTCCCTGAAGTACTTATCCTCAGAATCCTTGTCATTGTTACTTGAGCCCCGTCCTGAAGGCTTTGGACTCCAGCTCCTCACGCTTAAATCTTGATTTCCACCGTCTAAGGCATAATCTCTACTCTGCAACCCAGGGCCAGCTGAAGATACTCCACCATTGGTTATATCTTTGGCAGAGTCTCCCCCTACAATACTATGTCCAGCATCACCAGCCATCTCTGGAAGCTTCTCCGCCACCTCTGACGTTGATGATTCAATGTTGGATTTACCAGTTGAACTTGTTCCATCTGACTCCTGTTTGTCTTTTTTGGCAAAGTAGTCTGGCGGGAAGGGGACAAACGGAACATAGTTGGTATTACTAGCTTGCTCCATTGCTAATTGTCTCTTGTATGCCGGGGAAGTCACAGAGCGATCTTTTTTCTTGCTAACAACAAATCGATTTTCTCCTTTCCGCATTGGCATTATCTCTGGAAAATCGTCATCAGATATAGCGCTTGTCAAATCTGAAACATTATGCAGCTCAGAAACCTTTCTAAACCACCTCTCAGATTTCTCAGCCTGCTCTTTCTCTTTGTTTTCACCATCAATTTGTTTTGAAGGACTAGAAAGCTGTAAACTCTCCCCCAAGTTACCAGATCCAGCATCAGTAACTGGAACCACCATTCTGCTCTCTGCTGTCTTTAAGTCCTCCGACTTTTGAGCAAAAGTATCAGTGGACAATGGAACATTGCTAGAGTTGCCGCTTTTCAAATTTCTGTACTGAGGAGAACTGGAAATTGAAGGTGGGCCATCTGTATTTGTATCATGTCCAGAAGAACGACCAAGAATCTCATCCAGCCTCTGGCTAACAGATGTGTCAGGTGATTTGATTGCTTTGCCAGTATGAAAATCATCAGCCTCACGAGCGCCATCGTTACTAATGTTTCTATTATATTGAGTATTATTATCCAACCTCCTCTCTAAAGGTGTTTTCCTCGTGCTCACAACAAATCTATTTACTCCTTTCCTTAGCGGCATTATTTCAGGAAAATCTTCATCTGACATCATAGTGTTAATATCAGCAGTACTGTCCAGTTGAGAAACCTTGCTAAACCAGCGTTGGGCTTTCTCTTCATTAGCACCTAACCTACTATCAATGTCTGAAGTGTTAGTCCTACTCTCATTTCCATACTCCACTCCTGATGAGGTATTGATCGCACCTAACTGTATTTGTCCAGGCCGCTTGCAATCACACCTCATGCAATTCACATTCCTCCCATGATTATAGAAATCACACCTTCAAGACACCCAAAAAAAAAAAAAAAATTCTCCATTAGTTAGCATACAGAGTTACGATGCATAAAACCATGGGACAGGAGAAAAATTTCAACCGTAAACTACTCACTGAGGGCACTCCCACTCTCCTCCAGCTAGTTGCCTCTTTGGCCTTGCCTCCTCACACTCAAGACATTTGATATTTCTCGCAAAATTCATGAAGTTACACCTGCAACATATTAGAGAAAGAGTCCACCAACATCAGTATGTTAATATTTTATAATACTTGCTGAAAGCAAGATGTCGGGCTACCTGTGTGTCGCACACAATCAATAAAGACATGGTTGATAGGGAATCAAAAAATGAAAAGTTTACCTCGGGCAAATCCAATCACCCCTTTTCATTTCAATCTTTTTTGCAGGCGCCATTGTCTGTCCAGATCTAACAGGCATTTGATTTTGCAGTGCACCATATGAGTTCGATCCAGGTGCATTACAAATCAGCTTGAAAAGTTCCGCAAAAAGATTGCGGACTGATGATTCAACAAGATCTCTACTATGGAGATTGTCCCTTTGTGACGATACCCAAGGGTTACTCGCATAACTCAGCAAAAATTTCATCAAATCAACCGTATGAGCTTGATCAGAATCCAGGATCTATAAAAACACATGAAGCACAATTAGGTTAAACAAATTTGTCATGATCCAAATGAAAGTCATGAGAGAATATGTGCACCATACTCATGAAAATACATTCTTGCAGACTAGTAAACTTTTCATCTTTCCACTGAAAAGAGAATTTCCAATCATACGGTTTTCCCAATGTGTTTCTTATCATCCAAATATAATTGTGATGAATTGAGGAAACAAATCCCGCTTACAGGTGGCAGGTCTGCTTCCACATATATGGTTAAATCAATATTTTTGTTAAGGGCTTACCATGTTTCTTGTCTGCACAAACTATAATTTATCAGGGAATTATGGGGAGAAGAAATTGAGAAGGTTTGGTGAAGCACGGCACAGGGTAGAAGAAAACGGAGGCTGATAAAAGTATAAATTCGCAAAATACGCAGTTAATTTATTTTGTTGCTGCAAATAGAAGGAATAAACGACCAGGCCAGGCAGGTTGGGGGTGAGAGACAATATTGACTTTCGCGACGACTGGACAATTCTAAGATGGATGCCGAGATGATAGAGGATTAAGTTATACAGTAAAACCTCCCATGACTGGTGTGTAGCTTGGCCAGGAACACAAACTTCCATCCGAAAATAAAAGGGAAACTCGGCACTTACACTGATTGTACTATTGGATATAAAAGATCTCATCTTTCTCACAGAATCCTCAGCGTCTTGGAACAGAAATGGCGCGCCATGTTCGATGACCGCCTCTATGTCTCTCCTCGAAAGTAGCCTATAACGATTATACACAAGGACAAAAGGGTCAAGAGAAGAGACTGATCAGCAATTTAATATTATACAGGAAAATTATTGGGGCAAAGCTTAATTCTCGTGGAATTTCAATAAGCACAATAGGGGCAATGGATTGGAAACCAACCGCAAAATGTTCTTTCGGTCCCGAGCAAAGGCCAAGCAAGCACTGGCTTCACGCAGAAAGGAGGTTTGCAATTGCCCTGCCGCCGCAAATTCACCCTCACACGGCGGGCTATCAAAATATCCAGAAGCAGAGATATGGTCGATGAATTTGGACCACTCGGGCCAGGGGTGAGAATGGTGGTGGCCTGGGGAATAGTCTTCGAAGTAGCCATTCCGAACAGAGGAGGCAGCCTGATTGTGAAGCTGGTCAGAAGCTTTGAGAGGAGAAGACGGCAGTGGCAGAGTGTGGGAAGGAGAGCAAGTAAGGTGATGGAAAGAGGAGAGTATGATCTTGCGGTGAGGAGAGAGGCGGAGAAGGGAGGAGCTGCGGCGGTGGAGGAGAGGGAAGGGAGTGGTAAGAAGCACTAGGAACCTCGTGGCACCGCCCATTTCTCAGGTGCTCAGGACGCCCATCGCATGCGAAAGAAACCCTCCTGCAGCCCCGGCCGTGAAATGAAACGAGAGGATAAAGCACAAACCCTGTAAGCTGACTAAAAAATATAAAAAAAATATTATGTTTATGGATTTAATTTTCTAAGGGAGAATCACAAATAAAGACCCTCGAATTAGCAAAATCACTCTATGGTCACCTGAATATGCCAAATTACCATGAGGGACCCGGTCTCAATTTGTAATTATGAAATCATGGCCAAATTACCAAAATACCCCTCTTTAATTTTTTTTTTAAAAGAAAGCCACTGCCTCACCGGAATCCGGCCACCGGCGCCGGAGCTCCAGCGGCCTTCCTTTGTTTTTTTTTAAATAGTGGGGGAAGTGAGGTTGGGAGGATTTGATCCCTCAACCTAATGCTTCCCAAAATAAGGAATGACCATTGAGCCAACAAATTTTTGTTAACATTATGATGCAAAAAAAATATAAGTTAACTTATTTACTCTTATTCCAGGTGATAACAACAATACATTTGAAAATAACAAGTTTTGATTGTAAAATAACACGTCTGGAATAAAAATTTAACAATATGTTTTTTTTATAACAATAAATTTTGTTGCAGGCAATAACAACAATACATTTAAAAATAACAAGTTCTGATTATAAAATAACAAGTTTGGGATTAAAATTTAACAACACGTTTTTTTTATAACAACACACTTTGTTTCAAGTGATAACAACAATATATTTAAAAATAACAAGTTCTGATTATAAGATAATAAGTCTGGGATTAAAATTTAACAACACGTTTTTTTATAACAATTAATTATTTTATACTTTTAAAAAATAAATTATTTATAACTTATAAAAAATATTTTTAATATATTTATTTCTCTAAAAAATAATTTTTAATCTGTATATCTATACAACTCATTATAAATCAAACTACTTCTTATAAATTATAAAGTATTTATAATAAGGCATTTTTAATCTATTAATCATAGTATAAATTTTATATTATTTCATTCTTTAAATATTAAAAATAGTTTTTATATTTAAAGAATAAAATAGTATTTTTAATTATAAATTAGAGATAAATTTCATTTATAAATTTAAGCAGTCAAAAAGTATTTTTAATCCACAATAAATTGTACTATTTATAATTTATAATAAGTAGTTTGATTTATAATAAGTTGTATAGATATATAGATTAAAAAAATTTAAAAAAAAATTTAAAAAGTGTGTTTCCATTTTCCCTAAATTTTATTTATAAATTTGAACAATAAAAAAGTATTTTTAATCTATAAAAAATTATACTTCAAGTTCTGATTATAAATTGGAGATAAAAATTATTTTTTTAGCAAATTAAATAGATTACAAGTACTTTTTATAAGTTATAAATAATTTATTTTCCAAAAGTATAAAATAATTAATTGTTATAAGAAAAAGGTGCTGTTGAATTTTAATTCCAGACTTGTTATTTTATAATCAGAACTTGTTATTTCCAAATGTATTGTTGTTATCACTTGAAACAAAATGTGTTGTTATAAAAAAACATGTTGTTAAATTTTAATCCCAGACTTATTATCTTATAATCAGAACTTGTTATTTTTAAATGTATTGTTGTTATCACTTGAAACAAAGTGTGTTGTTATAAAAAAAAACGTGTTGATAAATTTTAATCCCAAACTTGTTATTTTATAATCAGAACTTGTTATTTTTAAATGTATTGTTGTTATTACCTGCAACAAAATTTATTGTTATAAAAAAAACATATTGTTAAATTTTTATTCCAAACGTGTTATTTTACAATCAGAACTTGTTATTTCCAAATGTATTGTTATTATCACTTGGAACAAGAGTAAATGAGTTAACTTATATTTTTTTTGCATCATGATGTTAACAAAAATTTGTTGGCTCAATGGTCATTCCTTATTTTGGGAAGCATTAGGTTGGGGGATCAAATCCCCCCAACCTCACTTTCCCCACTATTTAAAAAAAAAACAGTTGCAAAAAAAAAAACAAAGGAAGGCCGCCGGAAGCGGCCGCCGGAGCTCCGGCATCGGTGGCCGGATTCCGGTGAGGCAATGGCTTTCTTTTTTTAAAAAAAATTAAAGAGGGGTATTTTGGTAATTTGACCATGATTTCATAATTACAATTTGAGACCGGGTCCCTCATAATAATTTGGCATATTCAGGTGACCATAAAGTAATTTTACTAATTCGAGGGTCTTTATTTGTGATTTCCCCATTTTCTAACCCAAACCGAATGCTTTTCAGAAGAAAAACAATTAAAGCACTAATGAGTTCAACGGGTAAAGATGTCGATGAAGCATTATTTTGGGCCGCCCTATTGGGCCACGGAAACTTGTTCACAATAGCTTTAAGGGGGCTCTCAGAAAGTGGGCTCCGTTTTAGAAACGGCGCTGCCTCATAATTTTCGAATACTAACCGGATCAATACGTCACTCGGAAATCGAGAGGATTACACAGGGCAATAAATACAAAATAAGCAATTTTTTTTTGGGGGGGGGGGAGAAAGGGTTACCCAGCATGCATGATTTTTTACCAGCTTCCAACAAATCATTTGTAACCTTCAGAGTCGTCTTTCAGTTTGGACGTGAGTGGAATGCATACGGTACGTAGGGCTCAATTTGGACATGAAGCTCACGCGGTCATTGCTTTCCCACTTTTTTACCGTGCCACATGTCACTAGCCATTTATGCTCGCGGGACCCGCCTCTTGGGTTCCCACCGTCATTTACTTTTCAATAGAAATTTTGTCATTTAATTTTTTCCTCAGTTGTTCAAAAGAAATTCAAGTTATTTTTCAAGGACATTGACTTCTCTTTACAAAACAAACACAGAGAAAAAAATAATGACTGCGCTTGAAAGCGGCAAGCGGTTGAGCAAACAAATAAATTGAATTGCTTAAAAGGAAAATTATTGTTGATAAGCTAAATAAATTGACTTGATCATTTTATTGAGAAAAAATGTCAATTATATGATATTATGATACAGCACGTTAAATGATTTAAAACAGTAATCTCGATATCAAAATAATGACTAGCTCTCATATTTGAAATCCATTGCCCAATTCTTGTCACGGATTATTTGTTATTGGATCACCAATATCTAGGCCCATTTATAACACATACAAAGTTAGCCCCATTGAATCTCTTGTGGGCACCCTATTTGCCTTCATTATAGTTATTACCATTATTGTTTTAAAAATCTCATCATGAAAAGTATGAAAGACTAAGGGCCAAGGAAAAAATATTAATAATTTTTATTTTAGAAAAAGAGAAGATACGCATTTTTCAAATTTACCAGATTTTATTTTTATAATAAAAAAATAAACTATTAGGACCAGCAATGACTAATAATGAAACGTCCACAAAGCTAAGACCAAAACTGGTAAAGGGTCCTGTATTCAGGATTAAGATAAAGATCTTATATTTAAGACTAAAAGAGGATCTGATTTTTGAAAAAATAAAAAAAGACATATAAGCGACCCAAGAAAAAAAACAAAAAAAGGAGTATATGATTTGAACAGTTTACATGTAAAATCACTGTCAAAAACCCAAATCGAACACACAAACTTCAAGCATATACACATCAAGATGGCGAGGGCAATATAATGGTGCATTAATGCGGTTCCTTGTTCCTTACAAATTATAATAGCTCATGACTCTATATTACATGGAAGCATGAGTATGGATATACATATATAAATCAAATAATAAACACCAGCTGTTTGTTATAACAGTTTGAGATGGTGGCAGTGCCAGTGGGGCGTATATAAATATATATATATATATATATATAAAGAGATATGTGATTTTTTGTTCTCTCAATGTCTCATATAGAAATTGGTCCCTAGGCACGACACACAACCAATGCAATAGCGAAAGATGTTTATAGACAAGGGAGAAAAAAACTAGTTCAAAGGTTTCATCGAAGTTGAACAATGTTCCCGACTATTGCTTTTCCGTTTTAGCATGTGCTAAAACAACAGTCAAAGAATCAGTCCTTGATTATTACAGTTGTTTTGGACTCATCGTTCTAGACAAAAAAATGACTCGCATATATAATTGCTAAGATTTCGCTAACTATTCATCGTTAATTAGAAAAGAAGAAAGGAAAAACTCCAAATAAGTCAGCATTTTGCTTGATATGTTCTAGATATGTATAGATTGAGTTTGCTGGATGGATCATGACATCTTTTGGAAGATCTGATATCTGTGGTAGCAGTAATCATGAATCTTGGATCATTCACCGGAAGAGTCAAATTAATTCCGCCGATATGACAAGTGTGATATAAATCTGCTTGCCAAAAGATGTGCAGTATGATAATGAAGTTCAGTGATGACCTGAAGGGCAAAAAAGCGACCATATTGTTAACCATGCCTGCCCTTTAAGCGCCAACATTATATGGTACTGAGGACATCTCCTTCGTCGTATTGCTTGCAGATCAAGACTTGAGAAAACCCAGTAAATCTTGTTTCCTTCTATTAAAGCAACATGATGAAAAGTTCCGAAATTTAATTTACCCCCATCATTATAGGTAGGTCTAAATGCAAAGTCACTGATGACTCGGAGTCTTCTAAGTTCAACTTCCTCTTTTGTTTTCTCGCGCTCTTTTCAGCCCTCTCGTGGGAGAGAAAATTTGCGTTGAAACAGGAAAGTACAATGATTGAAACTGGGATAATTTGCTTAAAACCGTGAGGTGGAAAATGCAAAGTTAAGAAGACTCAAGTCCACGATCTTTACTTTGGTTTTTGTTTTGTTGTGCTGGGTTCAGTCTCTTAATTATGGCGGAATAATTAGTGTTAAAACCAAAAGTCAATAATGACAGCGGTTTATCATGCACGAGCTAAGGGGGGGAAGGAAAAAAAAAAAGAAAAAAGCAAAGAACAAGGAAAACGAAAGCCACAAATATATACACAGTGAAAAAAGTACACAAACAGCAAACAAACAAACAGAGACAAATTAATGCCCAGGGACCTAACTTAGAATTAGTAATCACAACTTTGAAACGTGATGCCTTTTCTTTGTCGAGTGCAGTAACAATTAATTATTGGCATG